AAGTATGACTTCAGTGCTCAGAAGTCTTACTTCGGGTACAAGGCACAGGGTGCTGCGGTCGTCGACCGACAGGGGAATCTGGATAGGAATGAGTTCTATAACGTTGGCTTCCTTGCTTACACTTCGTGGCTATACTCACTAAGACATTCTAGGTATCCAAAGACGACATCATGGCCATATCAGAGCCACTACCAGCTCCAGACATCCTGAAGAGGAATCGACATGTTTTCGACTCGTTCATCAAATGCTCCCATTCCATTGTCACGCTTATCCTCAATTCCCTCAACGCAAGCTTGGGTCTTCCAGAGTCGGCCTTGGCCGATCTCCACCGTCTTCACGCTGTAAGTGGCGATCAAGTACGCTTCGTCAAGGCGCCTCCACAGCCTGCCGATGACCGGCGTACTGCTCTCGGCGAGCATACGGATTTTGGAAGCGTAACCATTCTCTTCAACCGCCTGGGAGGACTCCAAGTTCTTCCCCCAGGTCCAGACGCAGAGTGGCAGTATGTGAGACCGCTGCCGGGACACGCAATTGTCAATCTAGGAGATGCTATGGTGAAGTTCACGAATGGACTCCTTCGTTCGAATATCCACCGTGTCGTTTCTCCTCCGGGCGAGCAAGCGGACCTCACTCGGTATAGTCTGGTCTATTTCTCAAGGCCAGAGGATGACGTCCCACTGCGGCGTTTGGAGGGATCTTCGCGTATTCCAGACTTGGAAGATGGTGTAGTGGAAGAGGCTATCAAGAGCAAAGACTGGATTATCCGTCGTGCCCTGGGTAGGAGGGTGGATGTACCTGGTATTGGATACGACAAGTCAGCCGGGACGGAAATGCTGAGTAGGAGGTTAAAAGTGTAGCCCACTGTGCAGCATGTACTTACATCTTACATGTAACTGTCAAGATAGCTTTGACCAGAGCTTTGAAGGTCTTGCTTGTACCCTGGGCTCTGCTGAGTGGAGAATGTCCTGCATGTGAGCTGAGAGGGTTCCCCAGGTTCTTTTTTCCTTTCCGTTTATGGTCTGTCATGTTGCTCATCCCCATAGTGTTCATACTGAGTGAATCCTCTCACATACTTGGCTGAGTGATGCATGTCTTCTTGGCTTTCCATTTACCTCCTCTTTTGTACTCCTGTCTCTCAGCATGTTTCATGGTCGCCATCTATGGGTGTCTGTTCACCTCTGGAGCCTTACTTGGGGCAACACATTTGGCCAACAAGGTGTTTCAGTCCTCCTAATGTGTTGTATACAAGATGGACTTCTTGCACCTTCTAATCACTTCATTCTTTCCTGGTCTTCTTTCTCCCCAGTCATCCTTTGTATCTCGAAAGCCATCAGCAGAACACTCCAAACTTGACGGCAACATGGCTCTACAGTATATCCTCAGCGATGACGATTCACTCTCCTCCGCTCCAAGTACTCCAAGGTCGTCGGTACAAACTCCGCCAACAACTCCGCCGTGGTCGGCAGCGTCAGCCATCACAACGCCTGGGAGTAGTGGTACGGTATACCGCCGCCTTATGCAAAGGCAAGCTAAGAATCCCTTCTAGGAACGAGCCTGAACCATCGTCCAGAGCTTATCTACATCTCTGACTCCTCACCTACTCGGACCCAGCGCCCCCGCGCTGATAGAACAGCCCAGCGCAATGGGGGCAAGTGCCCCGACATTGAGACAGCGAGAAACACCTTCTTCGTGTCCATAATAAAAACAATACGTCTCCTTCTCGGGAATGAGCACACTCCTGAGAATCTGTCTCGCTTGGCAGGTTCTGCCCATGGTCCTATCACACCCTACAAGCTATTGCATTCCCAGCCGAAAGGGTAAACAACGTGCCTGGATTAGTTGCATTGCCCGCTAGCTAACACATGATATGCTCAGGATTCGTGCCACGTTGAAGCCATACCAATTGGAGGGGCTTTCGCGGATGATATACTGGCGAAACAACGGGATTGGAGGTATACTCGCAGACGACATGGGCCTTGGCAAAACCCTCCAGGCCCTGTCCCTTTTCCAGTACGTCAAAGAGAACGAAGAAGGAGGCAAGAAGTTTTTGGTCGTCTGCCCTTTGAGCGTTCTCAAGACTTGGATGACCGAGATCTCCAGGTGGACAACGGGGTTCAGGCCAATGTCGTATTACGGGAGCAGCGAGGAGAGAGAAAAGCTTCGCAGGCTTTTTCGACAGCAAGAGAGCCAGCCCGTGGACATTGTTGTGACGACATACGAGACGCTTTGCAGTGACTTGTGGTTCTTCCAGAAGACCGTCTGGGCACACGTGGTTCTCGACGAAGGCCATCGTATCAAAAACAGCCAGGCTAAGAGAACGCAAGGGATATACAGGCTCCGGTCAGAGTTTAAGCTTGTGCTCACTGGGTCAGCACCAGTCCCAACTCATTGGAGTTATATCAGCTAACAGTCTGCCTTCTAGCACTCCTATCCAGAACGACCTCACGGAACTGTGGTCTATCTTGCATTGGTTGTACCCGGATCTCTTCTTGCCGGCTACGGCTCAACTCTTCGAAGACGCTTTTTCCCTCAGAGATGGGAAGTTTGATAGTGGCTTCCTCAGTCACGTTACCCGCTTCCTGAGAATTATTATGCTACGCCGTACCAAGAACGATTCCCAGATCGACCTCAATATACCTCCGAAGAAAGAGACTGTGCTCTCCGTGCCGCTTACCGAGCTGCAACTCGCATGGTATATCAGAATACTCACTGGCGTGGAGAGATCGATCTTGCTAGGCGACAGCACCCCACAGAGCGAGTCCCAACTCGGCGTCGCTCCAGAGTCGGATAGCGCCGTGCAGACGACAGATGTATGGGAGAAAAATGTGGCAGCCGATGCCAGGAAGAGAAGTCGCATAACGACCAACACGCTGATGGAACTGCGCAAAGTAAGACGGCCACGATGACCAGCTGGGGCGTTTGCTAACATTATAGTGCTCCATCCACCCTTATCTCCTGGCCGACGCTGTCCCAGAACAGTACCACATCGGCCGGCACGTCATCGAGGCATCGGGCAAATTCATCCTTGTCCAGAAGATAATCCACAAATTTGTAGTTACGGAGAAGAAGAAAGTCATCATTTTTTCAGGATTCGATCAAACACTCAACCTGTGCGAGGACCTCCTGGAGGTGGAGAAAGCGCATGCTCCCTTTAAGCATGTCCGACTAGACGGCAGCACATCCTCCGCGTGGAGGAATCTTTCGGTATTCCTGTTCCAGAATGATCCGCAATGCATGGTGTTCCTCCTGTCAATTCGCGCCGGCGGAGAAGGCCTCAACCTGGTCAGCTCTTCGACCGTGGTCTTCCTCGACGACGACTGGAATCCGCAAGTCATGCGGCAGGCTGAGTCGAGAGTGCATCGAATCGGCCAGACGCAGCCCGTCCAGATATTCAGAATCCACTCCAAGGGAACCGTGGAAGACCAGATGCGCCGGCGCTTGGATAAGAAGGCCTACTTGGCAGACAAGGTCATGGGGGATCTGGGTAACGACATCTCAAACCCTATCGACCTGGAGGAGACTACCGAGGAAGAGATCTCTTTGATGCCTGGCAGGTCAATCGTGCCGGGCTCATTCGATGCGACAGACCTCGCCAATTCCGACTTTGAGTCCGTCATGTCTTCTTGTGCCCTGGATGAAGTCAGCGTCCAGGAGATGTCGCTTGCGGAGAAAAAAGCATGGCTTGGACGTGCGGAAAGAGTCAGGACGAATATATTTAACGGCGAAAGGGTTGAAACGAGCTTCAAGAGGTTCTCTGTCTATGAGGAAACCATCCTCGACGTCTCCAAAGCATCGCGCCGAATTGGAAAGTCTCGTGTTGTCACGGTAGGAGAATGGGACGTGTCCAAAGAGAGCATGGAAATGGCAATCGCATCGAGCCCCGTCAGTCCGACATTTCCGAAGAAAATAACTGAGGACAGGGCCCGCAAGGTCAACGAAGCTGTGAGTACATCAGACCTTGTCGCTTGAGTCAACTCTAACTGTCCCAGACGTGCTTCCTATGCCACAGCCGAGCTCCGACAGCGTGTGATACCTGCACCAGGTCTTATCATCCTGGCTGCCTCGACAAGGAGGATATGGATTACAATAAGAAGGGCAAAAACATAATATGCCCCCATCACTACTGTCACGACTGCGGGAAGACCGCAAGCGAAGCAGGCAGACTGCTCTTCAGCTGTCTAAAGTGCCCACGCGCCTATTGCGAGACCTGTCTTGACTGGAGTCGCACAAAGTTCGTCGGAGAAAACCCGCCGTCTCAGGCCCTCGGCTATTCACCCAAGAATGCCTACTTTATTGAATGCGTAGGCTGCGGGGCTTCTGCTTTGGCTTCTGCGGGGAAGCGCTCTTTGGCGAGTCGCATCCTGCACCTTGACCTTGGCCCATCGAAGCGCGCAAGGCGCTGTTAGATGGATTTATTCTCCTGGAATCCTGGAGTAAGGGTATTCTGGACTTGGTGTACCAAATTATGTATCATACAGCAAAGACCCTGATAAAAATCGTCAGGGCGCATGTACCTCGATTCAATACCAAGCTATGATCGACGGATATCAATATCATATTCACGTAACTCTCCCATAAAACGCCACTGCTTTCCCAACGATCACCCGGACAATCATGTGGCAATCATGTGGCAATCAAGACGGGGACAGTATACACATCCCAGCATGTAATGCAATGCCGTGCAAGATGACCGCATGCAGATTGCAACCCCGAGTAAAAAGCATGTTTTCGCATCCGTCCAGTAGCAAGCCAAGTTGAAGCATGATTTCGCCGCTCGGCCAAATATCCTTGTTCTTCGCCGGAATCTAGCTTAGGCGTGCCCTGTGCGGTGCTATGTGGCGGGGATAGATTTCCTGGAAGAGGAAGGTATCCTAGAGCCGAGAGGCTGGGACCGGGGGCCGGGGTGGTAGCGCCCTGCTTTCAGGTATGACAATGTGCACACTGCCTACTGCATGCCTTTAGTAAGAACAAGCGGCGCAGACAAGCCTCGCGTCATCCGGACGTAGGAAATGCTGGCCCTGAATACGCAATAGAGGCGCTCAGCATAGCATCTAGCAGAGATCCGTACGCACGATGCGCAGTCCAACCCGCTCGTAGCACTTGCTTGGTAAATATCCTTCACCGTCTGCATCGCCACGATCAGAAGGTTAATGATCCCCACCCCAGGCGATCACACGATTTCCTTGCTATACGAGGCTGTGCTATTAATGCTTCGATCTGGGTTCGTATTCGGCACGCATCCAAGTCCGCGGCCGAAAATTCTCCGTGTCGCTGGACTTGGCTGATCCTTGCTTTGCGCTATACGAGATATGAGCGTGGCGCTCGTCCCCAGTCGGGATGTCAAACCTATCTACCGACAAGGTGGTATGATAGTGATGCATTGCAGATACGATCTGGTAGATGCTGGATCAAACATCCCGCTCCAACCCAATCCATAAATGCTTGGAATGGATCATGGATCATGAGGCAGAAGCAGAGCTGCAGAAGCATGCGACGCGGGCCAGGGCTCGAATGATGTTTGCATTCTGCTGTGGTACACACCTCGCCTCACAGTTGCGCTCGAGCCGTCTGATGATGAAGAGCCCCCAAAGGCAGGGAGGATATAGCCCTAGAGTATTTTGTATTCCGACTCGGGAGCGGAGACAATGACATCAAGATGCACTGATGCAGTAGACCAGCCAAAGCAAGAAGACTGAAAGCCGGAGCCCACCTCCAATACCTGAAAGAATGGTACAGTAGTATACCCGCCCTTACCAAAACGAGGCCATCGTAGACTGCCCGTAGCCCTGACTCGGAGACTCAAAATTGGGACAGAACGGACCGGTCCGCTCAGCCGTTTTTTTTTTTTTTATCCACGGAACGCGCTGTACGGAGAATAACTTGAATAAGTTTTAGTCATAACTCATAAGCAAGGAGTTGGGTTAGTGGATAGGCATCCATCCAGAAAAGTGATGAGTCTGACCATCCAACCCAGGATTCCAAGTTGCGGGGATGAAGAAGCTTATCTCCTTGCCATGGCCAGCTCCAGACTCCCTCCGGCCGAGTGGCGCATAAAACTCCGAGATCATTTTCCCATCCAAGCGTTACGATGTGGGTAAGTGTAGATTCGTCATGGTCCACGCGCTGGTGTTTTGAGTTTGCACTGTTGCAGCTTGGAAAAAGGAGAAAGGAGGAGATGGATGCAAATGCCTGTGCAATTGTTCGGCAATTTGGTGCCCTCCTGTATCCGAGAATCCGGACTCCAGAGGAGACTCCAGGGCCGCAAGACTAAAATATAGTTGGTCGATAGCACACTTTTAGCAGGGCGCTTAAACGCGAATCTCAATCCTATGCACTGAAGATCATCACAGGGGGATGCTAGCAGTCGTTGGCAATGGCGTCGCATCGGCTCTTTTCTTCAATGTCCCAGCCAGCCAATCTGCGGATACGACAGATAACGGTCATCTCGCTTTAGCGGCACTGCTAGCCTCAGTGCTAGGTGACCAGTTACCAGCTTGATGCTAGCTTAGACTACCGGAATCCTCGGATCCAAAGAATCCAGACGGTAGTCCTGGATCCTGGATCCTCGCGTCGGCCCCAACTTCCGCAATAAGAGGCATGTCTTCGTGCTAGTTTCAATGGGTATACATATCCGTGAGGAATGAGGCCGCGGTTCGAAGCGTCCCGATGTTGATCCGTCGTGACTCGTGCGCCAGCGCCAGTGCCACAGGGGCATCCTTGCTTCAGTTTTAGCCTCGAAAATCGAAATTTGAATCGGGCGAGATACCCACCTTCAGAAGCAGAATTGCCAGGGGTCCTCCAGCGTATGCAGATGGTTAATTGCTTGTATTTTGAGTAGAAAATGCTGGTGTTGGGCATTCGGGTCCTTGGAATCGCAGTGCTAGTTTTTCGCCCATAGTGCCGCAGGGTATCCAATGTGTTTGCTGCTCAAAGTACTTTACCACAATCAGTATACTCGGGTAGAAAGACGGCGAGGATATTCTCATAAACCATAAATTAGACCGGAGTAGGTTAGGCTATAGCCTGCCAATCGATAGTATGCGAGAGATCCCGCGCCGCGCCACGCCGGCCACGCATTGGAGCGCTTTAGCCAAGTCCGAAATCCAACGGCCGGGCCATGCCATGCGGGGCAGTAGTAGATGCAATCCAGCTGTCAGTGTCAGATCAGAGGTGTCAGTCCAAGTTAGTGGCTGTCAAGCTCTCAAACTGATCAAGTTTGGGACCAGGGAGCAGATGCGGAAGGCAAACATTATCCGGCATGCAGAGTTCAACTCAACGGCCGAAGCATCGGATCCGAGAGGCCGTTTGTTTGACGAGTGATGTATCGATTTTCCACACTCAGGAGAAAGTCAAATTTACTCTCCGAAATCCAACGGAGATTGGACATCGTACTAATGTGATAAGGTTTGTCACCGTTGTCGGAGGTTGAGTACTACGGCGCTACTAGCAGGTCTAGCTTCATTACGGGCCGTGCGCAAGACAATGGCGTCGCCTGCCGGGACTGGCTGTCCAATTGGTCGTAATCACTGTGCTAGAGACTCGAGAGATGCTACAGTATGCTCTGCTCCACCCCGTCGGTACCTGATATCGATCCTAATTATTCTCAATAGTGCATCGTGCAGTCTACTATGCAGTCGTAGCATTTGCCAGGTGTTCTCGGACTTTGGAGTCTAATCTGCTCCACTAAATTTGATACTCGCCAGCCTCTCTTCCACGCGTTGTACTATCTCGGGGTCTGGTTCCGGTTTATGCCTTTTTGGTCTGTACCTTATTAGAATCCGAAAGTGTACATGTTCGCTGGGAGAGGGACGCACGGATCTCGTATAGTTTCGGCACACTTTTCCTGCCCGCAGTTGGCACAGTTCTTCTGGCCCGACCGATAGACGGTGGAGCACTCGTGGCAGGTATACCGGACCCTTTGGCGCGGCTTCTTCCAAGTCCGAGCTGGTGGTTCAAACGGCGGTTCTGCGTCTCCAGGGTAGCCGTCGGGGTATTTGTCATGTTTTGCCCTGCGATTGTCAGCAATCTACCAATAAAAGTTTGGAGACGTAGGAACGTACGGATCGCGGGGACAGATCTTGCATCGGAGATGCCTGCAGCTGGCGCATTCCGTGGCATGAGGAGCAAAAAGCGTATTACATCTGTGACACGTTCGTCGCACTCGCTGCCGGATCGGCTTGCGGATAAGATCCTGACCGCCGGTTCTCGAGGGCAACGTTAATTGGTGTTCTCTCGGCTTCGGTTGCACGGGCTGAGCCTTCTGGGCCAGTATGGTCTGGAGCGCGGTCTCGGTTCGCTCCTGCTCGTCCTTTGGTTTCGGTGCGGGGTATCGCGGGCACTTCTTGCAGCGGACGTGCTGACAGTTGACGCAAACCCTATCGGGGCCGTAGGTGGTCTGGCAGCGATGGCAGGTACGCCGGACACGCATGCGAATGGGCTTGACAACACGTTGAACAGGTACATCCCTCGCGGCCTTCCACTCCCCCGGCTCCAATGTCAATCCATATTTGGCGAAGAGCGCGCGCGCCTTCTCCTCCTGAATTGCGCCCCAATTGGACAGTGTGATCGGTTCGGGGGCGGTTTCGGTCGGTTCGACTGTGGGCTTCGATTGACTATATAGGGTCAGTACAATTGCAGGGGAAATGAAAGTAGAGTCATACGTGGGTGCTTTGCTAGACTCGGGTTGAACCTGGGCCGGCGTTTCTCTTGCGACGGCTGGAGTAGCCTTGGTTGACGGATCTCTCCTCAAAACAGTCTTCATGCGACTTAACACCTTGGAAAACCCGTCATGCTTTGCATCGGACTGGGAGGTCGACATGTTTCAGGTCGTTTGGTGGGTGAATCAATGAGAGGTGAACCGTAGAATGGAATCAATGGTTGGGCAAATCAATCGAACGAAAAGGCGAAAGCTAAACCGCTACCATGGCGAGCACTTGTTGGTAAAGTCAAATCACGGTCTAAGATCAACACAGTCGCAGATAACGGTTCGCAAAGACAGGAAGGAAGCGTGGTGGGATGGCGAGAGTTAAAACAGAGAAGTGCAGGTGGCACGGGGTTGTTGTGTCCCAGAACCAGACAGTTGGGAGACCCGACCAGGCGGAGAGACGTGAGGGAAAAGAACGAGGGCCCGCTCGGGTGATTGGTTAAGTGGCGGTCAGACGCGATAATCGTCCAATATTATTATAACCAAATGCTGCAAGCCGATGACGAGTCGGGAGCGAGTGGCGAGCTGTGCCCAAAGTCAGTTCAGCAGGCGGCTAGGGAATAAGAGGAGGGAGCGAACGAGCGATAAATAGAAGCGAACAGAGTTTGAGGAGCATCGAGCCGGGGTTGGACTTGGACTTGGACTTGGACTTGGACCTGGAGGCCATGATGGACTGGACTGCAGACTGCTGTATCTTCACGCTCTGGCTGGGACTCTGGCTGAGGGGAAAAAGCAAAGTGACGTCCGCTAAGTTCTTTAGTCCCGGGCCTGCTGCTCGAACCGGCAGGACGCGCCCACGGCCTTGGGTCAGGCTGCTCCACCACAGATCGTGCCCTGGGCATACGGTAATGGAAGGAGTATGGGCTCAGAGTGTGATTATCACTGGCCAACAATCAATTGATTTAACCTACTCTGTTATAGTAACAGCAACATAATTCATGCCTAGCCGGGTCTACCCCTGTCTCTGGCAGTGGCCATACAGAACAGCCCTGTTCGCGCTGAGTCTGAATGAAGCGGGCTAGCCTGAGTTAAACACCATACAGATTTCTTTACTGCCGCCTTTTTCCCTAAATATAAAGACGGCCATTGTCACCCCATGAAAACCGGTGGAGCCACGAACAGGCTGTCAGGGAGGCGGCCACCTAGGAGAGTCCCCGGCTAGCCCATGCATTATGCACGACACCATGATCCATCGCCAGAGTCTCTCGCGCAATCAGAGGATACGGAAAAGCGGCTTCATGCATCATCCTGCACCTGGGCCATGACCACGGGTTGATAACGGACGGCACGGCGTGGAAATCGCGTGGTATATAAACGGCTAGTACGAAGATATCGAATCTTTGTACCAGCCAAGCCAGCGTGCGGCGGCAGATAGATGACCTGAAACAGGCTTCAATTTCCTTGATGGTCTACTAGAAGTCGATAGTAGGTAGTTAGGCCATTGCGGCACGGCAGCTTCAACTCATTTGCCGAATGCTCCCACGTCTCCGTATGATCTGGAAGACGACTTCTGCAGCATCGCCACTTGGACACGTCAAGCGTTCATTCGTGCCAAAAAGGTTCGTCGAAGACCCAGCGACAGGGGTAGACAGTTCATCCTGTGTCCCATTGCCTTGTCCAGGCTCCACCGTGGAGCCCCGGGGCGAAGCGCTGGTCAGTGCGTGACAATCGTGGTTGCAGTTATTTAAGGCGCGAGGGCGTGGAAGTCTGGACTCATTCTACTCGCATCAGACGTTAGATCTTAAAAGCAAGGGATGATCTCCCATCATGATGACAAGCAGCCAGGCCTCAACTTTCGTCACAGACTGAAGAGCTGCAACCATACAATGGACAAGAGGGGTCTTAACAACAATTATTATTGTTTAAATTTGCAGGGGTAAGACCACCACACCATTCCAGCGGGCTTGGCGTCAATCTTGCCTATTGCGGAATTTTCGGGCTATCCTGGGATGGCCTTGTGTGGGGCTGGCAAGCCGACTGTCAGTTTGCTGGATTTAGGTTGCGAATTGATATTTAGGCACCTCATACTAATTATTCTGCAGATTGTTTGTAACCGATCCGTGTCTTCGGCTGAGAATGAAGATGGAATAGGTTCAGCGGCGTAGACAGTCCCGGTCGAGGCAACGACTGTTATTTGCTCCTCGGCTGCCGAAGTTTATCCGTCTCTATCTGTCAACGGCGAACTACATATAAAACCCAATGGAGTCTAAATGATGTTCCCCATGGAGCGGTATGCTTCCGAGATCCTTGCTGGATGCGTTTGAACAGCTCGAAGTCTCTACCAACCGAACGGGAAGATGGAGGGTTATCCCACTTGCACTTGTCACGCAACCGGACAGCTACGCCAGCTCCGGTGTATATGCTCTGACTATTGCCGCAAGGCGGACTTGGATCCTGAGCAAGCCATTCTTAGATGCTATCATTCCGGCAATTCCGGTGACATCAGTCTTTCGGAGCAGCTATGCTCCGTGTATTGTCAACGACTCGTTGGACTCTTGCTTCACTATGCTCACCCTACAAGGGCAGACAACGCGGTTTAATTGGTATCACAGCTCTCGTATGGGCCCATGAGCCCACTGTTGCCGCTGACAGACTGCGGAATGATGGTGAGCGAGTGAAAAGGATGGCTGTCATGCATTCTGTATAACGACGCCCCTTTGAAACGCCAGACCACATCAAATCATCCACTCAAAACGCGAATCCTGCGGCAAACCCAGTTTGTAATTGAAGCAACGACCTGCCACGCCCATCCTTGAAATGATCAGTCTGCACTCTGCAGCTTTGATTCGATCGATATGATGTCCTCATCGCTTTCAACCTCGATAACTCGGTTGACTTCAGCCGTATTCCGCATCAACTCAACAGCGCCTGCATACATCATTCGCTGGTTCGGATTGCAATTCTCGGGGAGGTAGTAGAGCAGGACGTAAGGGACAGCAAGGCGGCCGGAACCCTGAATCAGGTTAGTACAAGGTGGGAATTCGCAGGGCAGGAAGCATACCAGGGTTAAGGGGTAGCTGAGGAGGATGAAACGGGGAGACGACTCCGGGAGCTCGTCCGCTACATCTTCCATCTTTGTGTACACCTCACCATCTTCTGCTCGAATTTCTTGGGTTTTAGTGTCGATGATGTCTGAAGAAGTTGTCAGCCATATGTCCTTCGCAACGGCGGAATGAAAGGGCTGCATACAAATCACGGCTTGTGGCTCCTTGGCCCGGGACGTCGTCAAACGGAACTTGCGCAGCTTCTCTTTGGTGTCCGGAGAGAAGGCGTATAATCGCTCAGAGGACTATCTTGACCGAAGCGCAGGTCAGCAGTCTGTAGAATACTCGCGGAGCTGATTCTGGCAGCAGTGCGGGGCAGTTTCTCACCATTCTGTCTATTGAATGATAGATCTGGATAGAGTATTCTCAGGATAGGAGGTTAGGTACAAAAGTTCCTGTTTGTACGTATGAAGGGCGGCGATGACAGAAAGGGAATAGGATATTCAACAAGCGTTTGTCGATGAGTGGGATTATTGCCAACGCAGTCCGATCACGACGTCCACCAGGCACCCCACCTTGCGGCGAGCACGCCCGGCCACGACCCCAACCTGCTTTCTTTCTCTCGCCCACGTTCAGGATCCTCCATCTCTCTTCTCCCCTCCTCTCCAACATTCCCTCTATGTTCGCCCGCCTCACTCAGCTCACCCGACATCTCTACCGACCGCCGTTCACTCGTCAGCCCGCCTCTCTCGCTTCCTCATCCCCCTTTCCACCGTCGCGTGCGCTCTCGCCGAAAATGACATCATCCATCGCCGGTAACAGCAAGACGATACACACGGCAGCATGCCTGATCATTGGTGACGAGGTGCTAGGAGGGAAGGTATGCCGATAGGCGCTGTACCCGGATTATAATGCAGTAGCTAATCCTACAGACTGTCGACACAAACTCCGCCTTCTTCGCCAGGTACTGCTTCTCGCTCGGAATCCAGCTCAAGCGCATCGAAGTCATCGCCGACGATGAAGACGAGATCATTGAAGCCGTCCGCCGCATGAGCAACAACTACGATTTCGTCGTGACGAGCGGCGGCATCGGGCCAACGTTCGTACCTCACCTACACCCCTATGCGTTATAAACTAACAAGCGCTCCCCAAACAGCCACGACGACATTACCTACTCCTCCATAGCAAAAGCCTTCAACCTCCCGCTGAAACTCCACGAACCCGCTTTTGAGCGCATGAAGAAGCTCTCCAAGCCCCACGCCCTCATCCCCGACTTCAGCTGGGACGTCCCCTCCCCCGCACTCACCGCACGCCTCCGCATGGTCGAGATCCCACACGATGCCTCCCTCCCCGCCGATTCACAAGCCGTGTTCGTCGCAAATGACATGTGGGTCCCTATCGCCATCGTCAACGGCAACATCCACATCCTTCCCGGCGTCCCGCGGCTCTTTGAGCGTCTCCTCGAACACCTCCGGCCTTCGCTGCTCCCCCGCCTCGTGAACCCAGAGGGTAAGGGCATCTACCGGTACCTGTTCAGCACGCCGCTACCTGAGAGCGCGGTTGCGCCGTACCTGACGGATCTTGCGGGAAGGACGGCGGCCAAGGGTGTCAAGGTCGGAAGCTACCCGCGCTGGAATAAGAAGAGGAATACAGTTACGCTGGTGGGCACGGATAAGGAGTTTTTGGACTCGTTAGTTGCAGAGGTCGAGGAGAATGTGCAGGGGAAGAAAGTGTCGGCGGAGGATGAGTTGGATTCGGATACGGAGTAGGGGAGATAGATCGCAATATCTTGGGTACCATTTACTTGGGAGTCTTCGAAGCTTGTAATAAATCAGGATAATAGATCTCTAACGACAATGGGTTCCCCTTCTCGATCCAGTACTTCCAGATTAATATGCGCACTTGGGGAATTGTTTAGGATTGAGCGTCTTGGTTCATTTAACTAAAGCATGGATATCCATGAAGGTACCCTCTTACGGCAGAAACTAATGAGATGCGAATATACGAGTGTCCATGGGGTGGGAGCACGCGATTGATTCTTGAGCTTAGTTTAGGCGGAAAATTCAAACGAGCTCGAACCACCGCCAGTTATTAAGAGTTTCCCACGAATGCCGCAGAAAACTGGATAAACAGGCATGAGGTAGATGAACGATGCAAGATGCACACATATGTATTATCAAAAGCAGCATCCTATGGTCCCCATTCAGATGCAATAGAAAAGGTACGTACATACGAGGTAATAACACAAATCTATTGCCACGCCTATCCTCGCACACCAGCGAGGTGAAATCGTCAACTAGGTCTTCAAGTGGTAAAAAAAAAAAGAGTAAATAAAATGGTAAAACACGGTAGATCAAACAAAGAAACAAAGGGGGAATCGAACATTCATGGAGAAGATGACGGCGTGATGTATGGGATGGGTGAAAGCGGACATCATCTGATGGCGAGGCCTCGTATGGTTAAATAGGTATAAAAAGTGTCACAATCCGCGCAACCCCGTTGAGAAGCGTTCATTATTCCGGTATAAGGCGGCTGCCGCTCGAGTCGGGGCTGTCTTTTCTATGTGGGATCTTTCCTTTCCTTTCTCAGACTGCGTTGCTTGCATCCTGTCGAGCCCAGCACATGCCAATTACATAACAATACATTTCCCGCAGCAGCCGGCGCTCTCGCCAGGCTCACTGACATCCATCTTGTTATCAGGAGCGCGAGCGCCGAATCCACCGGAGCCGGAGGGGTTGGACATCTCCTTGTTGTACCGGCGGATCTCGCGGACAAGGTCGTAAAATGCGTTTTCGACGTTGATGCGGGACTTTGCGGATGTTTCGATGAACTTGCAGCCGAATTGCCGTGCCAGATTCTCGCCCTCTTGAGGTGAACCGTTAGCGAGCTGTAACCGAATGACTTGCACATCGCGCATTGAGCCTACCTTGTTCCGTGACCACTCGCTCCTTCTCGAGATCGCACTTGTTGCCAACGACGATGATAGGGAAATAGTCTTTGTCCTTCACACGGAGGATTTGTTGTTGAAAGGTCATGATTTCTTCGAAAGACTGACGCGATGTGATGGAGTAGACTAGGAGGAAGCCTTCACCCGTGCGCATGTATTGTTCGCGCATGGCGGAGTATTCTTCTTGTCCGGCGGTATCTAGGACGTCCAGCAGAGCGACCTCATCGTCGATGTGACACTGCTTGCGGTATGAATCTGTTGTAGGGGTCTTTGATGAGCGACAAATCGATGCGGGTATGAGGTGACGAGCGAACCTTCAATTGTTGGGTCATATTCATCCACGAAGTGGCTCTGGATCAATTGAATGGTCAAGCATGACTTTCCAACACCACCACCACCGACAACAACCAGCTTGTACTCTCGAAGAAACTATTTGAGCCATAACAGTGAGCAACGACTGCAATATTTTTCGGGCGGTGGCTTGAGGATGGGGCAAAGAAGGGGGCAACGGGCACAGCAGAAGAAAGGATAAGAGGGTACCCTACTTTTGAAGCCATTCTGGAGGATTCTGCTCAAGGATCTACCGGTGTGGGAAAGGAATCGGTGGTGATCCGGATCGAAGCTATTCCAAGTGACAGCGGGTCGAGCGAGCAGCACAATTTTCTTTCGCAGAAGGGTCGAGAGTCGGGGCCCAGCAAGTCGGGAGTTTCGCGCGAAAGCAGGATGCGCCTAAGAGGCAGGCCACAGCAACGGCGGGTCCAGTGACTAGGCCAAGCTTAAAGAAGCCAGACGGGGGTCGATGAAGAGGATCAGGGGGGTTCGTGGAACTCTGCCACAGGCGGAATTGGAAGTGAGCCGGCACGCGATTCGCTTGGCTGCCTGGACTGAACCTGCAAGGTCTTCGTTGCGCGACAACGTCCAAACAAAAAGACTAAGCTCGACAGGAAGCGTTCGAGAAAAGCGAAAGGAATAGAGACGAATGAATCAGGAGATGGAGGGAAGGGGAGTGAGGGAGGAGCGAGTGGAGAACGGACGGGGAGGGGAAAGGGGATGCTGATGATTAAGAACACTTAAGGCTACGGACTTTGTTGCTAACTTGCTACGATGGAGACCAGCAGTTGAACTCATTGGCCAAATTACGGGCCATCTCCAGAACATTCATTCATTTCATTCATGATTCAATTAATACGGCTTCCTTCCCCCGGTCGCGTCGCCCTGCGAGGTCCAGGGCAGTTCGGTGTGTGGCATTAATGCGAAGACAAAAGTTGGCTGCCGATCCAGCCTGAAAAAAGGGGCCTTCCATCCAGCCTTTTTCCTTTGATTATCAGCCTCACTGGGCCAATCACCGGGCCAGCCGCTGCGAATAAATTAAACTCAATGTGCTTTGATATTGCGACAACGCGTTCTCGCTTCACCTGTGCCCCCATACTTGATTATCGGATGCGGACTTGAGCTCATCAACCTGGTTTGGCTCAGGCACCCATGCGCCCTTCGCGGAAGTGATGAATAGACGCCATCTTGACGACTCATCGGCCAGGCAATCACACTCGTCATCATTGGAGGAGACAGTGTGACATGGTCCATTCATCTTGAAAACAACATGCTTCGGTTGGCCCATTTGGACTTCCGTGGAGACACTTTCCGAGGAATATCACAGGGCGAGAATCTACGCATCTTATGACCATTTACCAAGATGAATCCAACACCTGCTGTTCAGGGACAACGGGCTTTTGAGGGAGCCATCTCAAATGCCTGGTGAAATCGACCCTGATCCCAGCATGGAAGAATCGAAATGACAGATCGCCTTCATCGACTCCTTGTTCATCTCTATTTGAACGGTTGTTGGAGATAGATAGAGCACCTGGCCGCCAAGCCGCCCAGGGCTTTCCCCACGCCTCCACTCTGCTCAATCGGGGATTGGCCGACGCCGACAAGATATCAGCCACGGCGGCACAAGGCATCCTTCAGATCGGCTTTGATGTCGTCGACAGAGTATGCCGGCCGGTACGGAGTACTTACAGTGATCTCCAACTTCGTGCATGCTCTCAGACTTCTTCTCAAACTCTCTTCCTAGGACGATGACCCCGGAAGAATGATCCTCTTCTGAACAGCCTCCCGCGAGTCTCACCTGGACTTCACCAGCTCTATAAGCGGAAATTGGCGTGATACATACTGGTCCATGATATGAGACACCCTGGCTCGGCTTCGCTAGCCTCTCCCATTAGAAGCTCGATGTATACTCAAGTCTCTGACTCTGTTTCAGCTGCCATATGAACACGGCAAACTCTCGATAGCCCCGAGCCGGTAATTCATATCGCCTACATGGACGTGCAACATACCCTCAAGCCCAGAGTACGAATAAACTCCGACAGCTCGTCCTAGAAAGGGCAAGGAAACTGATCTTGGATCTGCCGTACAACCTTCTCGGCTTCAATGTCACAATATTGCCTTTCTCTGCAGAAATGAGAAAATGGTCTGACTTCAGTCCTTGCTTATCAGATTCTGCAATCATACTTTCAAGGTATTGATCTCTGGGCGCCAAATCTCGATTGTGTAACTCACATCGATGTGGATTCCGATCTATCATTCATTTAACAGCTGAAGTATATACCCCGCGCGCCCGGGTCTGGCGGCAGGCTGTGCTACCCAAGACCTAAGAAACAGGGTCCGAGATCTGGCCCTGGTTGTCTTTGCCGACGAACTGGCTATGAACTGCCTAGTAGTAGCCATACCGCTTGGGCGGTACCAGGGGAAATGCGGGATGAAGAACTGGTGGCTTTGCAGTTCATTTGTGAATAGGGCCAGCCACTTTGGTCTCCTGTGGGCGATTCTGCCGGTCTGTGATGTAACATTGCAGGTGGCATAGATCTCAGTGCGTTATTGGCGGGTTCCAGAGCATGCTGCACTACCGACGGCGAGGGCACTCCCCTCTTAGACAACCCAAAACAAATGCAAAAGGCACATGAAACCCCTTGCTTGAACCGTATTACGCGACTAGATTTGTCGACGCTGTTTCTGTTCTCAATATTGAAGCTCGGCACGCCAGCCGAGTTCAGAAATATCATCTTCAGGCAACCAGGCGCCCTCCATTCCTATTCGCGACGCAGTGATTCTCAGCAATCATGTTCTCCTTGACTTCTATATCTATGCAACTGCCCGCGCCATGTCGATCTCGGGGCTGTCATCCAGCCTGTAGCTGCTTCAACGCCTCCCCTATTTCGGAAACAACGGCACCATCCCCTGCCTTATATTAGCATGTCTATCACAGCCCGGGACCAAAAGAATGGAATGTCTCACCTTTGCGCCTTTAGGCTCAACGAATAAACCTCTGGCCTCAGCAACCAGCACCCCCTCTCTTTCCTCCACGCTCAACCCGCCACCATCCATTACGTTCGCACTCTCAACACTTCTCTCCAACATGTTCTGGGCCCCAAACTCCCTTAAACACCTCATACTCCCACAAACCCAAATCTTCCTCAGCTTCTCTACCTTCTCGATGCCAACCCTATAAACATAAACCCTCCCTGGCATCGCAGGAGCTCGGAAATCCAGAGTCAAATTCGCGGTCATTCCAATCCCACTCGGGAATATCTCGGCTGCGAGACGCGCGAATGCATCATCGAAGAGGACGCCTAGTAATCCACCGTGGATATACCCTGCGTGGCCCGTTAGATGGGTTGAAAGGTACGCCGTTGCTATTATCTCGATTTTGTTGTTCTGTTGAGTTCGAGGTCGACTTTCTGTTAAAGGGCGTTTGAGAAAGAAGATCGGGTCAATTGGGAGTTTGCTCGTGGATATCATGGAGGTCGTTACTAGGTGCGTTGATTGCGCGGAGGGGTGCATTGTGCGCAGTGGGCGAAACTCCGTGTAAGTGACCCCGGTGCTCGGATTTGAGGTGGCTGGGGTGCTGCGCACGTAGCGGATTAGAGGGAGGGATGAGATGAGGTCCTCGACGTATCGTGGTGAAGGGAGTGTTTGCGTCTGAGATGCTGTCAAGTCTGCGGGTGGAGCTGGGAGTGACGAAGAGTCTCGGGCTCCTGAGAGCCATGTGCCTGGGACTGGACTGGCAGTAGAACGTAGGCTGCGGCGCTGGCAACCTGTAGAGAACAGCTGGGGCCTAATCCAGCTAGAAGGGCATACGCGGTTGAGCCGCATCTCTACGCGCGAATGACGGTGCGAAGGGAGAGTAGGTTCCGAGCTCGCAGCTATTCACCAGGAACGTAGCGAGTAGTCGAGGCGTCTCTTAGGGCGGGGAATCGACTACTGGGTTCGGCCCGAGGCACTGGATTGATATCAGATTGAGTCTACTCTATAGGATAGCATGCTTGGGTTCGTCGCATGTGCCGCCTTACTAAAAGATATATCTAGGTAATATATCTAAATAAAAGGTGCTGGTCTGGTATCCTACTGCTTCGGTCTCCTCGTTATCATATGGTTGCGAGTGTCAAATATATAGTTGTTCCCCGACGTCTGGCAAAGAGGGTAACGCGGTGCGCAATTCCTTTGAAGTATCGAAAAATCCTAGAAACAATAACGATCGATAGTCCCGAGTATACTATCCAACCGAGATGTATACCATGTAACCAAGGACATGCAGCTAGTCAGAAGACAGAACCAAACGCAAGAGCTGTCTCAATGGTCACTCTATAAAAGACACAAGGAGAACAAAACCATGCAGTAAACAGGCCGCCCCCCTTCATCTAGCTAACTAGCATCCGATCGATACCAACTCAAGCCCACCCAAATCACCCTCGTAACCATGGCAGAACACCCATCAACCAACCAAGCTCCCGTCCTCATCACCAAGACCATCCCAGGCATAACAACAATAACAATAAACCGCCCACAACGGCGCAACGCCATTGACGACCCAACAGCCCAGAAGCTCACAGCCGCCTTTCTGACCTTCGAAGAAGACCCCACGCAGAAAGTGTGCGTGTGTTCCACGGCGCAAACGGTACTTTCTGCGCGGGGTTCGACCTGCACGAGGTCGCAACGTACGAAGCCGCAGCCGAGACTGATTCCCCAGCATACCCGACGCCGGTGCCAACTTCCGCTCGGGGAACAGATATGCAGCCCATGTCGTCTCACCGAGCAACCACGTCCAAGGGCGCAACAGGGGCCCCATCGGCCCCTCGCGCATGCAGCTAACCAAGCCCGTCATCGCCGCGGTCTCCGGGCACGCTGTTGCCGGCGGTCTCGAGCTCGCCCTGCTTGCCAATATCTGTGTCGTCGAAGAAGACGCTGTCTTTGGTGTCTTTTGCCGGCGGTTCGGTGTCCCGCTTATTGACGGTGGGACTGTCCGGCTGCAGGCTGTAGTTGGACTGGAACGGGCCCTTGATATGATACTTACTGGAAGTGCTGTTGGTGCAACCGAGGCGTTGAGTATGGGGCTTGCGAATCGCGTTGTGGCTGAGGGTAAAGGGGTTGAGGAGGCGATGGCGCTTGCACGGCAGATCGTTGGCTTTCCGCAGGCGTGTCGGAATGTGGATCGGGCGAGTTGTTATTATACGGCGTATAATACCAGAAGTTTGAGGATGCTTGGGCGCGAGAGTTTGAGAGGGGAGTTGGAGTGATCGAGAAAGAGGGAGTTAGCGGAGTGAAGAGATCCAGGGATGGGGAGAGATTAAACATGGGAGATTTGACGGTGGAGTTAAGGGGTTGCTTTGACTGAGTTTGTCTGTCTGAGGTTTGAACTTAGCAAAGAGTGAGGTTAGGTTAGGTCTCTGAAACTAGGGCCAAATATTCAAGACAGCACATGGTTTATATTGTAACATCTATGACCCTCTATATGCCCAGGTCCACTATTACACTGTTCAACATGGGTATGATATTGTGCCTTCAAGGCTTCTTGTACAGATGGCCGGGAGACGCCTGTTACAGAATTAGTTAAGATACCTAAATGGAAGAATGAAGATAGGCCGAGCTTACCTGGTGGCTGGGGAAGATCAGAGTATCAGCAATCACAACGTTCTCCCTCCGGCCAGCGGCGAAGACGATGACTTCGGCGATGTCATCAGGTGTGAGTGGCTCGCAGTTACTACAAGTTGTTAGTATTGGTTAAGGTATCGTGAAAGTCATAGTGGCTTACGCATAGACAGCGTCGGCCTTGCTCTTGTCTCCGTAGAACCGAACAACGGAGAACTCCTACAACCTTGTCAGCTCCGTCCGCAGCAATAAAGGTTGATACTTACAGTCTCAACCTGACCGGGATCGATTTCAATGATACGAATGCGGGTAGAGATGAGCTCCTTCCTCAAAGCCTCGGTGAAAGACTTGACGGCAGCCTTGGTAGAGCAGTATATGCTGCCACCGGGGTAGGGCTCACGACCGGCAATGCTTCCGATGTTGATGATGTCTCCGCGGCCACCATCGCTGCGCTTCTTGAAGATAGGGAGGACAGCCTGGGTCATGTTGATCAATCCGGTAACGTTGGTGGCGAACATGACGTTGATGTCTTCAGGGTCGATGTTGGGAGCTTGAGCAACGCCCTTAACAAGACCACTGCATATATTTAGAGCCATCCCCATCGACCTACTCATGTAGCACACTTACGCGTTGTTAACCAGGACGTCAATCTCTTGGAACTCTGTAGGAAGAGATGGGACAAAGTTCTTGATCTCCTCCGGGTTGCTGACATCTAGCTTTACAGGATGGACCTTGACACCGTCGCCAACCTCTTCCTTGATTTCCTTCGCCAGCTCCTCAAGGGCATCGATGCGCCTCGCTGTGACAATAATCTTTAGGTCCTTGGGAGCTGTCCGCGCAAACTCCATGGCTGTGCTTCGACCAATGCCGGATGAGGCGCCGGTCACGACGATCGTCTTGCCCTCGAGGCGCTTTGCCATTGCGGAAGCCATTGTACGTCTGAAGAAGGAGGATCCGAATGCCGGAGTTGTCCTTGTCCGAGAGAGTGGGGGAATTGCGGAGGTTCGAAGGGGAGACCAAGCAAACTGGCGGAGGGTTGAAATTGACTGGCGATAAGCTCGGAAATGCTTCATATATGTACGGTACTGGCCAATCCGTCAAGGTAAAGGTTCGGGAAACAGAAAACAGCCGGCCGATAAGGGAGGGCAGTATATATAGGTAAGTCGCGACTGCGGGGAGTGATCTCGCAATAGCGGGGCTTATCAGTGCACGCTCGGTTGAATGGTTTGCCCGTCGGACTTTTTCCGGCCTGCCGACCGGATACCTGACCTTACGGCAGTGTACCCCGGATAAGTCGTGATATATGCTAAGCCACGTGCACCAACGTCACAACAATTGCAAGATTTTGTACAACACTTCTCTCCTCTCAATAAGCTTGAGCATATGTACTACGCTGGAGCGGACGATACTGGTTGGCTCTTATTCTGGCTTGTTGGATGATCTTCGCATTCCCTAGCTCAGCGCTTCACGATGCCGGGTTCTCGTGCAGAACACGAAATGCTCCTTCTATTTGTCAGAAAACGTGTATTTCTCTCGGGATATTTGAATGAGCGCTTACTGCCATGATATTGTTTCAATGGCGGTTCAAGCCCAGATGTCGCCGGAATCCTAGCGCGGGGGTAATGTTGCTTCCGCCATCAGAACCTCCCTCAACCTAACATGGTGAAATCATAGCGTCCACGAAAATCAAACATATCACTTATCTACTTCTATGAAAACGGCTAATACATGGTAAATCAAACAGTATCCTCGGGATAAGTCTATAGTGGCGCTGGTGCAAAGACCTAAGGCGGCATGGTGACCATCAAAGGGAATCGGTTCCAGTTGACGGCCGACAACAACATACTGATGGCCCGGAACTTCTTCGCGAAAAGCATATTTTGAGTCACGGATGACTATATTATGGCTGCTCGACTCTGCTCTTTTCGTGTCCGAATGCCAACCTACAGGCTTCATCTAAAACCATTCGAGTACTGAAAAATATACCGACGTCTACCAACGCTCGTTTATACTACAGCCCATACTTCATTCCAGCTCTACAGGCCAGAAGTCAAGATATTTGCAACCAGCGCGGGTATGAAGACGTTCCTGAACTCGTTCAAGAGCGAGCAAGTTGCCGAGCAACCCGCAGAGACCCCCCTAACCATCGAAGAATGCAAGACAAAGTGGCAAGAAGCTATCAACGACGAACTTAGGTCTCGAGAGAAGCGGCAGCGCAATGATGGCGTCCATATTCATCACTACAATTGGCAAGGAGACCCGGTATTTGAACCGAGCAATACGGAGCCCGAGGTGTCGCTTTTCGTCATTGACCTCGACAAGAGTAACCGGGCCGTCGCGATGCGTGACATGGAGCGGATCACAAGCATCACTAAAAACGCAATGAGATACATTGACCCGGTCATCACGTTGCTCCCGGGGAGCGAAATCCCTGTGGGCCAGGAGACATCGACGACGCACAAGGCCAAGGGTTGGGCGGCCAAATTCTACACCATACATGGCTCGTGGAAATACGACGAAACGGAACGCAAGACGGCTTATTTGGATAGAGGTGATGTCGATCAATATAGAACAAGACCAAGCGTGCGGATTGAGAATGGGTTCCTCCTTCGACTGTTGGAGCGCGACGAATCGATGCGTAAAGCGATCGGAGTGCCAAAATGCAGGGATCGTAAAAACGGGAATAGAAGACAACGGCGAGCCCCAGTGAAAAGGCCATCGCCGCTCAGGCAGTGCATCAAGGCCTCTGATTTGTAGGTTGAGGGGGAAGACGGGGCCATTGCTGGTGGACACTAAAGGTGTTATGGAGTCGACAAGGATAAGGTAGATGTGAACCACATACTAGAGATGGATAGGAGTGGGACACTCCTAGGTGTACCTGAAAGATATTTGCATTTGGGAACATATTCTGTTTCGCTAATGGTCTTTGAGAATGCATGTGACTTCCCTCGCTTTCGCTGCCCCTCCTTCTCTGCTTCCTTCCTCTGCTTCTTCCATCTTCTCTACTCTTGCCTTCAGGCTCCGAGTCTCCGACACTCATGCAGGGGTGATCTAGCCTCACCAAGATCATAATTGCTGGCACTATCTATTTGTTTCTATTGAACAACAAAAACAGGCTAGTGCTCTAGACGGCGATCCCCCACGCCTTGATCAAAAGTACGGAGTTCAGTCAATCATTTTGGCCTCTCCGGACCTAGCCAGGCACCGGCGCACATGCCTACAACACCGACCAATTTAATGATAGCCTCGCGAAGCTCAAGCTGCCCGATGGACTGACTATGACGCCGATCATCACGGCATCATTTGCATGAATCATGAAGCTCGTCCACTGCGTCGTCAATAATGGAGAGCCCAGTGCCAAGGCGCACGTTCCTCAATCCCCGGCGTTTTGACTTCGCAAGCGTACCACTGGTCTGGGACTGAAGTGCATTATGGAACTATTGAAGTTTGGAGATGGGCCTCAGCGCGTGCATTTGCCACGGTGCCACCACATGGCAGTATAAGCTATCAATGGGTCAACGTTTGTTGCTCTTCGGCAAAAAGGGAATTCGCAGGCCGAGACACCTGCTGTCAACAATTGCAACTTGCGAGTGCAGAACTCAGATCCGATCTGTTTCAGTCCGGTTTCATCCAATCATCTTTGACCAGAAATCTTATGATTGGCGCGTCAAGATTTCAGTATTCCGGCTGATTCAAGTACAAGCAAATCATGGTGTCGAGACTATTGCGCCCTAGCGAGGCTGGAATTCGCAGAGACTGAGGGTGGTGCGATTAAGCGATTTGGATTTGCCCCTAATGGCTGTCAGTGTCAAGACAAGATCTCCACCCTGACACAATCTGGTTGACACGCAGCTCCACTGTCCAAATTCAGGGAGCATGGCCCGGATCTCGGAGCAGATCTTGGTTGCACCTTACCTTGCATCCTCGTGGCTTCGGAGTTTGGCGTCCTTGGCAATATAACTATAGGCTTATTTCTTGTTCAACAGCGCAAAGAGATCTTGCGCGACAGCTGAACAGCGAAGTCATTCGCTGCGAGTCAGATATACGTATGATCGCGGCAACTTCTGAACGGACTTTCAGCACCAGCCGCGCCGGGGTGGTCTTTGGTGGAGCAGCGCAGCCAAATCAGCATTCCCAAGACCCAGCTTGTGGATTACTTGCTTCCCTCAGGCCGTCGATCGTCACTATTATTGATCTAAGGGACCCACTGCCACGCGACGGCATAGAGAACCATTGTTGGGAATATGAGTTACCGACAAGAGGAACATACCCTCAGTTGACATGGTCAGATGTCCAATCAAATAGGAGACAGTCAGTGCAGTCTCCGTTATATGGAGCTGTCTCCAGAAATCATATATTTCTGGCGACAGCCGCCACACTTGTTCATTTATGCCCCTCGACTCCCCCCGTCCCTTGCTCGGGCGTCCCACAAGCTTCTCTCTTTGAAAACACGATTCCACACTCCTTTACTGACCCCAATGTTTGCGGACACTTGACGTTTTGATGCCCTTATATTAACGCTCTTTTACTACTCACAAACACATTGATACCTTCTTTCTTGCGCGACGATGGATGAGGCTCTGGAGCACATTCTGCTCCTTAGAGACCATGGCGATGATGGTGCATCTCGAGGACGGACCGCAATGGTGGTAACGGCGGTTCTGACTACAATTTCCGTTGTCGTTGTGGCAATGCGCATATATACCAGAGTTGGGATAATGAAGTTAAGCGGCCGAGAGGATTGGACCATCCTCGTCTCTCTGGTATGTATCTTGCCATTCATATCCGAATCAATGCTAATATATCTTCCAGGTCTTTGCTATTCTCTATCTTGCCCTTGTTATTTGCCGTAAGTCAGAGATTATATGTTATAAAGTCGGTCACTGATTCGTCCTCAGAATACCGATTTGGCCTGGGAAAACATAATTATGCTTTATCACAGCACGAATTACGAGAACAATTGAAGGTTGGTTCCCAGATGAAGTATTTGCCGCACTTTTACTCAAGCAAAGCTAATGTATAGCATGCATACAGAGCTTGTGGGCCGCAATCCCTCTGTATAATGCCAGCTTAGTATTCACGAAGATCTCCCTGCTCTTCCAGTACCTGCGCATCTTTCCGAGCCACAAGTTCCGCATCATCTGTTACATTGTCATGGGAGTGGTAATTGCATACTCAACATGGGCCATCATCAGCGGGTTCGTCAACTGTGTGCCCGTGGCCAAGTTCTGGGACCGAGACCTACCTGGTCACTGCCTTTCTTTTGAGGCTCTTTGGTTCTTCAATGCCTCCATGAATATCGCTACCGACCTCACTCTACTCATTCTACCGATGCCGCTCATTACACAATTACAACTTCCGAAGCGGCAAAAGCTTGCTCTTATGGCCGTTTTTGCGCTGGGTGGACTGTCAGTTTCCATACCATAACGGCTTATTCCTCTAGATTTATGGCAGCTAATACTCGTGACAGGGTCGTGATTACCAGTGTCCTTCGTCTCTCCGGTTTGCGCACTGTAGCAAGAAGTACCGACACATCATGTATGTCTCTCCTGCATCTCTCTCCTGCATCCTCGTCACTGGGCTCGGCTCACTAACAACACCGAACAGGGAGCAACGTCGCCGCCGCTTACTGGACCGCAGCCGAATGTAACGTCGCCATCATTTGTGCCTGTCTACCCTTCCTTCGCCCTCTCATCAGCCGCATATTCCCCAAATTCCTCTCGACAAACAGCTATAATAAACGAAGTGGCAACCCCACCCGCACAACAGCCGGACGCTCGACGCGTCTCAAGTCGACAACAAACCGAGGCGTGTTCTCGCAGCACGACCCCGAGTTTGGTCTTCATACTATCGATACAGAAGTGGGGGTTGGACCCGGGCTGAGGACGGTACTGGATGGGAAGAGAGGCGTTGGTGCAATCGAGGTCACGACCGAGGTGATTCGGGAAGAGAGAACATCACCAACGTCTTCGCCCTCGCCTTACGGACATCGTACTGGGAGTGGTAGCGGTGGTGGCGGTCACGGCGGTCATGGCGGGGATTCGAGCCAGACCAACCTAGTCCGGGAGGACCGGTAGCTCCCACCTTGTCTCCTCTTGTTATGATCACGGATGGATTGTTGGGATTATCATCACTCGTTATTTCGGAGTTTGAGCTTCGGTTTTTTATGTCTTTGTCTTTCAATATACCCAGGTCAATTGTTATTTACACATTTATGATATATAATTCAACTCCGAACACATACATATCTAACCTGATAATTTCCCAGTACTCTCAGTGGAACCACCTGTCCCAAGCCTGAGTATGATTACTTCCTCTAGATCCAGAAGAAAATGCAACTCCACCTGTCCTGGCCGGGGATCATGTATCGAACCAACTCAAGGAAGAGCACTCCACGTCATTCGATAGTCTGAGCATGGCCACGGCCTTGAACTTGCAATGAAATCAGTAGTTCCAACAACCCCGATGATCAACATGCCCTAAGTAGGTGGACAGGGTACCCAACTACCCGATTCAGGCCGGCTTGCGACGGTCAGTATAACGGGCGAACCGCCTCTGCAGTGCTGCACTGCTGGCAGCTGCACCACCAAGGTCCCCGCGCTGGGGCCACATTCCTCCATACGTACAGAAGGAGTAGTCGCCGACCTCGGAGACGGGCGGAGAAGGCTGTCATGACGTCTGTAGATGTGCAAGAGCTACTCCGCAAGGTCATACCAATCTTGGAAATAGGTACGAGGATCGGATTCGGGCGAGGAGCCTTGGTTATAACTCAGATAAGATTGATAAAGATGATTGATTAGGTATTTCGATGGAATTGTTGTGGATAAGTCTATGCCTTCTTAATTTTACTGATGAACTCCGTCGACGTGGTCGTCCGCCGGTCCCTTTTGACCTCTGTCAAAGGAGTAGCAATAGGAAAGAAAACAGAATTCCAGCCTTAATTGGAGCCAGATGGAACCCCCGAGTATGCCATATTATTTTCTGGTAAGTAATCGCTAAACCCGCCGTCGCTCAAAAAGGGAAAAGAAAAATAGACAAATCGAAGATAAGACGGGATGGTGAACCGTCCAAGTGACATCAATAAGCTAAAACTAAGTGGAATACATCCATAGACAGCAGTGGAAGCTGGAAAGTGCATGTGGTATCTCGCAAGGAAAGATTTGCGCCGAATGTAGGCCTCTAAAAAGGCTGAATGGTTATCACTCGAATAGTGTCAATAGTCGCTTGTTCGAATTCCGAAGTCAAAGTCGAACGGGCTGAAATTCCATTGTCATTGGCTGGCGAGCTCCGCCAGCTCCCGCTCCTTTGCCCGAAGTTGTTCCCGCATTTCTTCGGCTTCCCGCTGCAGCTTCGCCCGGCGATCCTCCACGAGGTTTTCCATTTTGGATACACTAGGTAGTGGTTGTGAAGCTGCTTGGGAAGAGGGAAGCGGTGAGGGTTGTGAGTGATGCGGTTGAGCTTGTTGCTGACGGCTTAGAGCAGCAAGAGACGGGTCTAAGCGAGCTTCGTCGCGGGCATGAGCATGGTTCAGGATAGAGGAAATTGAGCTCAATCGAGCAGGTGCTGGCGGATTGGCCGACGAGACAATTGGTGGGAGTTGATTTGATCCGGCCTCTAATGTGGACGGAACGGGACCAACGTCTACATTCGGCCCGGTCTCTGCTAATGTTCGTTTTTTAGGATTCCCCGAGGAGTTCGGCGAGATCGATCGTCGCCCAAATTGAGAAATCGGTGGATGACCTGGCTCGAGCAATCTCGGCGGAGGTGGGTGGTGGGGTAGTGATATAGCTCCCGCGTTGAAACCTGTGAAGTCAACCGGTGGTGGTGCATAGCCAAACGGTCTCTGTGCGGCAGGCGAAATCCGGTGAAATTGATCAACAGGCTCTGAGCTGTAGTATCGATGATGCTCGTCGTGAGAATAGGCTAGTGTGGCAGGGGACGCCGCTTCTGGTGAGGCGGAGGAGCCGTAAGAGGAATGGGTAGCGGCAGTTGGAGAATTTTCTCGCAAGGCCGGTACGACACGTTTTCGCCGTTTGATAATGGTCTTTTTCATCGTGGTAGGTCGGTAGGAACCGTGGAGCTTGTAGTAGAGGCCTTGTATACATTAGTCAGATTTCGAGACACAATAAAAGGGGAGAGAAAAGATAGATAGAGACGTACCACAGGCATTACAGATCGGATGCCCGTTCTCGTCCCGTCGCCAGAGCGGTGTCACGGTAGTGCCGCAGTTTTGGCAAGCCACCAGCATGTTTCCCTCTGGTTGCCCACCATTCCTTGCCGGTGCCTCAGGCTCTTGCGGAGGTGGAACACTTTCCGGAATTACTGCCCTGTTCAGCGCATGCGCCGCGACGTTCCCTCGAGCGGTTGACTTGTAGACGCGATTGTTATAGGCTGGGCAACCGTCGCATCCCTCTGCACCACCTGTACCATTGCAGTTTCCACCACCCGGACAAGAGCCGGATGAACCACCACAGCCTTCATTTCCACCGCCAACGGGATCAAGGTGAGAGCCAACGGGTTGGTTTTGGGGGAAATACGCCTCGGGGCTCGCTTGCGTTCGATTCCTCTTTGTTGGCCTTGCAACGTTTCGAGCTTTCAGGTAAAGTCCGCATGCATTACAAATCATAGCTCCGGTAGGGGACCGGCGCCATAACGGAGTGCTCTTGGTTCCGCAATTACTAAAAAAATAATGTTAGCGCACCACAAACTGCAATGGTGAACAGCTAAACAAACCTGCAAGAATGTCCTAGAAACGAGGTGTCCTTTTGAGATTTGGGGGATGTCTTCTCGATATAATGCCCGTTCGTGGACGTCTCGGATGTCTGAACTATAGGGTAGTCACCCTCCCGATGGCTTTGTGGGCCTCCCGCCTCAGGATTTCGAGATCCGTCATCGGTATAATGTCGATCGAGAGGGTGTTCCCGGCCGGCTTGAGCGGAAGAGATGAGTTGTTGCGCAGCGTCTAGATCTTCGGCCGATGGGTGTCGCGCAACGACGTCCGGGTTTCGAGGGAGGGATCGCAACGTCTCCATGTGCGGAATGGACGCTAACATTTCCAACGTCTGCCTGTGCTCCAGTTTGTAGCGCCTGGCGACTCGAAAGTTCCGTCGGGAAGGCTCGAGGGAAGAACGAGGGAATCCGTTGGAACTTAACGGTCGAAATAAAGGAACGATTGGTTGTGCGATATATGTCGTACCACACTCGGAGAGCGTAATTTGATGTATGACGGGGTCAAAAGTCGGTCAAGATGGAATGCAGGAGGAAAAAGAAAAGAAAGGGCCAAAGGCGTCTGGCTGAGATGGCAAATCGATCGATGCTGGCAAATGCAGCTAGTGAGACTCCAGGCTAGAAAGGCGGAGCCGAGAACGGGCAGGAATGAAGATCTTTGAGAATGACAGGAGAATTGTAGATCCACGAAGAATGGGGGTCTGTACAGAGTACTGCCGTCGCAGTTATGGAAGCTGCGCAGAGAAGTTGGAGAGGAGGAAGGTGGCCAGTGGACAGGTAAGATCGGCGGCAAGGAGATGATCAGATAAAGCGACAAGATGACGAAGCTGACAGGATGCGTAGGAGAGGGCGTGCTTGGCAGCAGTGGCAGCAGTCGCCGAGTCGGTGATGGATAAGATGCAGGCGTTCTTTGTCCCTCTGATCTGGGTTCTGTCTGTTTCTTCCGGAGCCCTGTAGAGTTATCAAGTTGAGATCTCCCAGGGGAATGATCTACAACTAAAGAACTGGGGTCCTTTTGCGATGGGTGTATTTTCCAGGCCCTTCCACGGCTCCCCCTATATCAATGTTTGCTTTTTTAGGAGGGCTTTCCGAGTTCGACGGGTTGGAAACGATGAGTTTTAGCACAAGGCGAGACCCGAGTGTCTGTTCCCCTGCCCCTAGAAAATGTAGAAAAGTGGTTCTGCTCGCCAGTCTGCTCTGATTGCCTCTCTTCTCCCCAGAATCAACCCATCGCTGCTCCACCACTAGCGCACCGGTTTTTAATGCGGCTACTACGATTGGTGGAGGACTCCCTGACAGGGCCTGAATTCTGCGCTCCCAAAAATACATGTCATGGATCGTTCGAGCCGCCGGACTTCCGCGACTTATCTCCCCGTGTGGGGCTGGGTATTACGATGTTAATCTATGGGCGATTTGATTCGTCCCAACCCTCAACGTTCCTTCCGATTCGGCTTAACGCTCGTGACTTCGACCTTTGAACTGGCAGGGAATAATAATTCAAGACTACCACTACGAAGATAGGGTTGACCATGTCCAACTTTGCTGATGCCTACAGGAACAAATCAAGTGGTGCAGCCGCTACCATTCGAAATCTTACAGAGGCCCTGGCCTGCTTGTATGGCGTGACCCTTCACGGACAACGGCATAATGCGACAAAGACATCATGATATCCATGTTTTACCCGTATAATATCTGCATTATAGCAACGCTGCCATCAACCTCTCGTCCTACCGGAATCCGCTCTCGGATCCCGGTTCATCCCTGTCCCTGTACGTGCAGGAATATGTCCAAGGTACGACCGAGCTCTTGGGTATGAGTACAAGTTGACCGCTTTGTCAAAGTATCAACACGATCTCTTTCAGCCCTCGCACGGTGACGGGGCAGTGTATGGACCGGCTTTTCTGGGCGCGGGGTCTTACTAGTACAGGCTTCCTCGAGGATGAAGTCCCGAGGCATATTATTTCTCCGGACGTTGCTTGCTTTGTGACCGGGGATAATCTTGAATCAGGATTCGTATCCTTGACTCAACCCCGGTCACGCTCTGGCTACTTTTTCGTCATCCGAGGTTGACTTTCGCGCAAAGCCTGAAGTCGAATCGACTATAGAGAGTCTAGATTTCGGCATCGCTCACGAATGAAAAGCATCAGATATCATTCTGTGCGGTTTCCTGTTTGACCTAGGATCAAGCACTGTTGAGTCCTCCGAGACGGTCAAAGCCGCTTGCCCTGGATGCTTGGAAGTAAATGACAATGACGCAGTCAGAAACTAACGTTTGCCTAACATGGTTTTATTTGTACCAGGGCGCAAAGTAGGTGAGTGGGGTGATAATCAGATAACAAAATTAAGGGGCACCCTCGTACGTACATAGCTCCTGATCTGACTTGAAATTGCCGAACATACTCAAGGGCATGGACGTTAAGTTATACAATTATAACTGGTCAGAGTAATGAGTCGTCTACAAAGTATAATACAGTGGCTAGACGCACTAAATCAGTAGGATAAGAATCAGACAATAACGAAACATAGCGAGCACGCAGATAAAAGAATATTTATATCCGCATATAATCCTCCACCTATATCTTTCCCAATCGTCGCAAAGTCATTCATCACACTCATAGAATACCGTTCATCATAAGAATCCCGCATTCTTAGAACTTGCATTTCGTGGTATATATCTTGACAGAAAACAGTCGGTCGTTCATCGATCGTATTAGCCGCTCGAAGCGCAACACGACGATTGTCGTGTCGCAACGCAGATTTCAATCCCACGAACACGCATTATAAGCTCTAGACAACCTGCTCGGCGCCCCAGCTCTGGTCGGCCTCGCGCATGTTTGATGGGGGCTCGATGGACGGAACAAATTCCAACACGGCATAGCCAATACCAAGGAAACCGACGATAGAACCGGCAATGTATTGCAGAACGTGGCCGTGCAAAATGAGACATCCAACAAAGATGTAAACTTCACGACAGTGTTAGCGCAAGGGCGCCGCGCCACGGAGCTTCGGGAAGGCATGAGAACTTACAGACACCACGGCCGAGGAACGAGAAGAGGAAGGACGCATAGCGGTAGACGTAATCAGGGATGGTGGGCAGGAATTCCAGCCCAGCAACAACTAGAGAGATCAGCATTGATGTACTCCGCCGCAGCCCGAGACGGGAAAGCCTTACTGAGACCGAAGAGAATCACGTATACACCGGTGATAACATGGCCCAGGCTGATGGGGAAGAATTGGGCGATACCGCCGAGAACCATAATGACACCGACTGCCACATTGGCAAAGCGACTGAGACAAGGGCAACATGTCAGCACACAAATTCGGTATATCGGCACAACAAGGAGCTCGGTGTAACGAACAAGATGTTAGAGAGATCCATTTCGGAGTGTACGAAAGTTCGCTGAGTGGCAGCTGTAGCGGAATACGACTCGGGGATGATGGAATGGACTTCGGCGATATAAAGACGAGGATCTGAATTTTGCGCAGCTGGAACAGATTGCCCGTTGCCTAGATCTCGAGGAACCACGTTGCTTGTTGCGGTGGACGGTCTGTCTGTCAGGGGAGCTAGGTAGCAAGATTCCGCGTCGTTAGGGCGAATGCGCGCCGTTGATCAAGAGTAGTGAGCTGGAAATCCGGGAGGCAGCCTTGCGAATAAAGCTCTGGACTAGAGGTGATAAGCGGAGAGAGGAAAGGTTGAGATGAACAAGAACTCCAGCTCGTCCATGAGGCGCAACAAGCGGGTCTGCCAAGACGGATGACTAAGTCCGCCAAGCCTATGCTTCCGGTGGCTGGGACGTTTAGGGATGTTCATCATGTTAAAATGTCGACATTTTCTCCACTGTTACTACACTGTGTCTATCTGTCGACAATAAATGTCCATGTTTTTTGTGACAACCCGGCTTGACACATACGTGACTAGGTGGGCCGAGCTAATCCTTAAGTATGTCTTTGTCATTTAACATCCCTAGGGACGGTCAACCCTCAATAATACTCCGTACTCCGTACTGTAGAGATTCTACAAATTGGCCAAGGGTCGCCAAGTGTCTGATCATAGGGCTCAATGATAATAGTCAAACTGTTCTGCGATTAACACAGGAAATGTGTAGTTGGCGATGATTACTACTGTTCTGTTGCGGCTCGGCGAGCAGGGCTACCGCATCAAATGGCCACCAGATCCCCCACTTGCCTGTCTAGCCGCGCCGCAGACAAAGCATTTGCCAACTTGCACATCTTGACAGAGTCCTTATCCAGGTCGGCGTAGATGGCATCCAAGTCTGTCCCAAGCCCAGCTTCCTCTGCGGTCTTCAAGCTCCGAGAGTCAACAAACGGAGCGATAGAGGGCCAGACGCTTTGTACGTTGTTGAAAAACAGCTCAACACCCAAATCCCCAAGGCCATGGACCTCCTTGACAAGCTGTCTCGCCTTCTGGGGATTATTTTTGGCCTTCTTGATAAGATTGTTGAGGTCCCCATCTAATGATCCCAAATTAGCCCAAGAAACAGTAATGGAGCCTAGAGAGTCTGAGAGGCATGCGCACCATATTTCTCATTAACGAACTCAACCAATTTCCCCAGGTTCGTTGACCCCTGCTCTCTGTATCGGTTGTATCCTCCGTCCTTCAAAACCATGGCTCTCTCCTCCCAGCTGGCATCCCCTAGCTTTTTTACGTCGTGATATCCAACGTCGACGAGCTTGCGGAGCGCACGGTCCGTCAATCCATGAGACATCGGCTTCGACTTCAGCATTGCATCCATAAGCATAGCGAGGATGGTATCCGGCGATCCAGTGAGTGCTTTGTCTTTAATCGCTGTCCCTTCCAGCGGACCACGGCCATATTTCTCGATAGTCTTCTGCAGTTTCTCGCTAGTCGGAGAGTGGGAATCTCGCTGGTTTTTCTGGGCTGCTTTCCCCTTGCTCTCTCCCTTCTCATTCTCTTCACTCTCCACGTCACCTTCCTCGTCGCCTTCCTCGTCGCCTTCCTCACTCAAATCCTCATCAAGATTCCCCTCGTCGAACTCTTCTTCATCAACTAAACCTTGGTCATCATCTTCATCCGCGGCGCGCGACTCTCCAGGCTTGGCAGCTTTGCTTGGAGGCTGCGACTCTGTCTCGTCTGAGCTCTTTTCTTGTAATGTCGGTGTTTCTCCGGTGCCTCTCTTGCGCTTTGACGTGCCGGGTACGTCGTCGGTCTCTTGCTCGGACTCAACCGCTGGAGCTTTGTATTCTTTCATCTGGCGGGTGTATATAGGTAACGAGCGTTTTCTGCCTGACAAGAATGCTAAAAGGCCAAGTGTGTAACTGTTGTATTAGAGTTCACATCGTGGCCTGATGCCCATGATAGTGGTGACGCAATGGCGACGTCTGAAGGAAATACTAAGCAACCCGAAGGTAAACAGTAATAAACTACGTCAATGTTCCAGAGAGATCTACGTAATTATTCTACGGAGTAAGTGCCCTAGATTAAGTTTTGTGAGGTAGCGCGATCTGTTTATTAGGCCTGCATTTTAGTCCTTGCAAAGAGGCTACTACTTAGACAGGCGGGTCTTGTCTAGAATATATGCCTACCAGAGAGTTACAAACGACCTCATCACAACTTCGCCTGGACCTTCTTCTGCAAAGTCTCCTTAACCAACCGCACCGCCTCGGCTGCGCAGCCATAGGAAGACTGGTATCCAAATCCGCCATGGCCGTAGTTGTGCACGACCGCAACGCCTTGAATCTTCTCCGCCTCAATACGTGGCCCACCGTCACGCAAGGGACGCAGTCCAACGCCGTGCCTAACGATGTCTAGCCCTTCAATTCCCTGGCCTTTCCCGACTAGCTCCGGGCATATAGCAATAGCACGCTTCATGATGCGCAGGGCCAGGTTGGGATCGGGCAATGGGTCCCACTGGTGCTTTTGGTAGCTGCCACCCAAAATGGTTCCGCCGCCCGCTGCGCGGGTCATCATGTACAGGACTTCGTCTTCACCGTCGTCGGTGCCTGACATCGAAACCATCCTACCCGGTTCGTTGCGGACAACGATAATTTGTCCGCGGGCAGGGTAGAGCTTGTCATCGAGCACACCACCCAGCTTCTTGGATGATAGGCCGGTGCAGTTCACGACAACATCCGCTGGCTTGCCGGAGTGGTGGGCGCTTGCTGCGTCCGAGACGTGCTTGAAGACTGCTCTCTTGAAAACTGCACCGTTCTTTCGGCATTGACCGACCAGCCAGGGGAGGTATACTGCAGTGTTGATGCATACCGAGGTGAAGACTTGCGCGTTGTCGATACCGGGGGGTAGTTGGTCTTTTGGGACGTTTTTGAACTGAGACAGTTAGCCAATTGTACCCAGCATGCGCAGTGCAAGCTTACATCAGGAACAACGTCTTTGTACCACGGATTCTCGCTGACAAGCGCTGAGAACCATTTCCCAGTCGTGGTTTCTTGGTCTTTTTTTCGGTTGTGGATGATAGATTCTAGCGTCATGTTAGAATTATCGGCATGCTGAGGTTCAAGATGGCATACCTTGAAAGTGAATCCCAGCCTCCGGATGCTTCTCTGTCAGCGCCTTCAATGGCTCCCATGTCGCTCGTTCCCATTTGGCATGGTTAGTGCCAGGATGTCCCATCCTGAATCGGAGAGTTAGCGATAACCAGAAGTTGTTTCACTGAAGCAATGCCTTACGGAGAGTAATTGGCACCGGCCCAAGGAGAACAGTACTCGATATCGTAGTCTCCGGGCATGTGCTTGGCCGCGACAGTAATGGAGTTGCTGGGATCTTGGGATAGAAGATACGCAGTGGTGAGCCCAGACACTCCGGCCCTATACAGATTGTCTCAGTCTATATTTCAGACTTGATCTGGAATCATCATACCCAAGAACCACGATGTTATTTGTCGCCATTGTTATCTTCTTTCAGCCGGGGATGGCAGGGGTGTGACGAGACAAATCTGTGAGTCAATGGAATGAAGAGAGGGACGTTGGGAAGATATTTATACGAGAAGAGTTGGAGAGCCCAATATGGGACCACTGCTAAGAGATATCATAATCAAGAGTCTACCCCGACACCATGGTGAATGATTTGGTTTTCATTATCAAACGCGCCGATAGCGATTGATTGAGCGGCCGAGTGCAGTTGGAGAGTTGGTTGCTTCAACTTGGTTGGAGGCCAAGTGACGTGGGGCAGTGAATAGGCTTCCTATGAGCTTCTAGCCACCGTCACCGCTACAGCTGAAGACCGTTTGCTGTCCTATATTAGCAGTATATGCCCACAGAGAAGCAGCCGTCCGTTCATTGAACAGGGGATCCCGTCGTAATCTTATCGGGCTCTTTGTTGCAAGTTGCGGGGTTTCTTATCGGCATTGACTGGAGATCTCCATACTTTCGTCCTTGTTCACCGCATTGGCTGTAGACGACTTCTTTGTAGAGGAGAGCATTGATACCAGTCGTGATGAGGCATATACATGCAAATCTAAGAGACGTCTACGAAGTAGTAGTAGTAAGCTCTACTAACAAGACAGCTGCAGGAACTGGGTGAATCATGAGGAAGCGCGACGCGCCGGGAATACAAGCCAAACTTTACCGGAAGGAGAAGGCGCCCGGCAAACCTTACAACAATACGTGCGCTGTGACAGGGCTGTTACGAACGCGGAGGCGAGGGCCTGCTGTCGAGGAGGTTTCCAAGCCATTCACTTGACGAGTCCACTGTCTGGAATTGTGGTTTATTAAGTCCAAGCCAAAGGATCAGAAAGCTTGAGCATCACTCTTTCTGCCTTGCTGAGACAGGCTTTGTTTTCTACTATTCAATTCCGGCCTTTCCTGAGTCAACCCTGGCGATTACTATTTTTCAAGCTCCGTATTTTCTTTTTCCTCTCCTCCGAGTCCTCGACCCTCGCTCCACCGACCCTCCTTCGCTCCCCATTTCGAGCCCTCGTCCTCAATACCACTCTGGCCCGACAAAGCTCTCTTCTCTACCCTCCTCAATGAGGGACCGTCGCGGGGTAGGGATTTTCCAATCATGGCAGATGTCCCGAAAGGCGGCAGAATCGTGCCTATAATCGCCCCTCATCAGCAGAGCCATTCCGATGGGAGCTTGCAGGCGATCAACGACCCCAAGCACGAGAAGCCGCCGGAACAAGGTTCCCAGGACTCCCAACGTCAGGGTACCAAAAATACACGCATCAAGGTAGAGACAGAGACCTTGGAGCTCCCCAGCCTCAGTCGACTAGGGCTTTATGCGCTTCCGACGGAGGGTGACGGTATGTCGTGACGGCAAGATGTCGCGTTAATCTCGGTCCCTGCCAAATTACACTGTATATTAACTGGTCTCCATAGGCAATTGCCTCTACTACGCGTTATCTGACCAATTGTACGGAGACTTCAACCATGCCGACCACATCCGAACGCGTCTCGCGGATCACATATTTGCCCACCCGGAGTACTTCATGAACTTCATAGCCCCTGCTGGTGGGGAGCGGAGAGCTCCTAGACGCGCGGCAGCTGAGGCAGCTCGAAACTCCTACTGCTCGTCCTCGTCCGCCAGCCCTGTCCCTGGTCCGACCGCCAAGGATAAAGAACAAAGTTTCAATTCCAGAGTCGCCGAATCACGGAAGAACGGCGTCTGGGGGGGAGCAGAGGAGATACAAGCCTTTTGTCAGTCGTTCAAGAAAGATGTCAAAGTCTATACAGATTACGGAGTCCAAGATTTTCGCGACGTAAATGCTCCGGTGGATGAACAAAGGGAAATCATGCATATTGCCTTCCACGTAGGGGCCGCTATATCCAATTCGCTGTCTTCTTGTCTGATTCTAACACATGTTTTACAGGATTTCCATCACTATTCCTCTGTGCGTCATTGCGATGGTCCACATACGGGCTTGCCGCGCATCCCTAAAGCAGAGGAATTAGCACAAACCGCGACTGCGCGATCTGAAAGTGGCGTAGTCAATGTCGCTTCTCCGTGGAAAATATCAGCCATTCAGGAAGGCCTCGGTGACAGTTATAACCGTGAAACTATTGTGGAAGTACTCGAGCAATGTCGAGGGAACATAGATAATGCTTTTATGAACCTGATTGGTGACGATGCCAATGCTCACCCACCAGAAGCCACCGCTTCCCGAGCGATTATGAAGTCACGGTTTCAGCCATCTTCGCGGTCCTCATCCCCTCTTAGCATCGGAAGTAAACGCTCAGCCGATGACACTGATGAAGAAGACAATCCGCGACCGGCTTCACGGCGCTCCCGAGTCCGTGAACAAAAACGGCGGATCCTGCCGGATGTGACAGTGGGGATAGCATTTCGAGACGACCGAAATGACCTCGTCTCCTTGCGTCTTCGGGTAAGCCCCGATAAGGCCGTGCCAAAGTCGCCAGCCGATAGTGGCAGAGAACAAACAGAGCCCAGTTCATCCGATTCACCTGAAAACAGCTTGGTTCTCCCAAAGAAGGGTAGAAGATTAAAGCTTAGATGCAAACAACCCGCAGATGCTAGTGAGACCTCAAGCCCACAAAGCGAGCCAAACCCAACCGAGCAAAAGCTACGCCGGAGCCAGCGCATCACTCGAAGCCGCAATGCCCATTAACCTTCATCATTTCGCATCGACACTACTCGCTGCCTCTCCGATGTTTCCTTTGTCTCTTATCTCGACCACCTATGCGACAGTCTCATTTCGCCCTATATTCACATCGCCCTTCAATTGCATTCAAGCGCGTTGGGTGGCTCAATCCCCCGTGGTTTCTTTTTCAGAGCATATTGTGTCAGCGGCTTAGCGGTTGTTTTGAAATTACCCGATACTGACAGCATTTGGAGCCGTTTGTGCGACTCTGTCAACGAATCAACCCTATTCCTTTCCGCTCTGCTGTGCGGGCATCGGTACACATTATACCATCAGGCGGCGTTGGTAATTTTCGCGGAGTCATATTTCTGCATTTCTCCTGTTTTGTCCAGGAACGCTGGGACTCTTCTTCACGCCCCATGAGGGCCTTTCCATTTTTTACCCTCCCCGATAGAGAGTGTAGCATTTACGCGTTGCACTTACTCTCTGGCAATCCCCTTGGCGACGGCGCAAATTGGGCGTGGGTTTTGCTTTTTTTTTCTCCCTCTCATGATTCAGGAGTTCCTTTGGCGTTTGGGACCGGGAAAAGAAAGACATCGTTGATGCCTGCCCTGGCAACATTTGGCGGGCAATTTAGAATTTAGAAGTGCATTCCTGCTCCTTCCTCTTCTTGCTCATATTTGTGAAATCTGGCTGGACTGTTTCACTCTATGACTAGCACATATCAATTATTCTCTCAGAGAGAACTGGCCTGATGCCTTGCAAACTTCTTAAGCTGCAGTTGTAATCGCTGTCCCTGCTCTCCCTCTCAACATGATGACCTCGCATGATGGATTTGATAATTTCAATGGATTCTGCTCGTTGCTTCCTGAATCTCTTGCTCTAGATATACATGTCAAAACATCCGACCCATTACTCCGTGCTCTTCCATCAATCCACCCATTGTACGCCATGCTTTAAAGAAAAACAGAAAAGTGCCAACACCGAGAATATGGTATATCGTGAATGGGGCAAAATAGCAACGAAATCATAAGAATAATCAATTCCGACCCAGGCGGTCGGGGCTTCGTCTTTGTGTGTATGGTTTGAAGTTGCGGAGATGACAGTCCGCTCATGTCAAAGTCGGTGGGCTAGGCAGGGATTTGGGCCCGAGTCTTTTTTTTTTTAGGGTGGGTATGTAGAGACTGAATTTGAGCGGGCTGATATGCCTTCAGCGCGAGGCAGCGCCATTGGGGTATGTATAAGGGATGGACAGGGTGGTAGCTCCAAGACGCACTTGCTGATTGCGCGTCGAGGAATTGCGTCGAGGAATTGCGTCGAGGAATTGCGTCGAGGAGAAGTGAGAGATAAAGTGTTGCAGGGTAGTGGGTATCATAGTTGAGTTATGGGATGCCATTTGTGCACGCTCAAGGATCCGAGCCAGGGCGTACACGCATCCCAGGCGCGTAGCAGAGGTTATACAGCTCATCAACATAAGTCTGCGCAGCTGAGTCACCGGCTTCGACAACGGTGACAGATGTCTGTCTTCCCAGCGCCGCCTCAGTAGCAGGGTCCGCTATCCTCACCACGTCGACCTTGACTTCTTTCTGGACAATAATGTCGCCTAGGGGCGTGCTATCCGTGAGAGTCTCCTGGGATGATAGAGCACGTGTGCTGCGATCGCTTGGCCGTTTGCGCGACGACCAAAGGTTGAGGTTGAGGATATGACGAATTGAAGGAGCCATTTCGGACTCGGTGGCGGAGTTGGAGCGAATGGTTGAGTAGAGAAGGCCTTTGCTGAGCTCACGCGCGAGGCCGTCGACGTCGGTAGCGCCGCTGTTAACCTGTTGCTGGATGCGGAAGAGGCGGAGGGGAGTAAAGGTGTAGTCTGGGTTTGTGACACGGGTGCTGAGGGATCCCACTGTGCAGAAGGCGAGGAGCATGCATGTCTTGTCGTCGGAGATTCTTGTGCTGCGGCATGGAGCGATGAAGGGTCGTGGCGAGAAACGAGATGCAGAATTGAGGTCTGGTGGGAGGGAAATAGCGAGATCTGTCATTGCACGGCTCAAATCTTCGCGGAACTCGTCAGCGCCCTTGTAACTTTTGGCCTTTTCAGAGCTCAGCCAGTCGATACAAGTAGAGATTGGCCAGCCCTCCATATGCGAGATCAGTTCCAGATGGGGTACTAGCAGGCGCTTCGTCTTCAGAGTCATCGATGGTAGTGGATTGCCCATTCCTTTGGCAGTTAATACTTCAAACCGATCATGTACCGTAGGCCGAGTGATAAACGAAACAACGTGGACGCCAGCTTCATAGTTCCGACCAGATGCAGCAAAGTCGCGCATATCCTTGAGGTGAACTTCCAGCGCTCCTGATGCGACGTTCATGCGATCGGAAAGGAGAGTAGAGACATTCTCAATTGCAGCAAACCTGAAACCTGAGGCTGAAAGCCGAGAGGCTTCTTGTTTTCTCAACTGGCGGACCGTGAACATCAACTGGCCTTTCCCGGCACGCAACCTTGAGTATCCCATGGCGCGGGAGAACCGTGACGAGGGAAGAGAGGTGGTCAAAACATCATCGTACAGCATACCCAGATCATCCAACGGTTGACGAACTTGGTCAGCAAGATCGTTAGCCGCCACACAGAAATGACGCTTGAACATCTCGTCAAAGCCGGCAGAGACCTCGACTTCTTGGTCAGGGTCTATACCCTTAGCCATATACCGCTGGTGCGCGGCATCGTCTATCTCAATCCTATCTCGCATGTAGGGGACAACCTCTTTTATGAGATTCCAGTTTCTGCTTGCTCGAAAAGCCCATAGAAACGCAGGGTGTGTCCGGGTGAGATCATCGTCGCTGAAGGTCTGTATGTTGGTTGAATGTATAAGCTGATGGCCGGAGACATAAAAGCAGATCACAACACTTACCTTGCCGATATACCGGTCGACTATCTTCCTAGTAGGAAGAAGAGCATGTGGTGTAACCATAATCCGACCTTCAGGGTCAAAGAAAACAGAGGCCAGAACCAGCTGTTGAGCCTGTGTTCTCAGCCGTCTATGATCGCCGCTGGCCGTTATAGCGCATGCTGACAAGATCCCACAGGCGACACAGGACTAGGTTGAGTTAGTATTCAAAACGCGCGTCTTTGTAAAGCGAAGACTGACCAGCACAGAGCATATTATGACTGTTTGAGTCCGGGATAACTGGCCGCCTCGACCTGCAGATGGATCATGTTCTTTGTAAGTTGTCCCGACTGCAGCAGTCCAGTGCATGCCAGACACAGCCAAAGCCAGCAGACCGCCGCAGACCATTCGCCTCCACCAGCGGTTCGTCCATGAAGCTCTCCATCGAAAGAATATACCGAGCGCTGCAACACTGGCAAACACCGCGATCACAGCAGAGCCAGCAACATTCCCAGCAGCGTATTTGCATTTGTAGTTGGTGATGCCCAGCTGACCAACATAATGCATGCCGCACACTGATCCTCCTGTCAATACTCCTCCTATAGAGATTCTGGTGTATCCCGCCTTCTCGCTAGTACCAGCTGCATAGAAGGCCGCGAGCAGAACAACCACCGGAAGAACGAAAGAGACTCCGGTGAATGACATGCTATAGAGAACCTGAACGCTGTTGTCTCCGTTGCCGAGGACAATGGCACGGTTCCCGATGAAATGCATGCACCAAATGCCGATGCCTCCCATCGAGATCGCAGACGTGAGTAGCAGGTACCTAACAAACGGTTTAGTCAGACTTGACTTGTCCACTGTCGGAAGCCAGGATCGCTAAGGCTGCGTACCAGTTGTAAAAACCTGCCGTAGATGTTCGTCGATGAAGAAGCTCTAGCGTCGTTATGCAACCCATAACGCTGATGACATAGGAAAGAAAGATGAAGCCCGGAAGATACGACACGGCAATTGCCTCCCCACCGGGGAAGCTGTCCATATTCGACATGGCTCAATGGCGGAGTAGGGCTGACAACCTAGATGATGAGCAGTTTCAGAGAAATAGAAGGCAAGCACATAGTGGTTAACGTATAAGTTCAACTTGGACCATCTGGCCACCCAAAAAAGAAAACGAAGAGAAAGAAGTGAAGAATAAGCACCAGCAACTTTACTTAAAAAGTGGCGAGCTCAACTTGTTATAGTAGTGGGTTTAGATAGGAACTCCACAGAATCTATCTACCCTAATTAGATCGGGTCCACAGTCATCCAAGGAACGAATGGTTTGAAGGGTTGACAGGAGTCCAGCACTAGAAACTCTGGCAAAGCTGAAGCAATTTGTACTCCGTATGCGTCTCACATTGGCGTGATCCATATTAGGAATATGCATATCATTTGTTAAAGCCTAACCCTGCTGTTGATGTCACAGGCAAGGCGTGGCTTCAGTCTAGGGACCGCGTACTGAAGCAAGAACAAGCGGCATCCGCTTTTTCGTTCATGATAATATGTCTCGCGATATTCTGCTCCGGCGGCCTCATCGAGAGATCGTGCTATCGTGGCGGTGGGGCGTAGACTAACTGCCAAACTGGGTCTTCCGATCTGGTCAGATCGCTGATAGGAACGCCAGGGGGCGCTAGACCCTAGCTCGGGAGCCAGAAAGTTCTCCAATCTCAGGATTTGAGGCTAGACCGGGCAGCGCTTCCTACCGAGGGCGAGCCCCGGCTGCTTTTGCCCAACTACGCCGATCCTCGTGCATCGATAGTATCATAGCTGAGATTGCCCAGTATGACTATCGCCGGACGCCGGTGATCGATCCGTGCTCGTGGGATCGGAATCCTTGCAATTTATTGGTGGCTAGGCATTAGGCGAGATTTCTTTGCCCTCTGAGATTTGAGCAGTGGGTATTCTCTCTTCCGATTTGTCATGATGGTCGTAGGCCAAGCAGGGACAGACTGACAGCTAGATCACAAGCAGGGTTGGTGACTGGCATGGCCCTGTCCAAAGTGGAACCAAAACATCGAGCAGCTGCAGCTGCAGAACTGAAGAGTCGGTTCAATACTCCGTACATGATAAATCACGGAGCCACGCTGCCAGCAGACTAAATTTGGGTCCTTTCTCTTGTCGTGAGCAGTCAAAAGCAGCATAGTTGAAACTTAATCCTGACTCGGGTGTTGTTAGCTTGGAGGCTTGCCAGTCGCACCTTCGTCTCAAACTTCAGCTCACGAGACTTATGGAGGATTATTACCGTCATCTGAGACGGAGGGAAAAGGCAATAAACCAGCCATGGGCATGAACCATTGAACAATCCATATTGTTTGAGACTACCCCGTGTTCACCCCTGGAGGTCGAGATGCTGAAACGGGAGAGTTGCATGCAGGCGGACGAACTGGAGGCTGGAGCAGGGCCTCCTCGTCTGACTCGTCCGACTCGTCCGGCACGTGCCAGGCTCCTTCCTCCGACTTCTGCTCTGTAGCCAAGAGAACTCAAATTCCAGCTCGCCATCCTTCACCTCGCTGAGGCTCGCGTCTGCAGGAACACGTTTGCTGTCGTTGTCAAACGGCTTTGCCGATCGAAATTTTCCGACATCTGCAGTCTGATTTTCCAGCAGTAGCACTGATGTCCAAACACCAAGACCCAGTCTACGCCAGGACTCAAACAATAGCAGCTACCTCCTGATGCTATCGCTGTTTCTTTGCGCAAATATGAGCCCGTTAGCCTATACCCCGCTGGATTAAAAATTCGGTACAAGCCACGAAGTCGAGGGGCGAAAGTCAAGAACCGGGAGACACGAGACTCAAAGCTGGAAACTGCAAGTCGAAGAACAAGCAGATAGTATCCACAATACAGCACCACCACTATCTGCTCATGGCTGTCTGAAGTCATCTCCAGGAGCTCCAGGGTCCGTCTAGTCCCGTTCTAATCAGCCAATGGATAAGCCCTTTACGTCCAGGCAAGATGCGACTGTTACTGCTACTTCCTACACTACTCTCTTCCAGCCCCAAAATTGAATTATCCCTGCCCCTCAAGCCATGCTTCCACCCAGAGACTTGGCAGCTGAAGGGCGTCCGTACTTCGTACTCGAGATGGGTTTATTTCTCCAAAGTTCAGGCGGCATCCAGCATCATCAAGTCCGTGGTTGAACTGATTTGAGCGGAGCTAAAATTAGAGCTACGATTTACGCGTCACGGACTCACGGTCCGACTCACCGCTGAAATTGAATCATATCCAAAGTGACAGGCTTTCCATGTGGAAAACAGCACGAGAACGGATTGGTTTACCACTGACGGTTCACCAATTGGTCAGGGTTTCCTCCCGAGTCTGTAGGGTACCTTGAACAAGTCCTACTTAATGTACACGCAACTAATTCTGTCACTCCAGTCTCCGAATACTCCTCGTTTAGAAGTCGAGGCCCGGTGTTAGTCTCCCATAACGTTAGAGCTCGTAAAGCTTCGCTTCTAGTAGGGGCCGAACGCATATCGTTGTTCAATCTCTCCATTGGCGCCTTTGTGTACATTTCGTGTACTTGTTTGACCGTTTCTCCAAGTTCCTTGTGGCTTAGATATTACCGGGGAGTTCCCAGCCACGCAGACCCTGCTGGGTATTTTTTGAGTCTTCACTTTGTTCTTTTCCTTCAATCGAACCTCGGTCAATAATATGTGTCATGCTCGTGGAGATGCGGGTAATCAGATTTTATCCTGTCAAGGTAGACTCTCACCCACCTGCCACTAACACGACGGATATCGGTACACCGTGCTACGATAACCTGTGGAAATCCCATCAAGCCAATTATGGACATTCGTGGACTCCTTTCTGCGAACTCTTTTAATGCTCAGCACCATTGGTAGAGCGACAACGACTCCCGGAAATGTGTTAGGACCGGCCGGAACTATCCTGCTACCGAGAACCATAGCTGGACCGTATGATCACCCCTCTGGAGCTGAGCATCATGATTTCACAAACATACAGGCCCTTCGAAACCAGGGCTGTGTGGAAGATATCGGTCAAATGAGACGCGAAACCGTGGCTGTTCGTCGACCCTGGTATCGCTGGACCATAGACCAACACAAATAGGTTTGCAGAACTTTGGGTCCACTGGGCCATGATCAGGCATTGTAACCGAAAGAACTCTTCATATCAAACCTCGACTCCTGTGTGACGTTCTGAAGCTGCCGCTGCTATGGTATATGCCGGAAGTCATTCTGTGATATTACTCGGTGAATTGATTCTTACCGGGCAGTGCCATTGGGAAACCCAGAGCTTGATTAGCAACGTTGAACACAGATGGGCACGGAAGACTATGGCCGATGCAGCAGAACTCAGTACGAGGCTCTCGAGTCGCAAGTTCAACTTCCAATGAAGCCAGCAAAGCGGTTTACGCCAATGTGCCCCCTTTCGACCACTTACAGGCTAATGCCCACACTTTAACCGAGTTACTCTCGGATGCATGGGAGCAGACATAACAGCTAGGGTGTACCGGGTCAAGGGTCACCAAGCCACAAAAAGAACTATCGTACAGGGCGGCAATAACCGCATCTTCTGGAGATCGTTCGCAGGGCCGCAGTCGAGCAACGACGCTGCCCTTTGTATCCATGGAGCTAGAGGCCTCAAGCCGCTGCATGTCCTCATTCATGCACCAATCGTGTGTATACCACTGATCTGAAAGTGCTCGGTTGGCCCTTCGAGTAGCTGTTGAGCTTAATACTTGCACTCCGCTTCTTTATGCATACCAGATGTGGCTGAAATGGATATTCAAGTTGGCGCTCGTCCCATCGACATGCCCATCGCATTCATCCGCCTCGGTGACGACCGCGTGTGCCAATCGGACATGGTTCAGTTGAAGGTTTTCGTGACTGGGCCAAAACAATGGCGCTTAGTAACTGGTGTTCGGCGGATTGGCACTTCAAATTACACTGAGCTGGTTGATGTTAACAGTAACGGTCCGGTCGCCCGTGGTCCGTTATCGGTACTTCTTGTGAGCTGCGCGCCATTCCATCTTCGAAATACAAACGTTTTACGCTTGGCTTCAGCGGGCTCAACCATACTACAGGCCGATAGGTAGAGGAGGCACTCGGATACCACACTGATATTGAGTGCTTCACCATGCGTCCCATGACCGCGTTTAGGGGCGCCACCATGAACCGACTACCTCAACGATAGTAGGATATATCATTGAGCATTGTTTCATTCTACACTGTGATCATAAGAGCAGCGCACTACAGGCAGTTCTTTAGTGACGCCGTTGTTTAGACATCGAATGGAGTATCCAAGAGGCGCTTCGACTTCGTTGGAACATTTTACTCCGCGGGACCAGCAGTGACTTGATGGCACTTGAAACGTCTTGCCGTACATGTGACCGCGCCGAGAGAAGCATTCGAAATGCATGCAGTGCGAACAGCGGCCGTGTGATGATTTTTTTCCATATCTAGTGCTTCCCAGGCCAACCACACTCGTCAAGTCGATGGCGTTCCCAAGCGGTCCATGTCAATAGTATTTACGTCGTCAGACTGTTATCTAGATGCAACTGACACGCACGGGATTGCCTGACGCATCTCCTTGTACGCCAAAGAGACACTGCATATATGCGGTATCCCATACCAAGAAGGACGGCTTGTTGCCCGAGACATAGCAGGAAGGCTTTGCGGTTGCGGACAACGCCCGTCGTGTCGCGTCTCTAAATAAATTCATCAATGTATTGAAACAAGGGAATCAGCACATGATTGATTTCTATTCCGTGGCTGACAACTCTGGGATCTGCAGCGATTCTTGGGCAAGCATCGGCCATGGGGCTTTCGGACTGCCTGCAGGACGTGGCGTGCTAAACGGTATTGATGAATACCCTATCCCGAGATCCATGAGACGCAGGAGTAGCGAGGGATTGAGAAGACGCTTTATGAGCCACGGGATGTCCCGGAGGATGTGGGCGTTGCCGCAAGGATTTCATGGGGCTCAAGGGCTTGCAGGTGGCGCCGATTGAGATCGAGACGCGTTCGGCCACTTACCGTGCTGCGGCTGAAGTGTCGATTATAGGGGTCCTGGTGATGATGCTCGCGAGAGGTCGTATGCTCCTCCTATTCTGCACTCTGCGAAGGCTCACGATTACACGGATGACAGGGCAGGGATGTTTTTCGGCTGCGGCTTTCCCAAGGGGAATAGTGCGAGACGTCGTAATTGACGCGGGGGACATACTTTGCTGAATTCGCCATTTGTTATGCATATGGCCCTCCTGGACCTGGGAACAGCCCTTACCCCCGGATTTCTAGAGATGCCCGGATTTGGCAATTCAGGCGACGTCCACCGCCGCACAAATCTCCGGTTGTCCGCTCGTAGACTTCGCCCGCGCTTGCTTGGCATTTTCCGAACGGTGTCGGTACTCCGCTATTCCAGCGGACATGGTCCTATCATCACTCGAGTGTTGGGCTGAAGCGCCGTTTCAGATAAGAATCGTACCGTGGTTCTGGAGTCGCAGTCGTCCGGACGACCCAGAACAGGCAGTACGAGACCTCCAACTATAGCGTTGTCAGGTTCGAAAGTTCTGGCTGCCCCTTATCTGCATTCTGCACAAGATGCGAGCGCCGAGAAAAAAAAAAGCAACGACAAGCTACTGCACGTACCACGTGCTCCTAGTCAAGAGGTTCCAGCAGGTCGGGTCGCGACAGCCACTAACGTGAGCGCATCGACGGCTTTTCAATCCTGCCGCCTCAACGGGCATTTTAGGTCCTGACTTGACGAATCCTGCGGACGCACACAGAAGCGACAGAACTTGTAGGCCACGCTCACCCCGCAAGACTCGGCGGAGGACCCTGTGCCGCGCTGGGAAACGTTCGCGTACGAATAAGACCATCCCGTCGGCTGTTCTATCCAATTCTCGCCAAGCGGCGCTGCGGCCCAAGTCTCTCCAGAGTCCAGTCTCCAAGAGTCCGGGCCTCCAAGGAGCCCACCCCACTGCTCAGGGACCAAGCGTGATATTTAGATTAATCACAGAATCAGTGCGCAAATGATTTCCTTGCAGTTGTTCTCCGCATTATTCCCACAGGTTACGTTGACGACTTGTCGTAAACATGGATGTGTCGCCCATGGAACCAGCACCGTACCGAGATTTGTCCCGTCYTCAACAAAAGTACGACAGGGAAATATCAGTTCGCCTTCTAATGCTGCGGACCTCGAAGAGTCGACAGCGCAAAATACGCCGCTCTCATGTTGATCGCAGGCTTATCATTCCTTCTTTTGTTAGGAGCTGACTTTAGCAGGGTAGCTAGAATCCTGCTAGATCAACCACTAGCAAGGATTTGCTTGAGTTAACAACTTAACTCACAGATGACAGGCCAGTTTAGCGAGTGGCGCTGGGATCAGGCCTTGTTTCAGGCACTACGCCGACTAGCCCTGATGCGTTTGCGTGCCAGCGACGCTGCAGGCTGCCGCGGGCGAATGAGGTCCACATGGTATACTTGCAGTGGGACTAGCGCTCATTTCCGACTGCACGGCACCACCTTCAAGGCTAGAAGACGGCAGGATCGTTCCAGTTAAGGAGTCAGGGCCTGGCAAAAGGTCTTTAAGCCGAACCGTTCCCACTGTTGTCCCCCAGCTTTTGGTCCCAAGCTTCGAAGTTCAACATCGAACATCCTCGATCGACCTCTGGTCAGCTCAACCATGGCCATTACCGGCGACAACTCGCCCAATGTGGCGGGTAGCGTCATCATGTTGACCATCCTTGCTTTCGTCACTTTCGGGTTTCGCGCGTATTGTCGGATCACCAGAAGATCATGGTCCACGGAAGATTGGATCATGACAGCCGCATTGGTATGTCGGATTGTCTCACTTCTATCTTCTCGGTGGGTCTAGATGCACTGACGAAGAAAAGGCACCATTCTGTGTGCTTGTAGCAGGTTGTGTTGGAGGCGCCTTCAACGGCATTGGCATTCATCAATCGCGACTGGCGCTGCCCGAAAACCAGAAGTATCAAGCCGGCGGCCAGAAGTTCTTCCTCATCTTCGAAGTCGGCTATTGTGCCGCCATCATTCCCATCAAGCTCAGCATCAGCTGGATGCTGGTTCGAGTATCCGAAGGGCGGAAGAAATACGTCTATACTCAGTATGCAGTAATCGCTCTCTTCACTATTATGAATATCGTCGCATTGATATTCATCCTCACCAACTGTATTCCAGTCGAGTATGTCCACAGTTGTCGAAGACTCTCCAGCAAGAAGGGCGATCGAAGCTAATGGATATCGCAGGGCCGCTTGGGACCCGAGTGTCGGAGGAAGCTGCAAGCCTGCTTATGTTTTGGCTGATGCCTACTATGCCTGCACCGCTGTAAACATCGTCACAGACTGGATCACTGCCATCATGTTCGTACCAGCCGCAATCTTCACACTCTGAAAAGACTACCAGACTAACCTTGGCCAGGCCGATCCCCTTACTATGGAACGTCCAGCTCGACAAGCACAGTAAGATGGCCGTCATTGGACTGATGGGTCTCGGTATCTTGTGCGTACCTCACTTTATCTCAGACACCAGAAGCATCTGGCCCCTCCAGCCCAATACTGACTGTTTACCCCCTGTTAGCGCCTCTCTCTCGGCCTGCGTCCGTCTCAAATACACCGTCAATTTGACCAACCAAGACGACTACCTCTACGCTATCGCCAACGTCGTGATCTGGGGTTTCGCCGAGAACGCCATCGGCATGATCGTCGGCAACGTCGCAACCCTCCGCCCTCTCTTCCACCAGTTCTTCGAACGCACCCTCCGACGAACAGGCTACACCAGCAGCCGCAGCCGATCACGATTCCCGTCCAACTACGAGCTCTCTCAGCACGGAGGAGGCAAGGGCGACCCCGGGAATGCGTACCTGTCTACTGTCACCGAAGTCCATGGCAACCAGGCCCGAAGCAGGCAAGACAGTCAAATCAGCGACGACGACAGCCAGAAGATGATTATTCATGGCGCGGCGAGCCGAGGACATAACGATATCATGGTCAGTCGGCAGGTTAACGTTACCTACGATGCGTAGCGCGGGTGTTCTTTGTTTGGGTTGGGGTTTGGGAGGGTTTTTGGGCATAGTACTTACTACTATTCTACTACTATCTTTAATATTTCATAATGTCATATGATACCTTCTATCTTGTCACTGCCTGCCATTTCTTCACGTCCTAAACTTCTGGTAGTCTGGTAGACTATATGCCTAGTAGGTTTTCTAGACCAAGTGGAGTCTCTCAAGCGAGATTACCACCGGTCAAGAACGATAAGATCTGCGCCCAGGAGCACTTAGCTAGCTCCCCAAGACTGCGGTAGTATGGAGTCAAGCACGAGAGTAATATTAACATCTCAGCCGCACCCAGAGAAAATTCTGCCTCGAGAGTTATCTAGCCTCGCACTCACGAGGACAAGTTGGGTATCGCAAACGAGCAGCAGCCCGCAGCCTGCAGTCAGCAGCCCCTGATTCTGACAACGACGATCAGTATCTTGACAACTGGGAAAGGGGACATGCGATACCCACCGCACGGTAGGACCGGGACGAGGCGATGGAGTTGCACGTCGGATTCTCCGTTGATAGTTTACGGAGTAAACCCGTGAGCCATCGTAAGCTTAGCCACAGACAGTGAGACACTGGGCCTGTCTTTTCCGCTGGTCCGCTGACCTGAGCAATATCCGTCAACATCAACGGAGAGGAGAGATAGGGATCGACGGGGTTTTAAATAGAACTTCACCCGTTCCTGCAGACTGCTGTACATCATCGCATCATGTCAGAAGTGTCGGTGTGATGTCGGTGTCGGTGTCGGTGTCTCCTCAGAGTTACACGTAGACTACGGAGTACTTATGTCCGTTTGTCTGCGTACAGACTGCCCTGTCCATTACCTACCGCGTCTGTCCACATTCCGACCTACGCAGCCCAAGCAATGCCCAGGGCGCCAACGGTGGCCTTGCCCTATCTTCAGCATACATCACATATCTGGTCTATGAAGTACGCCTTCTCGGAATTGGCGGAAGACGCAGGCAGCAATGGCAGGGACAACTCGGAGAGCAAGGCGGTTTACTACAGGGCTCTTCAGACGGGGACTCTGTTCGGTGGAGAGGATTTACTGCGCAGGTAAGGATATATCTCATCAAGATGGGTGCGGTTCACGCTTATGATGAGTTATTTTGTGATTCCGGTGTACGTCTGTATGGATCCCGGGGAGAAGGGTATAGTGAGTCGGATATCGTTAGAAGGAAAGAGCGCTTGAACTCCGCCTGGGGCCCTGGAGGCGAAGAGGTCCTGCCTATTTAGGAAGGGCATCACGCCTCTCTAATGATGGCTCTCTCGCAGTTTAGGTTAGTTTACGTCGGATGCAGACAAATAATAATGGAGATTGCAACAGGCAGCACCTCTCCCAGTGGCCGTAAGTTAGGTACTGCAACAGTGAGGTCTGTTTAAGCTCAATTTAGCTGGCCACGGTGCTAATGCTAGTGCTAGAGTGAATCATACCCTGGCTTACTAGTAAGAAGTCCACTAGCCGGCCCCTAGGAATGCCATTGTTCTTAAAAATCTCTACGGGTCTGCGAGTCATGAAGTTTGCAATGTCGGTTTCTTTTACGGTAAATGTCTTTGTAACCCTATATCTTCATCGTCTACATTTACCCCAGGGCCAATGTAATTGGCTATACAAGGAAGAAGCCGAACGTAAAACTCGCAATCATGTATGCTACGATATGCCCTTTATGCCTGGTTAGATCGGGAATAGTCTGCGTCATATGCAGGTAGATGCATCTGTTATCTTATCTCTCTTTTTGCTTTTCATGCGGCTGAAGAATGCTACGCTTCAATTCGATATTTCAAGTACATAGGCGTTGAGCACGACTCCGTAGGCATGCGATATTAATGTAGCAGACCTTCTTAGAGCGCACCGCCGAGCTACAAAGATACGATTAATCGGCGTTCGGATAGAGTAAAGTCGGGCAGCTGTAGAAAATAAAATATCAAAAAACCCTCAAATTGACCTAGTATTAACAACAATCATATCCATCACCACAGTATCAAGACAAAAAGGACTCTAAGCAATCAAAGACTTGATGCCAGCCTCAAGAGCAGGGGGGTTGGCACCGACAACGTCAGAGACCTTCTCGCCGTCCTTGAAGAGGAGGAAGGTGGGCATGGCGCGGATGCCGAGCTCAGCGGCAACCTCGGAGAGCTCATCAACGTCGATCTGGTAGAAAGCAGCGTCGGTGTATTGCTGGGCGAACTGCTCAACCTTGGGCGCGATGGCCTTGCAGGGACCGCACCATGTAGCGAAGCAGTCGACGACGACGGGGCCCTTGGCGTTCAGGACCTTCTCCTGGAACTCGGCCTTGCTATACATCACATTGACTTTAGTAGCTGATCATTTCAGACGGTAAATGATGAAAGAGGACTGGGATGGGGACGTACGTGGTGATGGCGGGGACGTGTTCAGAGGCACCCATTTTTGCGGCTGAGGGGTGGAAGAGGACGGAGGGGGAAGATGAGAAGGCGCGTTTAGCGAAGGTGCTGTTCTTGGTAGTTGCGGGGATGCGCGGGCGCGAGATAGTAGAGGCGAGAGTAGATGCTCGAGTGGTGAGAGATCTGGAGGAGGATGGATGCAGACTATGTATGGAAGACGAAATGATTAGCTCGAAATGAGGGGCTTGCAGGGGAGGGGCAGAAGGCAGAATCGGTCTTATATCGGCTGGGTGAAATAATTCCCCGAATGACGTTGCCGCGGCCGTTGATGATGACTAATTCAGCCTTTTGCGGCCAGAAAAAGCTTCAAGTACGGTGAAGGCAGTAGAGGGTTCTAGGTGGGTGCTTTCGGTGTGGCATGCTTACCAACGAGTACGCACAGCGCGTAGGGCAGTAGAGGATTGATTTGTCAAGCGGAGGGAAGCCATGTTGAAAGAGATATATATGTTTTACAAGGAGGAGTCAGGCAATTGGTTAGCTGATAAAGCTGTGCACGAGAACCTTGAAGGAGCGTGGTCACTGGTTTGCCGCCGCGGCCTCGCCCGGGACTCGGGAGGCTGGAGCTTACCAAACCAAGCCAAACCAAACACCGGGCCCTAAAGCGGCATCGGATGACGTGATTCTGGCTTATCAATCGATGCGGTCTGGAAATAATTGGTGCCTAGGGCTGGTTTCAGGCAAACATCTCATGACAGTGGGACATATTGTATGACTCTTCTAGAACACTAGATCTGATGTGATTACAATAATAGCTTGCATGAGATATCATGACAAGGACACAGCGCAATAAGCTGCAGGTCTATCAAAAGGAGTCTTCAAGTCTCAATAGCACACAGGCCATAAACCAGGGGTGACACAACTCTTCAAAATCTCGCCAATGGGGGTATCAACAAATTTGAGAAAACAAAATCAAAAAAAAAGCCGCCAACAATACCAGAAGCATTATCAGGCTTTCGCTTCAAGAGGCCGTAAACAGGGCTCCTCTCCGTTACCTGAGTAGCTTCAGGCCCACGGGAGTAGGCAGGAGAGAAAAACAAAGGAAAGACCTCGGACATAGGAAATGGTAAGGAGCGGCTAGGAGTATATACTCCAAAAGGGGTGTTCAATAATTCAATCTGAAGGGAGAAAAGTAGGGTTGGCGAGATTTGCGTGAGTGGGAGCCGGCACATCATCATCAACGGTGCGGCGGGGTGTTGATGGCGGTGTCATCATCAGTTGGGAATAGAATTTCGGCAGAGTGCTCTTCAATCGGGCTGAATTCGTCCTCTGCTGAGATCGTGGACAACGTTCGAACGTTGTTCAAGAGTCCCTCGATCGACTTGGGTCGTAACGTGGGGTTTACAAGTACCGGCCGCCTTGCAACGTCTTCGTGCCAAGTCTCAGCCTGTGGCCCAGGCTGCGGAGAGACGACAAGGTACTTGTCCTGGTCATCAGCAGTGTTGTTGTATTCTTCGCCGGGATAAGCGCCAAAGGCAACAAACTGTGCGTCACCAGAGTGTTCGTCGTCTTTTGATTTCTCAAGCCCTTCCTCTGTTCTGTGTCGGGAGGAAGTCACGCTCTGCCGGGCTGAGCTGGCTTGTCTTTGTGAGATACGGCGCAGAAATTGGCCTGACATCCAGGACCCTTCCGAGTCAACAGAGGCTAAAGACTGCGACAGAGGGAGGTTTTCCGGATCATCAAGACCATCTCCAGTCCAGGACTGGTGTCGGCTCTGGCCATCGGCTACAGAGCCAGGAATAGGATAGTAAGACTCAGAATGCAGGTCGGGCACCTGGTCTTCTGTCTGAGGTTCGTCCTCAGGGAGCTCTGGGGACTGAAGGCGAGAATCAGGTGGTGAGAGAGGCTCTTCACCAAAGTGTTCAGTAAACTTGGATTGAGACCGTTTGAACGAACTCGATCCGAGCAGGACTTTGGGAGGAACATAGGGAGCTGGCGGGGACGTCTGCGTGTGAACTTTAAAGAACGATTCATGCGAAACGTTGTTCCTCGGCGGCGGACTTCGGTCTGGGAAGCGCTCGCGGTAGCTGCGCTTCAGTCGTGAGCTACCGCGGCGGAAAATGGACGTGATCGGATTAACATGTCCACTACTGTGGTCGGATAATCGCCGCTCGGAACCAACATTCCTAGAAATATCAGAGATCGAGTCCCGCGTCATGCCATAGAGCTGCGACGAGTCTGGGCTGTGGACTCCATGTCTAGATGGCGAAAGTGAAGGTGAGAGTGTACTACGAGACATCGCCATGTCTTGAGACGGGCCAAAACTGAGACGCTTGGCAGCCCTTCGCTCACGAATTGATCTGTCATCGATATTACCAATGACATGCACACTTTCTGGGGTTTCGCGGCCATCCCTTCCAGGATCTCTAGAAGGCTCTCGCAGCCACGAACCTTGGTTCTCGCCAGACAAAAACGCCTCAGTCTCCTGTGTTGTAGGCTGAGATTCGGACTGTGCTTGAGGGAAAGATCGGCCGCGCTCATTGTCCAAAGTTTCGTGCGCCTGGGCGACAGGCGGTTCCTGAGGCTTTGGCACCTTTTGGGCATTGCGTTGCAGTTTGCGGACAAGCTTCTCTTGATCCTCAACGGCTTTTCTTTCTCTTCGTCGCCGATCTCTTTCCATCAATTCTCTCAAAGCGCCCGCATCAAGATCGTCGGCTAGTCCATCGATCCGTTTCTTTGAACGCAGGTCTTCATTGGAGATCTCGAGGGTTGGCGATTTAGTCCTTCGATCAGCTGGCTCGGGTGATTTCTGGTTCCCGGAATACGTCGCTCGAGGAGCTTCCACGTAGCGTATAATGGGACGAGGGGTCCAGGCCGCGAAGCCATTAACTTTGAAGGTATACGTATCAGAGAAGTCGGTTACCGACGAAGTCGACGACTCATGGATTGAAAGGCTGATATCAGAGCGGTGCCGGTCGATACGTCGGCTCTGAGCACTATTAGCTCGCTGATGGTCAATGTGCATAGGATCGCCCGGCAAGGGGCTAGTGACGCGGCGAGGAATGTCCATCGGCATCGACGCCATCATGCGAATCTCCCGCTCCCTCGCGATCTCATAAGCCTTCCGCTTGCTCAATCTCTTCTTCAACGTCGCCCGACCCTCGTTATTGCGACTCGGCTTGCGAAGTGATGGGTTTCGAGAAAGCAACTGTTGTTCCATGTTCGCATTGGACGAAGCGTGAAAAGTATGCGCTTTGCCCGGTCGGTTTCGTTCAGTTTGAAAGCCAGACGAAGAGTAGGGAGTAGGCTGGTGCATATTGCTCGGAAATTCGTCGGCGGGCTGGGAGTAACGGTTCTTGAGACGCTTCGATTGCTTGCGAGACGGTTTCCTGCCGAGGGTCCCCGCGTCGAAGCTATGACGAGAGTCCTGCGCCATAACGACATCCCCGTGAGCGTGGGCATCTGCATCCGCCTGGATGGTATGCCGCTTGCCCTTGCGACCAAACGGCCATATCGCCATGGCGTCTGATTTCGGTTCGGCCGGCCGACGAGTCAAACACGGGCGACCCCCTATTACCGGATAATCAAACTCGACGGCGCGAAGGTTGGATTCATTGCAGGTCGGTGAGACACGCGATCAGATGACGGACGGGAGCTTGAGAGCACAAGCCGAGGGTAAGCGGTGATCCAGGAATAAGTATAGTGGAGGCCTATTCTTACCAGAAAAAGGACCGAGACATGCACAGTCAAGGAAGAAGCCGGCGCGATAGAGGCGGAGCAGGGGCTGAGGCTCAGATGCAATGATCTCAGGTATTCGTCGGAGGAGGAGAGTGATCGGGGTCAGTCCAGTAGATGGGCAGCTTGTCGTGGTACAAGAATCAAACGGTCGAGAGCGAGAGGTATGACTCGTACGTCAGTGGCAGTGGGTGGCAATCTGGGCAAGGTGAGGTTCCCGCGACTACGGCACAACCAAACAAACAGAGGTAGATGGACGATGAGATGATGAAATGGAGGCAAAAGAGGGAGGGAGTGGAAAGTTGAAAAGGGAGAAAGGAAGGGAAAGAAAAGAAAGGAGCCCAGCCCAAAGGAGACCCAGCGACGATGTACGAGGGATGACGGAGGGCGTTCTGATTATTTGGGCGTATTATTTGTTATTAACTAACTCCCGGCGGCCCAAGAAGAGTCGAAGAGCGGTCTCTCTGGCGGTCTTTGGGACGAGTTACACCGTTGACAGCGGGCCGGGCGGAGAGGGTTTAATTACTGGTCTGGCCAGAATGCTCAAGAGGCCTGCATCCACCCGATGTCTTAAAATCTCTCTCGCAGCTCGCTCGTTGTCTTACCCGGGTCAGGGTTGCCCTGGCATGTCTCAGTCTACCAGCGTAGTCTACTTTGTGCTGGGTCGACATCGAGTACTCGGTACAACCCAGATCTGAGTATCTGAGAAGATCAATCGAATCTGACCTTCTGGACGTCTGGATGACGATGTCGATCTTGCAATTTCTTCACGGTGGGCTCGATGGGGAACCGCAGCCCAATGGAATCCATTGTCTGTACCTGCCTTAGGGGCCGTCCATTTATTGTTGATGATTCTGCCGGAGAAACTCCACTCTTGAGTGCTCCATTCTTAGAACGCTTTTAGGGGAAAATGCTCATCTATACAGGCCGAGGAGGGACCTCGAGTCGAGTCATGATAATACATTCAAACAAGCCTCGTTGCCAGCAGTTTGGATGAGTTCCCGAAGGGTCCCCTTTTCATTCGTCAAATCTCCGGATTTGCGTCCCTGCACTGATATCACATGGTCACCTCTAGTCACGCCCAACACCGCTGATTTGCCTCCTGACGCATCTATCACAGTACCAGAGAGTGGTACCCCGGTAATCAAAGTCTCGCAGTCGATTGAGCTAGCTGCTAGCACAAGATCTTCGAATGATGGGGTAGTAAGCAGAGGAAAACAAGTCCGTGACCGCTGACCACACAGAACATGAGACAGGGCAGCCACACACCGCATAAGCTCGCACAACATACGGAGTACGGGGAAGACCAATTATCCGCCCGTCCATCTAGGCGGTATTCCAATGCTTTGTCTATTATTAACTGGTCACTACAGAGCCGGTGCTGCTGTTCGAATGGAAGTTTGATTCTGTTCTCTTCCCTGCATATATATCTCGAACCCTCAAGGGTCCCATTCCTGCTGGCTGCTCTGGCTTCGAAATGGCATACTCCACAATTGCAATAATACCTTTGTCTCATGAAGGTTGGTACCCCGCAGAACAAAGTATCTATCATCTACACATGCAATTATTGGTGAATGGTTAGGATATCCGTGTTTTCAAGGGGCCTGCCGCCTGCATCGAGGGGCTGTCATAGCCCGTTTGGGGCCAATAATGGGCGTGATAAGAAAGTACCGAAGTACCCCTGTACAGAGGGAGAATACTACTTGTCAGATCTCACCAGTATGGTACGAAGGGGTTTCCATGTCTTTGCTAGACATCAGCTTGCAGAAGCCCTGGATTTAGAGGCGCTTGTAGGGCACCACGTCTAAACTGCGCTGGCGGGATACTACTATCGCTAGTGGTACATTACCAAACACTACGCCGCATATTGCAGCATCGTCCAGTTAATAAATGTCTGGCTACTTGTCCTCAAGACGCAATAGGCGAAAATTGATTTCTCTTGCCTGAATGCATCCATACATTGGCGCAACTGGCGTTGAAGTTGACCTTGCTTATAGGGCTCGTCTGACGAAATTTGAATCCTGGTTGTTCAGAATTATTCACGGAAGCATCCAGTAGACATCATCTTAATGTCCCCGCCATGGTGCAGTTGACTGGGCATATATGGACTGTCGTTCAACGCAACGAGCGTAAGATTCTGCATGGCTCGAAGTACGCAGGTGAAGGATTGGACACAATGATAACTGACAGGCCGAGACAACCGCGGTATCTAGGACTACCGTAAATGCTGACACAAAAAGATCTCCGTCTCTATATCGTCGACAAGAATAGAATTAGAGACCGGTCCAAAAAACGTGAACTTGCAGGGTCACTCCGGCGCCGGCGCGGAGCGTCCACACGTGGCGCCGTCTGGTCAGAAAAAAAACGCCCAGTCGATGCTCGAGGGCACAAAGTTTCGATGATCGTACAAAGTCAGATAATTGATGAAAGCACAGATAGTTTAACCAAATAAGCGTAGGGTGAATCTCTTTGGTCGCCCGTCTATTGGGTTGAGGTCGAACAACGCTTCCGGAGTCTGTTTGGCTCTCGTTCAAGCACACGATACCGTCTGCTTAGTCGTCGACTTAAGAGCCTCTTTATAGACCAGGGCTCTCGACTATCGGTGTTGTTTTCCGATCCGTCGGCGTAGTGTCTATGCTGGCGAGATTCGACATAGACGTCCGGCTGGTCCGAATCCGATCGCAAGGCAACCGAGTCTGCACCCATCATCGTCGGAAGTGAAATTCACACAAGCAGAGAGTCTAGCCTGGGCCTGGATCGCGTGAGGTTCCGAAGGCGCCGGGGTTCTTATTTCCGAGTCAGAGTATCTTTGATTAAACACGGGAGGGAGTTGGAGGCTTCAAGCCAGAGAATTCCGGCAGTAGTCGATACTGAGGCCCGGTGGAGGGCCAGGCCGAGTCCAAGCGGGGTTTCCGGTGTGGCTTGCGTGTATATGGATACTCCGTCGGACCCAGAAGAAGGCGAGACTCTGCGAATTTTAGTCCGTGAGATCCGGCCCTTTGGTAGCTATCTCAGAGTCTCAGACTCCGGCAGGTGGATATTGCTCGAGCTTAACCCAGGGAACTGAGTGAGATCGGATCCATCCGCGGGCATCCTCGAGACGGAGGGGCTCTGATGTCATCACGTGTATACATAAGGAAACGAAGTCATGGGAAGACCCTGGAGATAGGGAGTGAGGGGGAAGAAACTCTAGAAGACGGGGATGCTATACAGTTCGCTAATTTCACTGCAGTGCGTACTGTCTGGATTGCCGTTAGTTCTATCTGCGGGGTAGGTACGGTATGTCCTGATTGTTAAGCTGAGACATGTCCAGCCTCCAATTCTCTTCTCCAACCTAGATTACTTTCGGGGGTGCAAAGTAGGCTTCATTGATAAGTCCAGCTTGTCGTCCGAATACGCTGTACATGATACTTACTATTGCAAAAGTAATACTGACCGCTGACCTCAGAGCATCAGTCCAGACCGGTGACCACTCGCCACTCAACAAGCCATCCCCAACAAATGACTCGCGCGTGATGAAATTCCGCTTCAGCCAGAGAGCCCAAAGAAAGCCGGTCTTTGGACTGAATTTTGGACAAAGTCTGCACCTGACGGAGGTTTTGGAAGTATGTCCCGGAGCCTTTACGTAGTGTGGCTTCCTGGGCAGTTCCGAACAATCCCCGCCTTTGTCGGTATGAACTTGGCTGATGCAGTATTGACTCAAAAAAGTCAGACCTTAGTCTTGTATACTTACAATTCAAAGGAATCTGATCCGTCTCACGGGTGATTTCGTTTGTCGGGCTGCAATGATTCCTTCCATGCCTATACATAAGCATAATCCTACCACTTCCGGCTGACCGTTACTTTTCTCTTGGATATCGAGACAATCCCATCACCTACGGACTAGGTAGCCATACTTACTACCTCTTTGACTTACTACTACTTTACATACACATACGTGGACAGCGTGAAATGGCAGCCCTCTGGCTCTTCGTAGCACTTGGCTACCTCCTTCTCTACGCATTTGCTTCAATACAGACGCAAATACTTGATACCCATATGTTGCACCTGAAGTCGATCGCGAACTGAACGCCTTGGTACAAAAAATGCGGAATTGCTCGACCACGGCAGATCCAAGACTGACTACGACCACTACATCACACTCTTAGATTAAGCTTCGCGGTGCTAGTGGATAACGCGGGGAGAGCTTTGACCTTGTGACCAGTGGCCAGCCACTCTTCGAGCACTTTCGACTATCCGTTGAGGAATATATTCGTGTTTGGCTGGTTTGGGGTGAGAGCTGAGATGAAGGTCTCATGACAGATGCCGGGAGACGACGCTTTGCGACGATGAGATGAAACTCAAAAATTCCCTTCAATGAATTATGATTGACGATTACGAAACACGGTTTGTGTATGCCTGGGCTGGACAATGAGGCAAGATTTGCGGGACATATCTTTGACACGACGAGCATGATGGATCATGACGATGAATAATGGGAAACGGTTTGGTTACAATTGCATGGAATCTCGAATACTCCTTAGGGTTATGAAACTTTTCTCATTTTTTGTTCCCTATATGGTTTGTCCAAGCGGGATGATAATGTACGGTGCGTAAATCGTAGCTCATATACCGTGACGTGCTGCTGCTCGCGCAGCTTCCTGCGGCGGTTGGACGTTTCGGTATAGGTCACGAGTACCGAGGAGAGTTTCAGCTGACGCGTTGCAGGACTCTCTTCGGCGGGGCGTGAAGATGCCGAGCTACTGTGCATGTCGATCGAGGATGTTCGACAAAAAGTGAAGGTGCTGCCTTGGGCGGCGTCGGGTACCGATGGAAGCATGATTCGAGATAGAATGCGCTGTAGCCCAAGATCTTATCTTGACCATTTGCATACCACCCAGCGAGTTCCCACAACAGCATATGCAATCAATATGTGCGTCTTTAAACTAGAACCATATTTTGATCAGTTCTTCACTGACAGCACTTGGTGTCAGGACACCACTGTCAGTGATCAGTGCAGAGATCAAATGAGGTGGTGTGAAGTCTACTGAGTCTGCATCAAACTCTGAGTTCAAGCTCGGTGACTTTGGCACGTCCGTAGGTCGTTGCTGTTGTTTAGCGCTGTCGACATCTTCTTGCGTCTTGAAGTCGATAACATGTTGTTCAATGGGCAGGTCATATTGGCCCAGCGGGTAGACTCGGACAAACTTGTGGCTCTCTGCCACGACGTAGAACGGCTTCCCCATGGCCTTCGCAAGAAGCCCAATCTGGTAGGTGCCCATTCGCGATACTATGCCGCCATTCTCCACAACTCCCTCCGCACCAACAATGACCACATCCGCCTTGCCGAGTGAATAGGCCACAGCAGACTCTGGTATCGTAGCCACAGGAACACCCTTCGCCCGAAGCGCGCGCACGGTCTCCATGCCCTCCGGCTCAGCAGTTGGGTTCTCAATATCCCCCTTTGGTGACGAAAGGACGTATATCACTCTGAATCGCACCGCAGATGGCCCACCCTTTTCGTCCGCAGCCTGTTGTAGTAATGAAGCGACGACTCTAGACCCTCCATTCGTCAATACTGTGCTGCCGTCACGAACGAAGCCCCTTCCGAAGCCGGCGATCTTATCTCGGCTTTCCTTTGCGCGTCGAATGAACAGCCGGCTATTGGAAAGAAGGTGTGCTCGGATAGCATTGAAATCTCCCGCTGGCCCCAACTGACCGGGCCTCTGAAGAGTCGTGATGAGATATCGTTGGAAAAGATCGGTTCCTGCAGAAAGACCGATGGGGTTGGGAATGGACTTCTTCAAGTGCGTGGTGGACTTCTCGAGGAGGTCGAGTGTTTCTGATATCGTGGATGAAGGGGAGTGTGTAAGGAGAAGGACGAGGGCTTCAATAGCGGCGATTGGCATCGTCAAGTCAGGATCGGAACGAAGCAAGTCATTGTACGTCGCGACAATACTAACAACACCATTAGCATCGCCATGCACGAGACACTTGGAGAGCACTCACTCGAACGGTTCAGACGGCTTGGTTATCTGAGAGTTGGGGGCCGCCATCTTGTTCCAGTGTCACTTAGAGCCCTTGACTGATAGAGATATTCTTTTTAGCTGGACTTAGTACCTCCCGGCAGACAGTAATAATCTATTGAAGCTTGGAAGAGTCATCAAAAAAGAACATCGCGGAGAATTTGCATTGTTTGCAAGAGCCCCTCCAGAAAAGCCGCTAATCCGCTTTAGTTCCAGTGTTGCCGTGCCCGCGGGCGAGCATCATCGGTGTAAACAATCGACTGTCGCATTTTCTTCGCAGCGTCGCAACTTCCTCTTTACTTTACCGCTTTCTTCTTGTATAGGAGCTCGGAACCACCACAGGTTGATAGAAGACACGATGGCTTACAATCACCGTATGAGCCAGCAGTTCCACAGCTCCCAGCAGCACGGTCGGGGCGGTGGTCGCAAGAAAGAAGATGAGAATGACGCCTTGATGCGCCTGGTACGTGCCGAGGTTTCCAATAATGATTTCGCTTGCAACGCATACTAAACTGAGGTATATAGCCCGATAAAGAAATTGCAGGCTGTATCAACGATATTGGTATCCCATTCACAGCCGCCGATCTGATCAAGCCAAATCCTCAGCAGGTCCAGATGGTGCTCGAATGGTTTGCGGAGCTTCTCATGAACACCACCCACAACACTGTGGAACCAGCGATGCGCGCAGCGGCGGATGATATTTGCGGCGACTTCCCCGACATTATCCCTACTGATACGCGGAACTTGATGGGTTTCTTTGCCAATTTGAGGAGACTAATGGCGGAGGTACGGGCGGCCACCGTCTATGATAGCAAACATCTGCTAATAACTCTCTCTCAAAGTGTGGTGTAAATGACTTTACGTTCACCGATCTGACGAAACCCACGCACGATCGCCTTGTCAAGATATTCTCATACCTCATCAACTTCGTCCGATTCCGCGAGTCTCAAACGTCTGTTATCGATGAGCACTTTAACAAAACGGAGAAGACGAAGCAACGGATTGACACACTCTATGCTGAAAATCAGGAAATGGAGCAACGGCTTGGAGAAATGCGCCGCGCCTTGAAGGCTAACGAGGCGGAAGTAAAGGAGAAGGTGAGGCGAAACGATGAACTTAAGGCGCGCCTTCGAGAACTCGGTAAAACCCAGGAGCGGGTAGCGGAGACTCTGGAGCGAGTCAAAGCCGACAAAGGACGGCAGCAAAACCGATTGAAGGAAAAGATGGAAAGAGCTGTCAGAACCCGTCAAGAGGTCGATAAGCTGCGGCCATACGTAATGGAGAGTCCTGCAAGCCTCCAGTCGAGCCTCGCCGAATTGTCGGAAAATCTTTTACGGGAGAAGGCCCGAATTGATGCCATGGAGAAACGGGCACGAGCCTTGCAAACCTCATCAGACACTTTTACTGTGGTCAGCAACGACGTCCAAGCATGCGTTAAACTTCTTGAGGATATTTCGGCGGAGCTGCACAAAGAAGAAGACGAAGAGCATCGCGCTTTGCGGAACAAGGAAGCGATTTCCGAGAGAGGTAACAATGTTAGGGAAGTGGAGCAGACGGAGAAGTTGCTCCAGCGGCAGTTATCAAAGTGGAACGAGAGGATAGAAGCACTGCGGAATACCGCTCATGAGAAGGCGCAAGCGGCTCAGAAGCGGATGGAAGAGCTTCGGGCCTTGCAGGTACAGCTCCGGGACGAGCGGAACGAGAAACAACGTGACATGGAGCGAAGGAGGATTAGGATTGAACAGACAGAGAAAAAGGTGACCCCGACCTGTTTCTATCGGTCATTTGCTTCAGTCCTAACTAACTCGTGCGCAGATGGCCGACTTGAAAGAAAACATTGAAAGCGAAATCCAGAGTGCACATGATGAGTACCTCAAGCTTGAGTCTCATATCAAACTATACATCACGGAGATGGAAAAGAGTATGTAATAAGTGGCTTTCGTCTTTATGTTGGAGTTCAAGGGCAATTTGAGGATACCCGGGTGTTTGTCTCGCGTTTCTTTCTGGAGTTTTCGGTATTTGCAGGTCTATTTTGATGAAGCCACGATATAATTGTCTTATTTACTCAGATCTGTGAACTGGAACCACCGCTGCACGACTCTTTTGACTGGGACCGCTCGTCCAGTCCAGTAGTTTCCTTCGGTCCCGGGACGTAGAGAGCTGCTGAGCAACGGTACATCTGTGTACCAACAGGCTTCCCCGAGTTCAATATTGTTTGGATCCAGAGCATCCCGGCATTCGCAAAGCACGAGATCTATGCTTGCCCTAGAAGAGACTTCCACTGCGCTGGCGAATGTCCGTGACAATCCCTGGGCGGAAAATTCCCTAGTAGACCGATGCAGGCGCAGAGGGTTTAGAATCGCTAGCAAGGACAGCGACTCTTGTTCCTCAGTGACTGGCAGCCAACATTCCATGCCAGCAGCGAGACATGCTCTAAGATGCTCTAACGTAGGGCAATACACTGTTTTGACTTTGTGGGACGTAGAGAGCAATTTGAGGGTTTTGGTCAGCAATTGATGGCTAGCTGGCGCCGTAGGCTGAAGATGTATAGCAGCCAGCAATTGTTCAAGAAACGTCTCTCGTGCGGCGCAGACAATCAGTATGCTGGAGCCATCGTGGTTGAGAATATATTGCAGAAAATCGGTGACCCGTTGAGCATTGATTACGCGCCGGAGAGGCGCCATGAGAGGGGTCTTGCTGTCTGGACTAAGACGTGGTCTAATTTTGCAATTTTGTCACATTATCCGTCAAATTTGCGTCTTCTCAGCGTAGTGTGCAACTGGTTGGGACCCAAGCATGTCAAGTTGGGGTGATGCAAGGCTCGGAGAAAGGAAGCGAGAGCACATCTTTTCGTCATCTGCCCGCGGCCTTCTTCCGTCAACTCCCCGCATCCGCAGCCCCAACAGTTGCACATCCCGTGCTATACGCCTTGCCTCAGCGGAGGGGCTGAGCTGAAATGGAGACAATCTCCAGGATCTCTTCGATGCTGGAAACAGGTATGTTATGCCCATCAAGCGGCCGCGACGCCTTCCGAGCGCCTCCAGCTTGGAATCACGACTGACGTTGCCTTTAAACAGCTCGGGAGCTCACTCTCGAGGCAGCCCAGTCTGCCGCCATGTCTCGAGGAACGGGTATAGGCACGTCATCTCGCGATATTAGCGTCGCCCACATAAAAAAGCTCCTCGACTCGCGCAGTGACCGGGACGTTTTAGACGGACTGCGACGGATCATCTCTGTATAGCACCGAATACCCTTGCCTGGATCCTGGCGCCGCTAACTTGGCATAGTTAATGTACCGCTCCGAACCCTCTGTACCTTTCTTCTCCGCCGTCGTAAAAAATGTGGCCAGTGCGAACCTCGAGGTCAAGAAGCTGGTTTATATATACCTCGTCCACCATGCGGAGACAGAGCCCGACCTTGCTCTCCTGTCTATCAATGCGATTCAGAAATCGCTCACGGATCAGAACCCCCAGGCCCGCGCTATGGCGCTGCGCACAATGGCTAGCATTAGGGTACCCGTCATAAATCAGATTGTTTCGTTGGCCATCAAACGTGGGTGCGGTGACATGAGCCCGCATGTCCGGAAAGCAGCTGCGCTTGCTATCCCCAAGTGCTATAGGCTGGACCCCAGCACGCAGCCACAACTCATTGGGTATATCGCGACACTTCTAGGCGACAGCCAGTATTTTGTTGCTGGTCCGGCAGTCTCTGCATTCCTCGAGGTATGTCCGGATAGGATCGATTTGATCCATAAGCATTACCGGAGCTTGGTCAAAAAGCTTGTGGATATGGATGAATGGGGACAACTGGCTACTTTGCGTCTTTTGACTTTCTACGCTCGCCAATGCTTTCCTCTAAAGACACGAAAAGTGCAGAAGAATCCGGCAAAATCGAAGGGATTCTACGACGATGACGATGTGGAAGCTGATCAGGGTGGAGGGGAGACGTATGAAGTCCCCATTTTGGACCCAGATTTGGATCTCTTTCTGCGGTCATGCAAACTGCTTTTGCAGAGTCGCAATGCCGCTGTGATCGTCGCCGTTGCTCGGTGTTTCCTCTACCTTGCTCCTGCAGAATACCTTGCTGCGGCCATTGGTCCTTTGGTTGCTCTGCTTCGAAGCCCCCAGGACATGCAGCTTATTGCGTTATACAACATCGTGGTCGTTGCACTACGATACCCGAAGCCCTTCACAAAGTACCTTTCACATTTCTTGGTGCATGCGTCGGACCCGTCTCACATCTGGCGCCTGAAGCTTGAAGCTCTTACTATACTCTTCCCCCACTGCGGCGATCACTTCAAGAGCTTGATCATCAGTGAGCTTGAACATTTCGCTCAAGGCGCTGATCCGGACTTGGTACGAGAGAGCGTACGTGCATTGGGGCGCTGTGCACAAGGTGACCCTAGTACCGCTGACAAGTGCCTCCGTATTCTACTCCACCAAATCACAAGTCTGGATGACAATCTTGTGTCGGAGTCATTGACTGTTATTCGACATCTTATCCAACATGATCCAGGGTCGCATGAGCGGACAGTCATCCAGTTGGTTAAGCACCTCGGGCTGACCACGAACCCCGATGCGAGGGCGACCATTGTGTGGCTGGTAGGGGAGTACGCAGGGATTGACCAGGAAAGAAATTTTGCGCCAGACGTCCTGCGGGTCTTGGTACAAAATTTTGCGGACGAGTCGGAGCCTGTAAAGCAGCAGATCCTACTGTTAGGAGCAAAGGTGTATCTTCACCATATATTGCGGAATCCTCCGAAGGAGAAGCCTGAACCAGAGGAGCCTCAATCGAAACCGGAAACGCAGCAGCAGCTGAACAACGAGTGGGCAGGCGGCGATGACGAGCAACAAATCGAGCAGCAAATCGAGACGAACGGTTTGGATGAAGAACAGCATGAGCTCGAGGAAGAAGATGCAATGACTCTTCTCTGGCGCTATATACTACTTCTTGCTAGATACGACACGTCATACGACCTGCGAGACCGTGCCCGACTATACAAAGCTCTTCTCTCTTCCCCCTCAACAACTCAAATTGCGAATCTGCTTCTTCTCGCCCCAAAGCCGGTCCCGCATGCACCTAGCCCATCTGAAACCAGAAGAGACCTACTACTCGGCTCATCAACGCTTGTTATCGGGAATGACGCTGGACTTCACGGTCTGCGAGGCTATGAAAATATACCAAACTGGGTAGAAGCAGGACAGGAACCTGACCCCAGCCTACGCGAGTCGAAAACTAAACTCGATAAGCCGACTACAACAGCTGCTGCTACTGCAGGCGAGCAGCTTGATAGAGCACTTAGGGAGCATGAAGCGAGCGTTGCTGCCTCAAGCCGGGCGCAAGTGAGTCAGATAAAAAAGGCGGCTCCTGCTGCCAAGAACAAAACTCTGGACCAGTGGCTTGATGAACCTGAATCCGAGACGGAAGAAGAGACTGAGTACGAGGAAGTGACAGACTCCGAGGAGGAAGATGAAGAGGGATCTACCGAATACGAAACAGACTCTGAAGAAGAGGAAGAGGACGAAGACGAAGAGGACACTGACTCTGATGAGCGCGAACAATCTCGGCAGCTTCTAGGTTAGGACATTCAACTGCGTGAGGGAATATAGATTGGCTGATCTTAGCTACCCATCTCCTATATACTATCAAATATATGAAGTTGGACTAAGAACTGCCCAAGTGTTTATTGCAGCTTGTAGAACATCGATGGGAAAGGCGGTAAGAAACGGCAGAATATGTCAGGGATGCATCTCCGAGGCCTGATTCAGCCTCCGCGGCTCTGGCTACTTGCCTTTGAGCATCGGCACAGCTCAGGCCAGCGCCAACTGAGCTCATTCAACGAGGCTACCTCCGGTCTTTATTGCCGTGTCTTTCCTTTAACTTCCCTTCTACGCGTGATACGGAGTCCGGTCCGCGGCGCTTACTCACCCCACTGCTCCTCCAGTCCCTTGGTCATGATGAAAGCTACTGCGGGAACTTACCAGCCAGACGTACCCTTCCTCCAGCCAGCCCTCACAACACTCATTCTCGTATCTGTATGCTCAAGTTCCTGCTCTTGATATCTCCTTGCGATATCTTCTCGTCGTCATCTCAGTTGCCCGCGTTCTCGGGCTTCGCGACTTAATCGTTTTGTACCACCATTCTCTCAGCTTTATTTTAGATTTCGTTTCTCCGCCATGCCTGGCTTACCGGGTAAGTGTGCCGCTTGCCGCCTCATACGTTCCATCATCTGATATATCAGTAGCCAGCATTGACCTGGATGAGTGCATTGAGAGGCTGTATAGAAAAGAGCTGCTAGCGGACTCGGTGATCGAGGCAATATGCGCCAAGGCGAAAGAGCTGTTGATGAAAGAGAGCAATGTGGTTCACATCGCAGCCCCCGTTACGGTGGTTGGAGACATTCACGGGCAGTTCTTCGACATGATTGAGATATTCAAAATTGGCGGTTTCTGCCCAAACACGAATTACTTGTTCCTCGGTGCGTCCCCGCTTCCTACTACATGTTACGCGCGACTGCCCTAACCGGACGTCGATCATACAGGCGACTACGTCGACCGCGGGCTCTTCAGCGTCGAAACCATCTCCCTCCTCGTCTGCCTCAAACTCCGCTACCCGTCTCGCGTACACCTCATCCGCGGGAATCATGAATCCCGCGGCGTCACCCAGTCCTACGGCTTTTACACGGAGTGTGCCCGCAAATACGGCAACGCCAATGTCTGGCACTACTTCACCGACATGTTTGACTTCCTCACTCTGTCAGTCGTCATCAACGATCAGATCTTCTGCGTCCACGGTGGCCTCTCCCCCTCTATCCACTCAATAGACCAGATCAAAATCATCGACCGCTTTCGTGAAATCCCCCACGAGGGACCCATGGCTGATCTCGTCTGGTCAGACCCGGACACGGAACGAGATGAATTCTCGCTCTCGCCGCGCGGCGCGGGATATACCTTTGGAGCGCAGGTCGTTCGGAAATTCCTCGAGGTTAATAGAATGTCTCACATCCTGCGCGCGCATCAGCTCTGTCAGGAGGGGTACCAAGTTCTTTACGATGATAAGCTAAGTACAGTCTGGAGCGCGCCGAACTACTGCTATCGGTGTGGAAACCTTGCTAGCGTGCTGGAGGTCAGTGATACCGGAGAGCGATTTTTTAACATATTTGATGCGGCGCCCGAGAACGATATCCACCGTGGGGAGCAGCAGGCGCAGCAGCAAAGCAAGGATGGCCAGGGTCCTGTGATTGACTACTTTCTGTGATACCCCCTTTTTCGTCGTCATTTATTCCCCGATATTATCTTCCTTTTCTCATTGTCATCTTATTCTCATTTGAGCGCCAATTTTTGGAGTTTGATAAACTCAATTCATTTATAGAGGCTGCATGGTCTGTACCAAATATGATGGTTGAAGAGGATGCATGTATTTAGATTTATTAGGGGATGGGCCGTTTCTAATCAGACGCCATATCGTTCCGTTTAAAACACCAAACGTTCGTCTCAAAGCAACTCAAATAACATGTGTCAACGCTCATAGATTGAGAAAATATATGCTGTTCGTTATATGTATGTACGCTGTCGCCAAGAAACCCGCCAGATTACCAATCCTTCGCGATATCAAAGGACCACTGGAAGTGCAGATGCGTCTTGTCATCGTCGTCGATGAACTTTGACTCGGCATTGTAGTGGCCGCGAGAAATCATTCCCGAAGGCGCCTCTTCTTCTTGGACTACAAGATACACAAGTCAGTAACCGCGCGGCCAGGCTAAAAATCCCAAGAGATAAACTCACACTTCTTTTCGTAGATGGGCTTGTCGGTAGTACACGGGGCATAGCTTCCCTAGTACGAGTCAGCACACTGCCTGCCTGGCTTTCGAGGGGTATGCGTGGGGACGGCCAACTTACAAGCATCTCCTGGTCCTTGCTAACCCGGATACCCTTGCGCTTAACAACCTGAAGGTACTTGAGGCCGCTCAGGACGTCGTGGTGGACCTCAAAGGTCACCTTGATGCGGAAGTGGGCGCCCTCCTTGATCGTGAAGGGCTTGTCTTTGAGCTTCTCGAGGGTCTCGGGTGTGGAGACGTCGATAACAACGTCTGGGCGGCCTTGAACCTCAAGGGCTAGGGTCCTGATGATGCATGTTCGGGGGTCGTTGGGGTCTCCAATTGGCTTGCCGGTAGCGAGGCCGAGGGAGGCCTTCCAGCGGTTGAGGGACTCGTCGTTCTTGTCTGGTAACTGGTTGTTAGCTATTACATCTATATAAAGAATAGCAGGATGCGTATTTGAAATTTGCAAGTAAAAGGACTTAAGGTGGCGTGTGCACTGTGCAATGGCTGTAGGTGCAGGTAAGGGGTCAACCCCACGAGGCGAACGCATGGTATAGAAATACTGCAATTGACGACAACGAGGCTCACATACCAAGCTCATTGTATTCGGCAATGGTCTTCTTCTCTCCGACCTTGAAGCCCTCGGTCTTGGAGACGGCGAGATCGTCCTGGTTTTCGGCCATTGTGCTGGGATTTGTGTATGGAGATGGCGGGGTAGCGGTCACCGACAATTGGGGTCTGAAAGGAGAGAGCTGGGAAATGAGATGTTAGAGAAGGGATTGAGTCGTCTTGAAGCGGTAGTGGGAGTGGATGGTCGGTGGGATAGAGGACCGAGAGTTTTGAAGAGAAAAAAAAAGAGGAAAGACTGGAGAGCTAAAGATGTCTCTCGTTGAAGACGGAGGTTTGTTGATGTAGCGGTGGGTAATTGAGGGGATTCCTGATTGGGACTAGCGGGCGAGGCGCTCCCATGGACATCGATTGATCGCCAACTCCAGGCTCCATCGCCAACGGTTCAGTCTGGGGATGCATATGCATGTTGGACATATTTATAGAGTGCACTCAGATATCTCGACAGCTTGGGAGTAGCTGCTTCTTGCCATCTCCCCTACTACATACGAATGCTCTACTATACGACTTTGGTAATGGATGCAACTACACCACCTAGTCTGAATCAAGCTTGGTTTTTTTAGCATATCTAGTTTATACCATTAAATTAGCTTGAGGCTTGTGAACTTGTATATTTTAGTTCGCTGGTACTATATGTGATACAGGGGATGCTTAACTTATACGAGCATTGCGTGCTTGGGAATACTTAGGTAGACTAGATTGAAATGGCAAGTGGCTAGTCATCGTGCCTCTTTTTCACCTGACAGGAGCATAGACCTAGCTGCGTGCCCATGGACGCTTTTATATCTACGGTATCTCTACCCGTTTGCAATAGCATAGGGCTCGGGGGCTGCCAGTCCCAGGCAGCCCACGACATGGCACCAGAGCGGAGTCTACAAAGAAATCCACCGCTATTAGAACTGCCAGGTAGAAGCTGAAACCTTAGTATTATCCAGTAAGAAGCTCACTAGGCGAGGCAAGACAAGTTGTCTCTATGAGCATCGCTTTGACCTTTTGTTTTGGAGTATGCAATGCAATGTCCCCGTTTATCTTTTTACATGGCCCGTCAGCAGTACCGTCGAGCATAGGATATGGGTCTCAGACCTGCGTACTGTCCCAAAATGTGATGGACTTTGACTTCTTCACACGGGGACCGGCAACATATTTTGTTATCCCAGGTTGTATTGCTGTATTAGGGTTTCTGCCTGGCCTTCCAGAGTCTTTGCAATCAGTAGCATCATACCGGAGTATTTATCTCCTTGAATAATTGACAGCCTAGCAGCGCCGGCATACTCATTCACACCTGACCCTAATTGCGGCGGTGTCTATTGCTCCCCACTATTCATACCGGACGATATGGATTGTTAGATATTTTACGGATGCGTGATGCCGAACGCCCCTCCGATTGAGTTGACTTGCCCAGGTGAGTTGCAGTGGAACTGTGTCCTTTTCGAACGTTTGCGATTTCTCGGACCAGGAAGAATGCTGGTCCGCCTCACTGGTGCCTGCCCCGAGTCGTGAAGATGATGCTGAGCTTGATTGCGGAGGAAGTGGCCTTGGCTGAGGGTTGACAAGATTAAGTAGATGGGATTCACATCTTCCAAGGCGGCATGCAACCATAATCGTGTTGATTTGAATAATATGCGCGAGAAACCAGCAAATATTTAGCGGAATCGAGCTTGATGTTCCTCTTTGAGGCCTCATGGTAGATATTCGAATGATCATGTGACTCGTGAAATGTCCATCTCTGGTACAAGGCAAGCCTTTTCCATGGACGGGAGCTGATGCTGATCTGTTTATGCTGTCATTGATATTCCTGCTCTTGATTGAGCGCTATGCTAGTCTATCGGCGGAATCGATGCATTATTATAATGTAGGATGAAATGAAAGTCAAGAGTGACATCAGATTGGCTTTGGGAAGTCCAATTGACCCAGCTGGAAGGATGCTGCATGTAGAAAATTGGTGGAAGGCGCTTGAAATTGGACATGCACCAAATTGACTGGAAAAAGATAGGGCTATAAGCAGTCAGGTAGATCAGGAATCAAGACGGGCTTTCTCCAGCTGTTCGAGCATAAGACCATGGAAATGCCATGGTTGCTCCTGGTTTCCCGAGAAGAAGCACTTGGACAAAAACAGCCAAGAGAGCTGCCTGATCAGGCGACAAGGCGAAAGTACAGAGGGGTGTAAAGCCGGATACCGGGGAGTGGGTCTTACTTTGCAGGATCTTTCAAGGATCCTGTGAGTTTATTGGTGAATTGGGCAAGCACAATACGAGGGGCTGCCAAGGTATTAATGCCTCACGACTCGCAGACTCGAGTGTCCCCGTCCTTATGAGCGAACGCATCCATTCATTATTTTCCTCCTACTTTATCAAGCTTCCTATCGATCCGCGTCGGTTATCGACTCCTGATCCGTCGCACTTCAGATCTCACCGTGTCTTCACAGACCTTCTGCTACCATTAGCAATCGCGCTCCGTCTCGCTGCGCGCTCTAGTAGCTTTGGCTAGTGACGTCTTATATTATCGTCGACCTTTTCTGGACAGACGCGCCTACGTGGCCGGCCTTCGGTGTCGCATTTAACAAGTGCACGCCTCATCATAAGCACAGTTTTCGTCACCGCAAAGGCTGTACTGAAGCCCTCATTCTTGAGGCCCGTTATCACCATGGTGCGCTCGCTGCCGAAAAAGAACAACCCGTTTGTCATTCCCGATGCGGCACCTCCATGTAAGTCATCGTCCTCCTGGGGTGCCGGTTCGCTGAATCGCGCTCCAACACTCTGCGCCGGGTCTGATGAGTAACTTGCGACTGATGATCTTGTTTTCTGTTTGTTAGACGAAGAATTGCTTATGCGCCGCCGTCTGGGGAAGACTAATCTCGCTGTCAAACCCACCCAGGTGGGAACATCAAATGCGACCAAGCCAGAAAACCTTGGGCCGTTTGAATATGCCCACCTGCGCGCACCCCTTCCCAAGGACTTGAAAGGGTCTGAGATCTTTCCCTCGCACTCCCCGCAACAGCACCCAGAGACATACTTTTTGATGGTAAGACGACCCAAATTGCGTGACCCGAGCCTTCGCGAAGTAGACTCTAATCAAGGTGTCTACCCATAGCGACGAAGCAAGGATGGCTACGTGAGCGCGACCGGCATGTTCAAAATTGCTTTCCCGTGGGCCAAGCTCGAGGAAGAACGGTCTGAACGCGAATATCTGAAGTCGCGCGAAGAGACAAGCGAAGACGAGGTTGCCGGAAATGTTTGGATCTCCCCAGTTTTAGGTAAGGCAAATTGGCGCCTGAACTCCTGCATTTCTGTTTGGGGATCTAACCTGTACATGAATAGCCCTTGAGTTGGCAGCGGAATACAAGATGTACGATTGGGTCCGCGCCCTCCTCGACCCTACAGATATCATCCAGAGTCCATCTAGCGCAAAGAAGCAGATCACGCCCCCTCCTAGGTTCGACCTGCCACCCATCCAAGCTCCCGAGGCACTTGTCCCCGCCTCCCGAACGAGAAGCCGTCGATCTGCTTCTCCTAGCAAGAAAGCAGGCACCCCACGCAAGCCGCCTAGGCAAACGAAGGCACAGAAGGAGGCCGCCGCGGCAGCCACCAACGAGGCCAATGCGACGCTTCAGAGTGCTCTGGACGACACAGTTTCAAATGCTGATGGCGAGGTGAACGGAGACGTGTTGCCCAGTGTGGAAGAAGACAAAGAAGAGCCGGTAACATCGCCTGTTAAAGGAAAGAAGATTACTAGCAAGACCAAGAAACAGACCGCCCCCGAGGATGACTTGGAGGACGATAAGGTCAAGATTGATATCAAGTCGGATGCCGTCGAAGGAAGCGGTGTTCAGACAGCTCAGACAACAATCTCGGTTGAAATGCCCATTTCTCTGCCTGAAGCTCCGTCTGCTGAGGACACCCAAGAGATGATTGCAAAGGCGAAGGAAATGGTCAAGGAGGCCGTGAAGCTTCAGGAGGGACCCGGGGAGTCATCAGCAGCTGCTAAGAAACGTGGAGCTGGAGAAGCAGAGCTTAGTGAGGAAGAAGATGAGGAGACCAAGACATTGCGGACGAAGCGGTCTAAGGTGCTTGAGGAGAAGCTGAAGCGTGAGCGCGTTCGAAACCGCGCCCTTGTGGGCGTGACTGCAGCCTTCGCCTTAGCGTAAGTCATCCAGTTCTGCTGTTGCTGTGAAACCACCACTAATTTTCATTTTTAGAGCATCGATTCCTTATTTCTTCTAGAATACCCACTGTCATGCTGTCAGAAGCTTGAGTTGACCACGTCGCAAACCACGATTCATTGACAATCAAATCATGAACCTCTTCCCCGATTCCCCCTTACATTTGATCACTGCCCTTCCCGCTCGGTTCTGGACTATCCATCATCTATTCCCCTTAACCCCTCTCCTTCCAATTACTCGCGTCGAAACTATAGCTGATGGGGACATTCAAGACTCCTTGATACCGCGGCGAATGATGTATTGTGTCCATTCTCCTTATCGTCTTATAATACCTCCCCCCTTTGGTTGTCAGATTTGCACTTTTTGCGCCCCCGTTCTTGAAGGACAGTGGTTATTTTGTGGCCCCAGAGATGGAAAGGTCTCTTTCCTTTGCATGCACGATCTCTTGTCTCCCTGGATACTTGATACTCAGTCTTAATCCTCTTTCCTTGTTCCCTTTTCGTTTTCCCTTTCAACATTTAACAGACGACCTCGAACCTATCCGGAGAGATGACAGACTCATCACTAGGGTATTTAAGAACAATACAAATGAATAAACTGTATTTCGTTATCCCAGTAGACGCACGATTTTGACTCTAATGGCCGGAGGGTTGGTACTTGATACTCGGTCCATCTCCAAGCCCAGATGCAAACATGCAAACATCGTCATGGGGTTCCGCCAAGCACTCTTTGTAGCTCCATTATCTCAGTCTTTACCATAACCTCATTCTAGCGCCATTGTTTCTAGTGCTGGTGACTATCACACTGCTTCCTGTTTATTGCTAGAAATGCAATGTCTCTTCCCGGTCTAGAGCTCACGCAGCCCTCCGCGGAGAGCCAGTTTGCTCCCGCGCCGCCATCTCAAATCAATCTCTCCGCAGGCTCAGAGTGGAGGTTCGAGGTAGCATTTGGGATCACCGTCCGAGTCAAGGTGAGCGTCCCTCTCTTATTCCTACTCGCAATCTACACCAGCATCTCTTATTCCTCGCATGTCCGCTGAACATGACTGATCCAAAGGGAGTACCGATGTCCAGCTCCTAACCGGCACCGCAGAGCTCTTCGGCACCGAACTCGCCCCTTCGCAAGTCTACACCTTCTCTGGCACAAAGGCCGCAATATACACATGGCATGGCTGCACGCTTGAAGTGAGCGCGGGCGATGCAGTCGCCGGACTCGATGGGACAATCCCCGCCACTGGTCGAGGCGGACATGGCGCAGGAGGATGCCAAAGCGAGTACACAGCCGAGGAAACACCGATGGTGGAATATGCGAATGTGCACTTTGCGCTGGAGGGCCTCCGCGCGCAAGCGAAGGCAGCTGGGAGGGATGGACCGCGTGTGTTGATTCTTGGCCCCGAGGACGCGGGGAAGACAAGTCTGTCCAAGATTCTGACGGCGTATGCGGTCAAGGTTGGACGGGAGCCGATTGTGGTTAATCTGGACCCAACGGAGGGTATGTTGAGTGTGCCCGGCACGGTCTCGGCGACGGCGTTCCGAGCGATGCTGGATGTTGAGGAGGGGTGGGGAAGTAGTCCTATGTCTGGTCCGAGTGCGGTGCCTGTCAAGTTGCCGTTGGTTTACTTCTATCCGATGACCAATCCGTTAGAGGCGGAGGGTTCGGTCTTCAGACCGATTGTGTCGAGGTTGGCACTGTCGGTTATGGGGAGGATGGCGGAAGATGAGGACGCGAGGGAGACAGGCATTATTGTTGATACGCCTGGGATTTTGAGCCAAAGTCGGGCTGGTGCTTTGGAGATGATAAATCATATTGTGACAGAGTTTTCGAGTATGTTTCCAACCGACGTGGTTATCTTGGGATGGTTGCTAACGATGCCCAGTTACGACGATCCTTGTTATCGGTTCAGAGCGGCTGTACAGTCTTATGATGAAGAACTACGACAATAAGCCTTCGTCTAGTGCATCCGCTGCCGCGTCTGATGAGCGCATCTCGGTGGTGAAGCTCTCGAGGTCTGGTGGGTGCGTTGACCGCGACGCGGCGTTTAGGAAATCAGTGTCTGAATCCCAAATCCGAACATACTTCTTCGGCAACCCGGTCCCTACTACCGCTTCCTCAGCTTTGTCCATTGCGTCTTCATCCACAACTAACGTCACATTATCACCCCACGCGCAGCAACTTGACTTCAACGCTATATCCCTGTATCATTACACAACCTCATCAGCAGAGGACGAGCAGAACGAGGAAGACGACTATGATCCAGCTCAGCTTACGACAGACTCATTCCTCCCGAGAGACAATGAGGCAGAGCACGCATCAAACGCGGCAGCCAATGATAGCGCCGCCGCGGCAGTGGGCGCACTGGTGCCGCTGAAAAAGGTCCCAGGTCCTGCGCCCTCTGCTTTGGCCAACACTCTGCTCGCCATTACGCATGCGTCTCCAACCAGCAGCCCATCGGAGATCCGGGACGCGAGTACCATGGGCTTCCTTTATGTCGCAGATGTCGATAGCGAACGAGGGAAGATCAGGGTCCTCGCACCGGTGGGGGGCCGGGTTCCCTCTCGAGCGATCATTTGGGGAAAGAAATGGCCGGCGGAAGTTGTAGGGCTGGTAGGGTAAATATACCTCAAACTATACCATAATATAAGCATAATCATATTGCTGTCGGTCAGGGATCAAACCCGTCGTCCAAGTGCTACGTAGCTACGTAATCGGAGTACGACGCAGCTAAATCTAAATTACCGCATGCCAATGAAGTGTCAGAAAGATTAAAGCGGATCAGGCACTCCACAGTTGCCATGCCCAAACTGGTTTAAAGGCTCAGGGGTGCAGAAAATCATAGCAGACCATGAAGGCCAAGATCATCGCGATTAAAACAATAACTTGATCCACCATGTTCTTCCAATTCCATTGAGTCCGTTCTCTCCTTCCCACTTGAGCCGGCAGTCAGACGGATCCGGTATCCTCCATCCACCATGACCCTTTTCCGTCCCTCTCTTTCCCTCTTACATCACTCTCTTCTCACTCCCAAGCCCAAGCACCTCCCCTGGGCCCTAACCCCCGTCCCATAATCCAATATAGTCTCTTAGTTTCAAGAGCAGAGCTCGTGCGGCTGCCACGGGACCGAGATAGGGGGAAGAGAGTGTTCGACAGAGAATGTTCTGCTACCGCTCCTACCGTCATTCCCGCCGAAAACGCCAACGCCTCCTAACACTCGCTCTCCCCATCCTCGCCTTCCTCACTTTAACCCTCCCATTCTACATCATCTACAAGCCTCCGCAAGTACTGGTCTCCTACTTCGCACGCAAATACCCCGATATCCTCTGGCATGTGCCCACTCTAAAACCCGGCGCGCAGCCGATCGTCGCCCTCACAATCGACGACGCACCCTCGGAATTCACGCCGGAGATCCTCCGCTTGCTCCGCGAGAATGACGCAAAGGCGACATTCTTCCTGATCGGTGACCATATCCCCGGACGGGAAGGGCTTATGAGGGATGCGGTGAACGAGGGACATGAGCTTGCGAACCATGCGATGCACGATGAGCCGAGCAAGAACTTGAGTGACCAGGAATTGGCGGCGCAAATCCAGGCTGTGCAGAGTCGGATTCAGAGGATTTATGCGATGGCTGGGAAGCAGGCGGAGGCGCATGATGAGGTCAAATTGGACGATTTCGAACAGGATTCGCTCTTTGCCGGGGCTGGCACCGGTGGCGGGTCATCGTCTGGCTCGTCGAAACAGTCTCGCGGCGTTGAGAATGCGGAAGGGCAGGGCCTGAGTGAAGTTGGGGAGAGCATACCTGCGGGTGCGGGTGGGCCAGGACGGTATTTCCGACCAGGCTCTGGATTCTTTACGGATCGGATGAGAGCGCTTGTACAGCGGCAAGGGTTCAGACTTGTGCTTGGGAGTGTGTACCCGCATGATCCGCAAATTAGTATGCCGTGGGTGAATGCTGCGCATGTCTTGAGTATGGTCAGGCCGGGAAGTATCATTATCGTGCATGATCGGAGGCCCTGGACGGCGCCGATGCTGGCTCAAGTTTTACCCGAGCTGAAGAGAAGGGGGTATAGAGTCGGGACGGTGTCGGATTTGCTCAAGGAGGGGGCTTCTATGACTGCACAATAGCATTCTTTCTTTTTACCTTTTTCTTTCTCATCGTTAATGGTTGATATCCGGTGTTATTATGTATGGTACAGGTCTATCTATGTATATAAAAATGGTGGGATATTGTACGATATGAAGGATACAGGTGGAATGGGCAACGCAATGCAATGCAGATAGATTGACATGAATAGACAAAACATACACCTCTACACCTTGACAATGATGGATATAAACCGAGAGACCATAACACCTTGACAATGAGGATATGAAATCAAACAGCAGCCAAAACACCTGAGCGAATGAGGGATAACCAAGCAAATGTAGAAAGGAGGAAAAGGAAAGAGACGAAAGAAAAGAAAATGGAAGGAAAGAAGGAAAGAAGGAAAGGAGGAAAGGAAAGGAACACAAAGATCAACTTCACTCATATCGTTTCCAATCCTCCAGATTCTTGCGTAGTTCCATGGAGCACTCATAACCCCGACGCTGGTCCTCCAAGAGCTCATCCTGGCGGGCTCGGAACTGTCTCTCAGCATCATACCTGGTCAAGGCCATCCACTTGATGAATGGCAAATCGTCACGCCGCACAGCATCATTGAACTTTGCCCGAATGCGCGGCGAGTACAACTGACAGCTCGCCTCACGAGACCCTGAGCCCGTATCACCAGGAAGAAGCCTCATGACAGACGAGAACTCCCTCGCAATTGGATGCCTTGCCTTGGCGAGTGGCCACACTATGTCATCATAGCAGTCTTCGCAGACCGTGAACTCGGGAAGCTGCGGCATGTAGTGCCACGTGTTGAAGATAAGGCGGCTGCGGCGGCAGTCGCGCAGAACGACCTTGCGGCGGGTGTAGGCGAGGAACTCCTTCAGGTCAGGCGGGGCGTCATCCTGCTCAGCACGATTGGATGCGAGGTCCAGAGCGTCGATGTACCGGATGAAGCGGGGGCTATCGGTAACGAAATCGCAGACGCGTTCTTGGGGGGTTGGGCTGCGTTGGAAGGTGTCGCGGTGAGCGGGCATGAGGAGGCGGACGTTGCGGACGCAAGCGGAGCAGATGTTAAATTGCGGCAGGTAGAGGCCCGTGTCTGGGTCGATGATGCGGTACCAGTATTGCTCGTTGATGATGCGGCCGGTGCAGGACTTTGTGCCTTGGGTGTTTGAGGGGCGGGTGATCTCAAGGAGGAGGTCGAGGGTTTCGTACTTCTTCTTGAGGGTCTGCATCCAGGCGAGACGGGTCCAGGGCTCGCTCATGGCACAACTAATCGGCTCGTCGCGGTGTTTGGGGGCGCTTACAACGAGGCGGTCGCGGAACTTTGTCTTGCGCATCTGCTTGATGCAAGATGGGCAGATGTCGAGATGATTCAGTCCTTCGATTGTGTGCCAGTCCTGGTACCCTGCAACTGGGACTGACCTGGGGCAGGGCGAGAGTGTAAGACCTGTGTTTGGGGATGAAGAACGGCTCGAATTAGGGGAGCCATCCTCGTGAGACGGCACCTGGGTGAGAGCCGTTTCGTGGTCAACTTTCACTAGAGCCTTGGAAGGATACTCTAATGGGTTCTCGGCAAAGGCAACGGTCCGCCTGCGAGCTATCTTTGCAGATGATTGTTGACCACGATCCAAAGACTGAGACCTCAGTGCTGACTTTAGAGGTGCTGCCTTGGCTGGCGGTTTTGTCTCTTCAGGTGACTGTTCGAGTGCGGGAAACTCGGTTAGGCTGCTTGAAGAAGATTCAGAGTGCAACTCTGAAGGCCAGGCGCCCGGAGGAGCCTTTCGTTCCGGGCTCTGAGAAGCTGAAGAGCTCGAAATTCTTGGCTGCTGAACGTGAGATTTCAGGGCAAGGTTTGGCAAGTTGTCCCCTAATTCACGTTGTTCACGACGGAGCTTCAGCTTTTCTTCTAATCTATCAGCAACGCTTGACCCAGGTGAAGAAGTCGAGTCCCTTTCGATTGGGAGAGGCGGGCTGCGGTTCGTCGGCCGAGGAACAGAGTCTTGACGATTGGCAGCCGATTCAGATACATAGCCAGACGTACCGGAACGCAGCTCATTTGGCGAGGGCTGCACAGCAGGTGTCTGCTTCAGGCTTGCCGACTCTTTCATGCTCGGTGATGGACGGCTGCGCGGTCCTTCCGCTGGGGGATTCGGCAGAGGATGTAGCGGGACGGACCGTAGAGGGAAGCTTTGTAGAGGAATGGCTGTCGTTATCGGTGGCGTATCAGGAGGCGGTGTAATGGAAGTTGCAAACGACTTGTATTGGACGTTCTCCGAAAGAGGGCGTTGGATTGTTGGTGGCACATCAGGCGACGACCGCGGTAGAATCTTTTCCACTCTGACGCCAGAGTCCCGGAAAACCATCTCTGGCTTATAGGAGGCTGAGGACGGGCGGGGTTTGCGCTGTTCGTCATCCGGAGGAGTCGGGAGAGGGCGTGGCACCGTAGGCTGGGTTTGGCGTGTCGTGTCATGCATCTGTTTGGGTGGAAGTGCAGGTCCTCGCGCGCTAGCCTCTCGAGCTGACACTGGCTGATGAGGCACAATATGCGGGGCCTTGTTCTGGATTTCCTGAGGCACCGGGGCAGGTCGGGGTGGGAAGGCTTGGGATGTCTGTACTACGGCTGGTACCGCCGGAGGCAACGAACCAGCTGGCACCTTAGGAACCCCGATTGGCTCCGACCGAGGAGTTATAGCAGTCAAAGTAGGCCCGCGCTCATCATTGCCTCGGCGCGCGGAAGTAGTGCGGGATGGAACAGCCTGTGGTTGCTGTGCTACATCTGGCATTCGCTTTGATGGAGAGCTTGCCCTCATACTAGGCTGGACTGGCTCCGGCTGAACGAATCTAGTCGGCGAGACGGACTTCTGCTGCTCCTGTGCGCGGCGCAATGAGGGTGCGCGCGATGGGACAGAGTGGCTCCTTTCAGTGACATCTGGCACGTGCTTCGCCGGAGAGCTCGTTCTAACACCAGCATTGCGACCTGGCTCTGGCTGAGCATATCTCGTCGGTAAGTCAGCTTTGCGCAGTTCCGGTCCCCGATGTAGTGAAGTGCTGCGGACTGGAGCCGGTTGGCTCTTCTGGACCACACCTGGGGTCGGCCTTGGTGGAGGTCTCGGTGCAGGCAAGTCATTTGGTGCCCGGGGACCTGGCTCCGGATGACGAGTGGGCTTCTGGCCCCTACCAGGGAAGCTTGTTTGAGGTTCAGAAACCGGATTCGAAGGTTGGTTCATGGGTACATCCTGGGCCGTGGGTTGATTCCGTTGAGATGGCTTTCCTGGTCCCTGAGTGTCCCCTGCCGGTCGGCGGATTGGGTTCTGTTTTGGTCCTTTGGCGTCCATCGTGGTGGTTTGGTTTGCATGAAAACCTGACGAACGATATCCGTGTGAAGCTTTCTCCTCAACATTAGAGCAGCGCTTGGAAACATTAGGTACCTCAATATCTTCGAGTAGAGGAAACTGGTTGACGGTGCCTCTGGCTTTGGCACCTTCAAACCCCGGTAATTCTCCAACATGGGATGATCCATCCAGTTCCCGAGATAAGGAATCAGCTTCATCCTCGACGAACGGAACAGGAGGCCGTTGAGGCCGCTTGCGCCAGCGCATGGGCGTTCCGAAGGAGGAAGTGGAATGCATAACGAAACAACGGCAACCAAAAGCAATGCAATGAGAAACGAGTCCTGGAAAGTGGTCCGATTTTGATCTTGGGGAAAGATCAGTTATCCAGTTCCGGTGACGTAGTCAATTTCAGTAAGGTCCCAGGCAGTGTTCATGTTAAATTGTATCGTGTTGATGGGGTCAGTTGTCGAAACGCCGTGGGGCCAATAGTCGAGAAGCGTATACCAACAAAGAATAGCAAACAGTAGGACAAATCAAAGCCGTCTAGTGCTATTAATCAATAAAAGAAAGTATTAATACAAGGGTATCGGTGGTATACAGGATGTCAAGGAAAGAAGAAGGGAGCGAGTCGGGAGAGCGACAAAGCAAGTATATAAAGCTCCCATCGGCGGAGCGGACCTTGGGCAGCGCCCATCAACGTTTTGGCCCTATGAGCGTCTCACTCCACAGGTTGGGCGGCAGACGCAACGAATCAGTCCCAGAAGAGATGAAACACATTGATCGTGGCGGAGTCGTCGGCAATGCAGAATGGGTGATATTTCTGGCCGTATGGAGCCTTGAGACTCGTTGTAGAAACTCCGTATGCACTCCATGCTTGTTGTGCATTGCGTGAGGATTATTGAACGATGGCCCTGAGTTTGGACCTCAGCCCAATGGCTCAACAAAAGTGGAGAGCGAAGAAAAAAGAAAGCAACCACTGCCACTGCAATAACATCAGGGGCCCCAATAGCGCCAGACTGACTCCAGGGGTGCGCAACCATTCAGCCTTTGTCAAAGTCCTCTCGTGGCTGTATTGGGCGCCGCGCCTCCATGCGTTCGCTGCCCATTGGGATGTGTGCGTCCACGGCGTAGTTCAAGCGATGCTGACGGTGAGTTGTCCAGTTGCCATACAAATATTATTATCGTCGTTGACTCATTGCGGCTATGAGCAAACAGATAAACAGACAATCAAAATAAAGATTCCATGAGCATGTATGAGTTGCCGATATGGAGAATTGTTATGGTGGAGTTGTTTTGGGCACCGCTCCGCTCTGGCGGGACAGCGGGCCAGGACTGAGTCATGTGTCGTTTACCTATCTTGGTCAGCTTGTGCATACGTCAAACACTAGATCTATAGTAATGACTCAGCTATGCAGGCTATGCGCCATTGCACCTTGTGGGCGGAATTGCCGACGAGATCGGAAATCTTCCGAGTTCGTCATCCGATTGATGTCCAAAGCTTATGCTCTAGTTTATGGATCCTGCATGAGACAGACAAGACTAGACACGATAAGAGACGCTGGATAGAAGCAAAGCCCACAGGCCTTGGCTCAGTCGGGTGTGTTCGTACAGCGTCGACCTCGAAGGTTTCGGCTGAGATATGGCGGGGAAGTGAAAGAGAATGGAATGAGAATGAAGTCACGGTGTAGGAGCACAATGGAACAGTACGGATAAGATCTCTTGCCTAGTATTACAAATCCAACGCCGGGTCTGAGATATAAGAGACCATCTTCACGCAATCCGTTGTACCTCCTGACGTGACATCTTCCATGTACCGGTATTCTCGAGCTCTTCCCCGCATTGCCTCAGCGACTCCATTTCCTGTCCCTCAAGCTTCTCATCGCGCCATCGCCCGACTCTCCTCCATCCATTCCCACCTTACTATACGACCATCTCCAGCCAAACCCCGCGTATACCGCCGCACATACACCACCATGCCCCCTCTCTCAACCATGAAAGCCATCGTCACCGAAAAGACCGGCGGCCCCGAAGTCCTCGAAGTCCGAGCCCACCACCCCGTCCCCACCGCAGGGGAAGGTCAGCTGCTAGTAAAGAACCAGACCATCGGCATCAACTACATTGACACTTACTTCCGCACGGGCCTGTACCCTTCCACCAAACCGGAGATCTTAGGACGCGAGGCCGTCGGCACCGTCGTGGGCGTCGGGCCTGGTGCCAATCCTTATAACTTCAAGGTTGGCGACCGCGTGGCTTGGCTGTCCACCGGTTCGTACGCGGAATACACTGCTGTTCCGCAGGCGAAGACGGTGAAGGTCCCCGACGAGCTTTCGGATGAGGATGTCCTGGGTTCGTTCTTGAGCGGGCTAACGGTCTTGTCGCTGGCGAAAGAGACGTACCCTGTTCAAAAGGGGGATTGGGTGCTGCTTCATGCCGCTGCAGGTGGAGCTGGATTCCTCATGACACAGATTCTAAAGAGCATCGGCGCTACTGTTATCGGAACGGCCGGCGGTCCCGAGAAGGTTGAGCTTGTTAAGAGCTTAGGGGCCGATTATGTGATTGATTATCGCAGCGAGGAGGGCAAGGACTGGGTCAAGCAAGTTAAGGAAATCACCCACGGTAGGGGTGTGGATGTTGTCTATGATTCTGTTGGCAAGGACACATGGGAGGGAAGTTTGGAAGCTGTCAAGCGGAAGGGAACTATTGTCTGGTTCGGAAACGCCAGTGGCCCTGTTCCTCCTCTACCACTGCCGTACGTATCTTTCTGAAATGCAAATGATTCTTTGTGCTAACTAAGAAACAGCAAACTGAGCCCCAAGTGTGTCAAAGTGGCCCGACCAACTCTCTTTGGCTATATTGAAACTCGGGAAGAATTCGAGTTCTATGTCAACGAATTGTTCAATCTTCTCAAGAGCGGCGACCTCAAGGTGAAGATTCACAAGGTGTATCCTCTGGATCAGGTCGCTCAAGCGCACAGTGATCTAGAGGGACGCAAGACAACAGGAAAACTGCTTCTGAAGGCATGATCGATACGTCATGGAAAATGCAGATAAGTGATAGATCTCTAATGAATCTATCTTCCTTATACCACCGATGATTACCCTAGATGGCCCTGGACTCATTCAGCTTTAGAGCTCTGGCTGCTCTGATCCGTCCTCCGAATCACTGTCCTCATCTTCGCCCTTTGCAGAGACAGGCCGTGGTTTCTTCCATCCTATCATGAGCTCATTGACTAGCGGCGTATAAATGGAGGAGTAACCTTTGATGATATCCTCGAAGTAGTGGAAGCCGCAGTTCATCTCCCAGACGGTAGTGATAATCTTCATCCCGGGGTAACAATGCGCTAAAAGGCTTTCTTCTAAGAAGAACGTAAGCTCCGGCAGCGGTCTATCATTCTTGGCCCGTTCCTCGCGCTCTTTGGGTGAGAGATCGAACTCTGGCTCACTTGTGTCATAATAGGTTCTTCCGAACAGGATTCCGACAGGATTAAGATCGGGGGCCTTGTCTTGATAGAATTTCCATCCCTCTTCGTCAAGAAGATGCACTTCAGTGACTTCGAATCCGTGAATGTCCTCCATCTTCGAGGCTGCGAGAGTGCCACCAGTCAACATCTGCTGGAAAGAAGACGCAAGGTCGTCCGATCCGGCAACAGTCAACCCGAATCTCAAAACCTTCTGCGCCACGGCTTTGGTCATTTGACACTTGCCGTCCTCAGGATCTTTCCACTGACTGTTCTCGACATATAGTTCGTGCTCAAACCCGCCAAAGAGTATAGAACAGGCCGTGTTGAAGTCTCCCGGTCCGCTGGCCGTGAGCTGTTGGTTCTTCCAGAGCTCTTTGGTGGCGATGTCGCAGGACTTTCGGGCCTCTTCGATATTCTCTTTGTACTCTGGGCAAACGTCATGGTAGAGGAGGTATGATAGGAAGCTGCGAATCGTGACGGTGGCCAGCTTGATCATGTCTTCGTTGTAGGGATTGAAGTAGAAAGGGAAATAAGAAGTCCTATTACAACTCGTCAGTGAACCTGTAGCGAATGGCTGTAGAAGCTTGTCTCACAGATATCCTTTCACCACGATGTTGAAATCGATAGTCAAATTAGCACGATCCTTATCGATGGCGGTTAGCCCTCTTGCATAGAGTATCTGCTCGTTATCCAACTCCTTCAAGCCACGGTCGTCGGTTCCTGCAAACATCTTGGGGGACACATCAATGCCCCCATAGCTAAGGTACTTGTAGAAAACATCTAGTCTATCAGACTCAATGCGACGGTTCTTGTTGAAGCGCAAGAGGGCATCCTCCACACGACTGAAATAAGTTAGCACCGGACTAATAACGAGGACGGTTTTGCGCGTTACTGAATGATAGGTCGAGAGCTTTCCGGGATGATATTAGCAAAGTCCAGTGTTACTAGGGCTTGAGGAGACTTACACATTGTATAGGCTCTGCTCGGTCTCGTACTCCTCCACCGTCATGGGAGCGTCGACGTAGTACTCCTCGAAGCCCGTTGGTTTGCTCTATGAAGGTAAGCGGCACGTCTATGAGTAGAAAGATACAACCCTGTACCTTTCCTCTCTTGCTCTTTGGCCTGCGGCTCTTTCTCTTCTTTTTGGGAGCCGCCGGAGAAACGGTAGGTTCTTCGTTCTCTGTTTGGTCCGCTGTTGGGCCCTCCATGGTGAGCTAGTTTAGGTGAGGACGTGTTTGGTTGATGCCAGTGGATGAAGACTCGAAACTGAATGGTGTAAAGTTGAGAAAACGGGGAAGAGGAATTAGGGATGAGGATAGAGAAAGGAAAGTTAGAAAGGGAAGTGAGTTGGCTACCTGCAGTCTTGAGGTGCAAACAACTAGGTGAGCAGTATTCACTTCCAAACAGAGAGAGTCAACTGCAGGGTGGTGTTCAGGGGATTCCTCATGCAAGCTACTCTTCACAAGAAGCTATTGGACTTGGCCATTTCACTTAGGTTGCCTCTAGATTACGGAGCATGGTCACCTCTGAGGTCTTGAAGCCTACGAGACATCTATACCCTAAGATCCCTGTATGCAGAGAGGATAAGGTGAAAACAGGTTCCAGGTGTCCTCGGCTTTCTCGGCTATTTAGTGTAACCTGTATATGCACGATACGGGCAGATAGAGCGATCTCAATAGCATGATTAACATCATGGAAATAATAGAGGTTCTTGAGAGCTGAGGTGAAGCTGAGAGGTAAGCCCCAGAATATATTAAGGCGCGCCCCGAACGTAACCTGTGACCAGTGACAGAAGCCCAAGGATGCACCAACCCAGCCTTGGACAGAAAAAGAATGTAGATACCTAATGGATTCAGCAGCCGGCGTCGGATGAGTTGTACTTTTTCAGCTGAATCAAGAGATAGGCGCTGATCGGATTTGCGCTCAAGGCAAACGGGCGTCGCAAAAGCGGCCTTTGTCCCCTGCGGTTTTCTCCCACAATTTCCTCTCCAATTCCCTCCCTCTTCCTCCCGCTTTCTCTGTTTTGTGTAAAGTTCATTTTGAACGGTCTCATTTCTACTTTAAATCTTTCCCTTCTTTTGCTAGCGTCTTGTAGCGCTGTTCTAGACTGTTGTTATTGAGATTGCGCCGCGACTGCGGAATGCCGTCGAGTGTTTGGTGACTACCTTCTGAGCTGACACGAACAGATTACTCTGCCGCCCCTATTATTATCGAACCAGGAACCCCCCCGAACTTCCTGTACAACTAGGCGACCAATTATGCCTTCCTCCTCGAGGTCCGACAGCTTCAAAAACCAAAAGCTGGACCATGACAGCTTCGTCGCCTTCGACCATGCTGCGGCTGGACAGTAAGTGACTCAGCCCTATGAAACGACAAGCGACAGAGTCACCTGGATCGACTGTTATTCCGGTCCAGCCTTGATCTGCCAGTTTCTCCGGATTTTGCGAGCTTGAAGCGCTGACCATGATTTCTTTTTCCGTGGCAGTGACGGCGTTCGGTGCACGCCCTCCGGTTCCTTCATCGCTAAGCCCTGCACCGCTCAAGAGATAGCGTTTTACGAATCGACCGCCGTCCACCCTGCCTTTCGCGAATATATCCCCATCTATATCGGGACATTGAGCTCAGCCGGCCAGCAACAACCAGCTGCCGCTCTTGCTGCCGCAGCTGCTACGCAGCAAGGAGCCATCGTCATCCCTGACTCCGATCACTCAACCTCCGCGGAAACTCCGACCAGCGAGACTGCTCAACAGGCCACCACATCAACTGGCCCGAGTACAAGTGGACCAGCACGCGACGTAACATGGGCACCGTCTGCATCTTCCGGGAAGAAGTTAGATACAGGGTTATCCATCGTCCTGGAAAATGTTGCGTCTGGGTTTAAGCGGCCGAATGTTCTGGACGTCAAACTCGGAGCAAGGCTCTGGGCTGATGATGCGATTCCTGCAAAGCGAGCGAAGCTGGACGCAGTGTCTAAGGAGACAACCAGCTCCTCCCTTGGGTTCCGGATCGCAGGGATGAAAGTATGGACCGGTGTCAACGGCGAGGCCGATGCGGGGAGCAAGACCAACCCATACATTACACGGTACCAACAGTCTGGAGGCGCCAAAGGTGAAGTCACTGAGATGGACGGCTATAAACGGTACGACAAGTGGTACGGGCGGTCATTTACCGCCGAGAACGTGAAGAGTGGGCTGGAGACGTACCTGGCGGGCGCAAAAGCCGCTGGAACTGATCGCTCCAAAGTGATAGCCGCTAGGCTGGCGGACGGGCTGAGGCGCGTACAACAAGTCCTCGAATCTGAAGAGAGCCGCATGTACTCCTCGAGCGTACTGATTATCTACGAGGGGGACCCAGAAGCAATGGAGCTTGCCTTGAAGGAAGAAAAAAGGGCAAAAGAAGCTCCTGCACAGGAGTCAGACCAGGAAGATGAGGACGAGGATGACTTTGAGGGCTTCGAGCTTCAAGATATAGCCAATCTCCCGGCTGGTGAAAATGGGACCATAAACATAACCATTGACCCTCAAACTACCCAACTTGGCGACATTGAGGATGAAGAGGATGAAGAAGAGGGACCCAAAGTACATGACCTTCGCCTGATCGACTTTGCCCATGCCAGTTGGACCCCTGGTCAGGGGCCGGACGAGAATGTCCTAACAGGAGTGCGAAATTTGGCTCGCATCTTCGAGGAACTGGCGGCGAGCTAGATGTAACACCGCCTATCCGATTGTATGGTTATAAACGGCTTCTTGTTTGTAGTCGCTGGCGACATCGCAGAACCGCTCTATTGTATCGGAAATTTACCTTAGCTTAGAACAAACCACTCAAGCATAGCCCTTGGTTTTTGGAGTCGATAACACAAACCTCATCATTAAATAACCAAGAAACTATACTGCACATTCGAAGATGCCACATCCGACCATGTTTTCGGTTCTCGCGACGCTTTCTCGTGCCCAGAGGAGACTTTGGGATACGAGGTCACGAGCAACCCAGGCAGCGCAAATCCCCTCTCATCCATCCCAGTTCAATCTCCCCGAGCGAGAAAGACAAACAGGTCTTTGCCTTCTTTGGCTAGAGATTGACGACTAGACTGTCAGGTCGTGTATTCTCAATCTCAACTAGGTTCCGCCTCTCAGTCTACTCCTGCGAGCAACCGCCTCAAGTGTTTTGGCCCATCTACGCGAAAACAAGCCCCTACTCCGAGCGGCACTCATAAGGCACCGAGTCTATCATTGTGCTGCGTTCTTGGCGACTAGATAGCGAAGCACTATGAAGGTCATCATAATTGGAGGTGGCATCTCAGGCTGCACAGCATACCTGCAACTCAAAAGGCATCTCCCTCAGCTCACTCCACCGTCTCGGCACGAGATAACCATATACGAAGCTTACGAAACAGATATCAGCACAACAAACGAATGCCGCGACGGTCAAACTCATTCATCATCCCTAGTCGTCGGCGGCGGACTCGGCGTCTTCCCTAATGGTCTTAGGGTCTTGAAGCGCTTGGATGAGGACATACTCCGTGACGTTGTTCGTGAGGGGTACGTTATTGCGCACCAGGATTTGAAATCGAAAAATGGAAGATTACTCCTCAGAATGGATTCTACTGCGGATCCTGACCCAGATATGGAAGGGCAACGAATGCATCTACTTGGGATTAGCCGGCACTCATTATGGAGTAGCTTGCGGCGAAGGATTCCTGATCGCGATATACAGACGAAGCGTGTGTCGAGGGTTGTTGCGAACCAAGATGGAAGGAACATGGTTTACTTTGCGGATGAGAGTTCGTCTGTCGACGCTGATTTGGTCATTGGTGCAGATGGATTGAAAGGGATAACGAAATCGGCGTTGTTCCTGGGGCAGGAAATATGCAGACCCGAATACCAGTGAGTGAGGGCTTTATATGAGTTGAAATTTACTGATATTCCAGGGGCCTTGTCGGAGTCGGAGGATTTATCTCTGCGGACGAAGTGCAGGGCCTCGTCGAAAAGGGATCAATGAGCTTGGTCTTCGGCGGCAATGGATTCTTTGGGTACTTCTTCTCGAACAGCAGTTTATCTGCACCGGATCGCGACTCTCCATACCACGTCTCGGAGGCAGGTCAGACCCTCGCATGGTGGTCAACGTACGCCGTAGACAGTTGCCCCGACCCTAAAAACCTGGACATGGACACCGTCGTGAAACAACTGCGCGAGAGACATGCGCATTGGAGGGACCCGGTCATTGCGAAAATCCTGCTCTCACTTAGGGTTAGCAGCATGTACCCAACATGGACTTCCTCCCAGCTTCCAAGATGGGAGAGCGACGGCGTTGTCCTAGTGGGAGATGCAGCGCATGCTCTCCCATCTACATCTGGACAAGGCTCTTCGCAGGCCTTGGAAGATGTTGAGGCATTAGCGATGCTGCTTGGCCACGCTCTTCAAGGCGTGTATTCGACAGGCTCTGCTGATACCCTGAAATTGAAAGCGGCTATCACGACGGCTGCCAGACGATACGAGGCGATTCGCTACCCACGTGTGCGGAGAATCCTGGAAAACGCACAGCGCATGCAGAGTAACAAGCGTGATATGGGGTTCCTAACTGAGTATATGATGTATTGTGGTCTGTGGATTGCTGGTACGTAAATCTCACAATTGATGTAAACCTGACTGACATCTATAGGATGCTTCCCGAAGTTGATGTCGCGCTTCACTCAAAGAGTGATCAACTATGATATTGCTGAGGACGTGAGGACGTTTGTTGAACGACAGATGGCTAGCACCTTCTGAACACTGGTATTTTGTCAATCTCAACACCACTCTTCTTATACCGTCTATGGCGGAATTCGAGGAATTCCGAAATCCGACACTGTAAGATGGAGGTCACGCTAAGCCTCTATGCATACTGTACGGAGTAGGTACGCTAGATACCGGTAAGGCTGGGGAGATCCACTTGCACCGGGCAAGGTTCCTGGTTACCACATTTGACAGCTCCTTTGTCAGGGTTTATCACTTCGGGGAAACCTTCCTCGACCACCGAGGTCACTGTTATCATCATTCAAGCTCTCAATTCATGAAGGCATCGAAACTGATCCCGAGAGGAAATCCTCTCCGGGTCACATCCCACGGTCTTGAAGATCAAGACTGCCGTCACGTCTAGCGTATCTTACTCCAGATCTCGCTGACTACTCCGTAGTCCGTACTCCAATATCGAACGCGGAGACTATTCTAGACGGACCGATCCATACGTTATGCCCGAGTCAGCCCACTTTAATCGGGGTTGATAAGGCATTGCAATCCCATGGAACTAGGGATTATCAATCAATTGGCGAGAACACGGTCTCCGACCTCAGGTATGAAAACGCTGCCTCCCCCTCGTCTCCAGGTCTTAAATCAGAGTCATGGCTAGCAGCTGACACCACCATGCAGTCCTACCTCCAATACCGCCGCATCGGCCAGGCTGTTCGCAAACAGCTTTCCGAGCATCCAGAATGGACTTCAAACGCACAGCGACGGAGCAAAAGCCTCACTGCCCCGAATCAGAACAATGAGGTAGTTGACGAGAAGCCATCGAGGTTGCGACCGCTGTCTCTCCCACCGGGCGTCAAGCAGCACGAGATTACCGACGCTAATGGGGCCCCAAGTACTGTTTTTGTGGTCGGTTGGGACCACCATAAGGACCCTGCAGATCCGCGCAATTACACTCTGGCGACACGCATAACTGCTACCCTGATAGTATCAGCGCTGGGATTCGCTGTTGGTGCGGCTTCGTCGATAGAGTCAGCTGTCCTTCCTCAGAACAGCGCAGCATTTGGTGTTAGTGAAGTAGTTGCTTCGCTAGCAACTGGGATATACCTCCTTGGCTTCGCAGCAGGCTCTCTCGTGTCTGGGCCATTGTCAGAGATCTTGGGCCGCAATGCAGTCTATCTCGGCTCACTTACGCTCTTCATGATCTTTATCATGGCTAGTGGCCTTGCACCTAACATTGGCGCGCAACTGGCTTTCCGTTTCCTCGCCGGTGTTTTCGGCTGCCCACCTCTTACCTGCGCCGGTGGCACAATCGCTGACCTCTGGAACCCACTGGAGAAAACGCTCACGTTCCCGCTATACGCTATCACATCCTTTGGCGGCCCTGTCCTGGGACCAGTTATAGCCTCCTACATGGGTCAGGGCACGCTTTCATGGCGATGGACGAACTGGATTATGCTGATTATGTCTGGCCTTGTTATGGCACTGATCGTCCTGTTTCAACCGGAAACGTACGGCCCTTTATTGCTGAAATGGAAAGCAAAGCACTACCGCAAACTCACCGGCGACCCGCGATACCGTTCTGAAATGGACATGGAAAAGATTGCGCTCTTCTCGCGTATCCGTATCACAAATGCTTGTATACGCCAGTTCACGCTTACCGTGCACGAGCCGATCATTCTATTTATCGCTCTCTATATGACAGTCATCTACATCGTGCTCTTCACCTTCTTCGATGGTTACCCGTACATCTTCCAGCAGGTCCACGGGGTCAGCCAGGGGATCACTAATATTGTCTGGATTGCGATGTATGTGGGTATTATACTGGCCTCCCTGTGGGTGCCAGTCGTCTACGTATGGACAAAAAAGGAGTTCGCTGCTGCCAGCGCTTCTCCAATGATGGAAGCTTCATCCGGCGACACCACTGAGAACGAGAATACAAGCTCGGACGATGAAAGCACCAAGAAGTCCCACCCAACGAGACCTGAAAACAGGCTCTGGTTCGCAATGCTCGGGGCGCCATTCATCCCAATCGGGCTCTTCTGGATGGGTTGGACCGACTACGTGAGTACAGTCAACACGTCATCTCTTGCCGCACGTATTAACAAGTTCGCTAGAAATCCATCTCAATCTGGTCTCCCATCATTGCCTCCGCCGTCTTCGGCTTCGGAACAATTACCGTCTTCATATCAAGCTACATGTACGTCATTGATTCGTACGATGCCTACGCTGCGTCTGCGCTGGGATTCATGACGGTCTCTCGGTATTGCGCAGCCGGAGGCATGACTGTTGTCGGGATCCCGTTCTACTCGAATATGGGCGTCCAGTACACGTTGACGATTCTGGCGTGTATCAGCGTAGCAATGACACCGCTACCTTACGTATTCTGGAAGTTCGGACATGTTATTAGGGGATGGTCTAAGTTTGCGGTTGATGTTTAGATTGTTAGATGGGATAGTAGACATTGATATAGAGTTTTGATGTAAACGACACAAGTTGGGATAAATTGGATATTAAAATAGGTATGCCAAACTTTTAACGAGCCTACTGCCTTGCAACTGTTACTATTAAACTCAACATGGCAAAAATTGAACCTGATAGTTCCTCAATGGCTAGGCTCAGGGCCGATCTATATAGCGCTGTTCCGTAGGCGAACTTGCAAATCGAGGTAATGCTCACCACCATGAGCTAAGCAACCCTTACAGAGACTCCAGGATTATGAAGGCTCAATATACTAACGTAGAAAGCAGCATTACTTAAAGTAATCTCGAAAAGTATACTGCAGCCATGTTGCACCCCAGTATAGAGTTGCAGCCTGAGGCACAATAATTACATAAGTACAACATCCGCTCCGCAACATTTTATCGCAACCCGCAATCAAACCGACGGACGCCAGACAACTCCAGCAACTGCCAAAATGCACGCTACAAGAGTCCTGCTAGGCCGCTCAGTGTGGAAGGGTACGTCTGATATTCCTAAACCGTATCAAAATGACCAACTTCAAGACTAATAAACCCCTCCAATTTAGGCCCGAACATCGTCCCGTACGTATCCCGACTCCGAACAACCAACCCAGGCAGCCGCATCCACGAAACAATACATTATTATTCTCCTCGGACAAAACAATGCTAACACGGCATGAACCTACAGCCTCCCCCTCCCCCGCCAACTCCCCCCGCCGCCCGGAACACCCCCAATCAAGACGCAGAAACGGTCCGCGACGATCCTGCCGAATTTCGTCGGCTTGCGGTTCTCCGTGCACACGGGCAAGACGTACCAGGATGTGCTGATTACGGATGAGATGGTTGGTCGGAAGCTCGGGGAGTTTGCGCCGTATGTTCTGCCTGCCTACCTACCTATCTTTTGCATCTCTTTCTGCGCTCGGTTGGGATGGCCGGTTCGGATATGCCTTGGCTGGCCGGACTGGCTCGGTGCTTTGCTTCGTGCCGTGCTTTGCGGATGGAAGACGTGGTATTTGGTCATTATGAGTTTCGATGGTTGCTGACTGGATTTGCTATAGGACGCGAAAGAAGTTCTCATACAAGCACTCGAAGAACAGGTGATCGGGCCGGTTTGGATTGCATCGGTTATCCTGGTGTCTTGTTTTGTTTGGATTTCTTTTCAGCGCTTTCTTCGACTTCTCGTCTCTCTAAATGCCCCACAGAGAGTGTGTATAAATATCAATATCTATTCGGCGGGCTGTATCAATACATGCTATTTATGGGACCTGATTTGGTGCGAATAACACGGTGTGTTTGCGGTCTCTGAGACTGCTTCTTGAATTACCTGGTCGTAGATTTTGTACTTGGGTCCTGCCGGTTTCGATTGACTGCTAGCTTCAGCGTTGCGGTCAATTCTACAGCGCCCGATGACATTCTGTAGTTGGGTAGGAACTTTCTGGCAACTCGGAAGTATGGTCGACAGCTTGCATATGTCACTCATTCAATGATGGACCTCGACTTTGAGATTACCTATAAATCATTACCCCAAAACGCCGTGATTTCTTTGAGTCCCCTCAAAACGCCATTCCATATCCAGAAAACAAAAGAAAAGAAACCCCCAGCCAGCCCGCAGACCAGACCACTGGAACGCACATCACGATTAAATCACCGATAGAACTCCCCCCTCTTAACACTAACCCCATACTCCGATACCGCCATCCCCAAGTCCTCCATCGTAAGTACCGTCCGCCCCTGCCCACTCCCCCCAGACCCACCACCCCCAAAACCGGGCCTCTGAATCCCCAAATGCGTACCCGCCTTATTCCCTCCCTTCCCAGCATCCCCAGCACCACCTCCTGCACCAGCCGCACCAGCAGCGCCCGCGCCCCCAGCGCCAGGAACACCCAGCCCCGAGGCCGCATTCAGACTGCCCATGGGGTTACTCGCGGACGAGGAATTCGAGGCCCGGATGCGCGCGTACTGGTACGAGTCGGCCGCGATGTCGGCGATGAACTTTTGCGTTGCGAGGGCCAGGAGCCGTGCGAGGTGTGGCGGGGTTTGGTTGGGGCCGTGGCCGGGTGGTGGGAGGCCGGCGAGCGTGAGGTAGTGGGATGTTACGGCGTCGGGGATCTGAGAGTTCGTTAACATATCTGTATTTTGGAGGGAGAGAGAGAGGGAGGGAGTATAAGTAGGAAGTAAAAAGCAAAGACGTACAATAGGCGCATAGTCATCCATCTTCCCCAAGAACTCGCGCAGCGACGTCTCCTTTTTTGATGTCGCGGCGGCGTCAACGGACGTCGGCGCTTGCACGGGGTTCCCGATCTCTTCTTCGCCGGCGCCTGCGCCAGCGACTGCTCCAGCTCCAGCACCAGCGGTGGCTTCTGTGTTCGCGCTTGCGGCGGCGGCGGAGTTCTCGTTGGGTCCGGCCATGGCGCCTTCTTGCTCGATGGAGGTGTCTAAGGCGGTGTTGTCTGAAGGTTCGATTTTCGGAACGACGGTCGCGTCGGAGTTTGAGGGTTGAGAATTTGGAGGGTGAGGTTGCGAGGGTGGTAGGGATGAGGATGGTTTGGTGTCGGACATGGTGAGGGAAGGGAAGTAAGGTGAGTTGGCGGTGTTGGCGGGCAGGGGTGTGACTCGAACTAGACTAGGCTAGACAATCAATTCAACAATGCAATGCACTGTGCGCGCGTTTGGTGCAGTGATTGGCAGATAAGAGGTTTATTGAAAGCAAGAGGACATTGAAGAGAGCGAATTTAGGTGACCAGGCTCCAGCTGCTTTGAGGCGGTTCCGGACCCACTTTTCCTACAACAAGTACAGAGTATGCTGGAGTATGGCTAAAGTACATTTTGAAGTACAGGATGCATGCAGAGCTTGAAATAGAAGACGATAAAATACACGCTTAGATGATTATATTGTTACAAACCAAGTTTTACACCATTTGTTGCCACTCACTGGCCCAAATGCATGTTGTCTGGATGATGCCCCGGATGCCCAGGCTGTCCAGGCTGACCGAAGGACTCCCCATGCACCTCCTTGCCCAGTGTCTGCATGAGATTCTGCTCCGCTGTCTGATCGAAGTTTGGATCCGGCGGCATTGGCGACGCAGACATGCTCTCATGCCCATGGGGATGGGGCACTCCATGAGGATGAGGGTGGCCAACCTGCTGCGGATGCGCCCCCGCTAGAGCCATCATGCCCTTGATTCCCTCAACATGCGCCTTGTCCTCCTCGCCCTGCTTCTTCTGGCGCTCGCGGGCCTCACGCTTCGCAGCCTGCGCGGGAGCACGTGTTTTCAGTTCTCCAGTAACAAATTTCAAGTAGTAGGGAACTTCGATCCCACTCTTAAGGAAAAAGAGCTTCAGATTTCGCGCCTTATCTTTAAGTTGCACCTGATTTCGGTCTTTAAGGGCTTCGCTAATAGTACCGCCTGGGCCAAACATGGCAAGGATTTGACTCCAGTGAGGACCCTTAACGCGGTCAAGACCGGCCATAAGAGCGTTTTCTTCCTCTGTTGTCCACGGGCGGCGTTGGCTGGGAAGGCCAGATTTGCGGCTGCTGGGGGAAGATTTGGCGGATGCAGCCATCCGCGCGCGCTCATAGAGGACCTGAGTGGGTTGGGATTGAGAGTAGTGGGGGATGCCAGGCATATAGCCGTGATTGGCGGTAGACGAGTTCGGTCGGCCGGGAATCGGCGACGGTGAGGGGTGGTTGTACTGCTGAAAATTCGCCTGCATTGGGCTTTGCTGGAAGCTATAAGTTTGAGGCGGTTGGTACCCCGAAGGAGCCGGACTGCCTTGGTGGTATGGTTGTTGTTGTGCGGGGGTATAGCCTTGCAGAATTTGGAGGCCTTGCTGAGGTGGCTGGTGTTGCTGGGCCTGTTGCTGCTGTTGTTGAGCTTGTTGAGCCTGTTGCTGCTGTTGATATTGCTGCTGCTGCTGCTGCTGCTGGGCCTGCTGTTGCGCCTGCTGTTGCGCTTGCTGCTGGGCCTGTTGTTGCTGCTGCTGTTGCTGTTGTTGCTGCTGCTGCGAGCGTCTCAAACCATGGCCTTGCAGCGCAATCTGCGCAGCTCGGGCAGCACGCGCGACCAGATCACCGTGCATGTTCTTGTCAACCGGGACCTCTGGCGCCTGGGTAGCGACAGGAAACTGGCTTTGAAGGGGCGCACCACTTGGCGGCTCAGAGTCACCATTTGAAGAAGATGGTTGTCGTCCCTTTGTGACCTTCTTCGACTAATCCGTATTAGCAGTCTGATTAGTAGGGTATAGCATGGGTGGGTAGAGTCTAACCTGCTGGTTGTTGATGGCATCAATGTTCTTCGTGATGTACGAGCTGAGATCCCGGAGGAAGTCCTCCCAGTGGTATTTATCTGGGAGAGCTTTCATAGCGTCCTCGTTATTAATATCAGTAAGCAGAATTTCGCGACGTGAGCCGGCGCGGTTAACAAAGTCGGTTTCGCTCGGAGCCAGCTGGCGAGTCCCAGGTCGTCTGTCAAGCAACTGCTGCTCAAGGTTGTCGGGGAAGAAGTTATAGAGCAATTCAGTGCGGGTACGCTCGGTGTTATTTAACGACGCGATAAATGCCTGGGTCTTCATCTCAAGAAACAAAGCGCCCTGCTGTTTAAGGAGCCGTGAGCCTTCGGGTACAAAGACATCAAGAAAGTTATCATTCAGCTCAGAAAAGCCAATCTCCTGGGTGCCAAAGATGCTTGAAACAAACGAAGCTAGGTTCGCCTTCCGAATAATATCAACTTGCGAAGGCTCAGTAAGCTCGAGTTCAGTTGGTGACAGGAACGACTTCTTGGTTGAGTACACTTTTTTAGTGTGGTCAAACAGCGAACGCATAGTAGCGTACGCCTGACCATTCTCGGATTCCGGCTCGGCTACAAAGGAGGTGATATCTTGGTACGTGGACTTGGCCAGCAGCGACAAAATTTGCGAAGACTGGAAATTAGCTAGTTGAATCAGCTGCGTGCGAAGAGTAGACTAGACTCACCAGGTTCTCAAGGATGGGAAGACTCTGAGTCTTCAGATGTGAGTTGGCCTTGACGAAAACCATCCCCTTGGGGGCGCCCTGACCGAAATCCGGCAGCTGCTGCGGCCCCATAGCGCATTGTTCCTCCACACGCTCGGCATGATTCATGATATTCGAGATAACAGTAGCGACATCAGAATTGATGTTTGTGCTTTGTTCCTGCACCGGGCTTCCGTCCTGCACCGGGCTTCCGTCCATCTCGAGCTGACCGGGTTTGCTGTCTGTAGGTTCCACCGAATCAACGACCCCCGCGGCGAGCGCCGACGCCAATTCCTCTTCAATCTGATCACCAGCTCCGGGAAGGAGATGATGGTGCTGATGCTGGATCGGGGGCAGTTGGTGTTCATGTTGCTGAGGCTCAGGCTCAGGCTCAGGCTGTGATTGCGGCTGAGGCTGAGGCTGCGTTTGCTCTTGGGGTTGTTCTTGAGATTGCGGGACCGGTGTGTTTGCAGTTGCCGTTATGGGATCTTCCGGTTCGTCGAGACGGCGCTTTTTCGACGCGCGCGGGGAGAGCGAGTCATCTTCAAGGGAATGGAACAGCTTAGGGAGTTCTAAGACAACGAAGTCAGCCATTGAGTCGAGTGTTTGACATGGGTGGTGTTGCTGTCGCGGACCAGGCAGTGAATGCGGCGAGGTGGCTTACCATGATGACTCTCCTCCTTAAGCACTGGGGAGGCAGGATGGTCGGATACACCCGGGGCTTCAGTAGGGGCCTCTGATGCGCCGGCATCAGGCACTATGGGAGGAGTTGGCGCTGACATGGGGATGAAGTTTCCAAGATCAGCAATGAGGGCTTAGGGGTAGGGCGCGCTTGTAGGGCTTGAAGCTGAAAAGAATGCCGTCACGTGGGGTGTCTGTTATCCCGGCAGTAGTGGAAGTCTAACTGGAGTCGGTTAGCGTGGAGAATTTGCAAGCTAAGCCAAGCTGGGAGTAGCGTATGACGTCACAGGCACAGGAAGTGCTTGGGCTCACCAGAAGAACTGGAAACAGTTGACTGCAGGTATCAGGTTATCGAAGTGGAAGTTCTCAAAGTAAGATCAAAGAATCATAGTTCCTGATGAAAGTGCACTATTCCCCGTCTGCTTTTCCCAGCTTGAGGGGAGAAAAATGGAATAACGATGACTGAATAAGTGTCGGCAGCAGAGGGATAAAGTTCCAAGTTGCAACTATTTCCACAAGCTGGCTATTGAGATACCATTGACTCCGTCTATAGCTCTCTTACACAGTCAGAATACTCGACATTACACCTCGAATTCCTTCCAGGCCCCCTCCAGGCCCGCCATCAGCACCCATCGATTCTGCATACTGGTCTCAATCGTGGTCTCATACGCCATCTTCGCAATCTTCAACCACATGTCTCCCTTGACCAAGAACTCATCTTGATTCTCAAACCGGCCGCAAATCTCCTCCCCATTCTTCAACGCCCTCACAACCTTGGCCACATGTCCATCATCATGCTGCTGATTGACTACCCGGAACAACTCCTCCCAGCTCATATCCCCAGTCTTCTCCCCCTTGTATCCTCTAACGAACTCAATGTCAAGATCTGGAGCACCACAAACAGCATACCACATCAAATCAAGCCGTCCTTTCCACTCGACAAGCCGGACTTTATCCTGCATAGCGATCCAATCCTGGCGGATGAGCACTGAGAAAAACAGACTGCTGGTCACGCAATGCATGAAGAAAAAGTCGATCTTGGGCTGGCAGCTATCCTTGATTCTTTGCGCGGCGCCTGCCATATAAGCGCAGAGATTCAGCATCTCCGCAGTCTTCTCCTCCAAGTTCTTCTTGGTGACTTTGAACCGCGAGGTAATGTCGATAATCTCGTCGGCTACATTGATGAGGATAGAACTTTTCATCTTCATGGTCCCGATGAGACCCTGGACGCGTCCGGCTTCAACGAGCTTTGGAGTATGTCTAATCCTCTGCAGCAAGTTCACTAGAGACTCGCCTTCTCCATTTTGTTCGGCCGCTCGCTTTTCAACCTCGAGGAAGAAATAGTCCGTCCCGAACGAGTCATGCGCTGCAGCTTGCGCCAATGCCTCGGCGATAACACCTGGTTGTTCGAACTCGACTCCAAGGCCAAGATGGATGATGGGATGGTAGGCCCCGTCGTACATGAGAGGCAGGATTTTCTTTGCGATAGGCGAGCGGGAGAAGACATACTCGTTCACGGCGTCTTTCCACGAGCCCTGACGGAATATTTCCTTCTCGAAGAAGCGCAGAAAATTGGTATACTGGCTCGTCTTTGTGATCTGGGACTCGAAGTAGCTCTTATCCGAGAGCTTGTCGACGATCACAGGGTCGAGAGGCGGCATGGCGCGCTGAGTTGGCAGGTCATCGTCGTAGGCAGCTTGCAGTTGCTCTGGAGTTGCACCGAGAACAAGCCTGGTCAGAAGGTTATGGGCCAGGTGGTTGTGGCCGTTGAGGTCGCGGAAAAAGATGTGCAGCGTGTCGTGGTTCTCCTGCAGCAGGCGGTTCGTCAAGGAGAGTGCCTGAGGTGAGGGACCCTGGGCGTAGATGTTTTGACCTAGCTTTGTGGGAATGATGTTGATTGAGGACGACATTGTGGAGTTTGGATTCTTGCTTGCACGGTTGACTTGGCTTGTCTGGAGGTGGTTGATGCTGAGTTTTATGGCAGCTGGCACCTGGCCATTTCCAGGGATATATACTACAGAGTTTCCGTAAAGTACATTGTACTTACGGAAAGCTGATTATTGATGGTTTGTGACTATCCCTCGTGAACCTTATCCCGAGACAAGGCCGGGCCTTCATATCATTGTCTTATCAACTATTATGGTAACACGATCTGCCAGTCTACTACACTAAAGCAGGCCCCGTCGTTGGCAGATACTCATGCAAGCCAGGAAAGAAATGCCTCAGCAGTCCCACCACAATACATATCGGCGTGCCCAACGGAAACCTGGCCTTGCCACCCGTATTGACGACCGAGACATTGCGCCCATCATACCTGCCATCAGTCTCATCCGCCGCCTCCAGCATCGCCGCCGCCAAATCCAAATACGAGATGAACGACTCCTGCTCGTCAAAGGTCAACCTATGGCCGCGCTGGACGTCAACGCTCAGACCAGCCGGCTTGATGAAAATACTCGTTACCCAGCTCTCGTTTGCGCGCAGCATCTGCTCGGCTTTAATAAGGTCGGTGTATACGTTGCTCGCGGCTGTTTTCATGATGGGGAGGAACCATGAGGGCATTGCGTGGGAAAGATGGGAGTCGAGTGTTGCAGAAGAGAGGAGCACGAGTTTTGGCATTCTTGCCATTGCGTCTTCAGTTCGGATTTGCTGTAGGGCGCTCAGAACCGTCTGTACGGAGTCCTGGCTCAGTCGGCAACCGGGGATGTTGTCGTTCGATGTTACGGCTAGGAATACAGCGTGGGTATTGCGGATGCATGCGGTGATCAAGGAGAGCTCGATTATGGAGCCTTCGTATACAGTCACATTTTGGGCCTCGGAGAGCTCAGGAAGGAGACGCAGGAGCTTGAGCTTGTTCCGGCAGTAGGCGTTGATGTGAGAAACTGGTGAGCGCAGCAGGTTTTGGACCAAGGCGCTGCCTGTATTGCCGGTTGCTCCGAGGACGGCGTAGGAGGCTGTTGGCATTTTGATTATCTGGTCATGAAGAGGTTAGGTAGGGTTGATTGTCTGTATAGAATGATTGATGCTTATAAGGGCCGCCGTATGCGTTATGACTGGTATACCGTATTCTCATGATCGTATTTAGAATTAAATGCTGTCTCACCTGTGAGATACGAAGCCCAGGTTCTTACCTGTTCACAGACTCTGCAGTGAAACCGGGACACCATCCCCGGCGCTCGAGGCCTCGGATTCCATCCCACGTATCGGGGCCTTCTAAGAGTTGCCCCCGGTGCAACAAAGTAGATAAAGTTGCCGACTTCCCCATGGCCACCTGCATTATCATTGTAGAATAGGCCTAGCCAGACGAGCAAAATGTCGTTTGGAACTCTTTACACCCACAATGTACGCCCTTCACAGAATAGACAAGAGCAATAACCCTGATCATTCCAGCCAACCCCTCGCTCCACGACCCTCCTCGCCCTCGCGAAACTCAACAACCTCGACATAGACATCGTTTACGCAGAGAAGAAGAACGAACAAGCGTTTGCAGAGCTTCGCAAGTACAACCCGCTCGGCCAGGTCCCAACCTTTGTAGGGGCTGATGGACTCGTGCTCTCGGAATGCATTCCGTTGACGCTGTATTGTACGCTTCCAGTCCTGATCCCAACCAGCAAGAGGAGTGTTAACCATACCATGCTCGCAGTTGCATCCCAAGCTCCAAACAAACGATCCTCCGCTCTCCTCGGCAGTAGCCAGAATGATTCCCTCAAGATCCTCCAATGGATGTCCTTCGCAAACAGCGATCTCTTCCCGGCAGTAGGAGGCGTATTCCTTCCGCGCATCGGGCGGCGGCAGATAATCAGGCAAGACGATGAGGACTCGCTACGTGCGATGCTGCAGCGATGCAAGTATATCGACGAACACCTCAAGACAAGCAGGTTTCTGGTCGGTGACACGGTGACGATAGCCGACTTTTTCACGACCAGTCTGCTTATGGGGGCGTTTGCAGCGTTTAGAAAGACAATGGAGGATAGGTTCCAGACGCTGTGTAGGTGGTATGATGAGGTCTGTGAGGTGGATTGGTTCAAGGAAATTGCTGGGGGTGTGCCTGACTTGGGGCTCGAGCTGGAGATTCCGGAGGATTCGGAGTGAACGCCTCAGTATATAAGACAAGTCTTAGGCCTGAGAGTATCGAGGAAAGATTTTAAATTGACCTTGGGGCTTCGTATTCATGGTGACTATTTCCTGTCTCTCTAGTACCTCACGAGAGCCAGTCGCCCTCGAGCCCTGACTGCGAGCCTTATATATAGTAAGCTCTAGAACTCAACGAAGACAATTGATTCATCAAATGTATCCAGCCTCATTGAACCAAATACCCTCTGGCCACCTCCAGAATAGCCATGTCTACATTGACGCCACCGACACCATGAAAGCTTCGGCTTTTGCGTAAGTTTTTGATTGAATATGTCTTGCACATTGACTCCACTCCTCCTTACCTAGGTACACCTCACCAGCAATATCTTGCCGCCTCATCAGGATCAACAGCGAGGAAGCATGGAGCAATCACTTCTTTGGCGGCGGAAAGCCCTCAAACCCATGGGTGACAACGCCCCGGTCAACATACTGTGAGATCCAGCCAATTGTCATTCTGCACATATCAGCCTTGCTCAACTTATACTGGGAATATGTCCTTAAAGGATCCAACGTACTTGCTTCTCTTGGTATCGGCGAAGTTCTCATGATCGCCCACCAAATGCTCCTTATACCACGGGTCATCCTTGATCCTCTTGTAGTCGTCGAAGTTCCGAAACACGACCTGGCTGAAACAGTCGTAGTCGGCGATATTCGCCATTTGCGGGTCCATGATCTCGTACATCAGCTCGCGGGTTTCGGTGGGGTTGTGAATCTTTACTCTTCTGTCAGCACGCCTGGGTATATGGCACAGCGGAGATGGACATACCACCGTCCATCTTAGAATCCCATATTTCACCATTAAATCCCATGTCAAAGGGGCAGAGTGCTCCATCATGTGTTTGCGGTAGGCTTCCTCGCTCATGCCGGGTTTGCGGTAGCCCAGGATGGTGAGGCATAGGACACGGTCCTCGGGGGCGACGAAGTTGGTTTCGGGGGCAGACATTCTGGGTTCTGAATCAATTGAAGCTAATGAATGACTTTGCTGATGCGCTGGAATCGGCAATATTGTTGAGCATGGTTCGTAAGGGAGGCAGGAGCTCTATAAAGTGGGAAATGGCCCGAGCATGGACGACCCGACAGCGACGGGGAATTAAAGATCGGGTCATTAAGCATCTCTTGGTCTAGGAAAGGATAGCGGTGTTGCTGAACATCTCCATCACTCAGCTTCGCCTCTGCATTTGCAGGCAAGCTGCCTCCCGTATTGATCGAGGAACTTTGGGCTGTCCACTGAAATGAGCTGAAAGCCAAACTATGTCAGGTTTGAATCGCATACGCGTTCAATTTTCTCGGGCCATCTAAAACCTGCTCAACTGCGACCTGAACTATGGGAGAGGCCGTAGACCAACAACTAAAGCCATTGAGTTACTAGTCGGTTTGGAAACTCTCGTTCCTCGAGACTCGGCCTGCGATCCCCGACAGTGCTCTTTCGCTTAATATATCTACGTAATTGCACCAGTACTACACCAACCTGAATTATAGATACGCACTGGCACTTTTATCTCTCTTTTGCTTCCGTCCCACTCCTGATATTGATATGGTAGTCTTAAAACCATTTTTCTGCATTTCTCAGCGCTGCTCACCACACGATATCCTGGACTTCGGTCTTGATTGCATCGGCAAGACCCTGGGGCTAAATGGCACAGTTCCCATGCAGCATTGCCAGCGACAAGCACGAGTTTGGCCCGGATCGCTGGGCAAAGACAATCGAAAACAATGGCACGTATAACGCCGTCCATGCCTCACATCTTCCAACCCGACGCCCCTCAACTGGAATCACAGTCCTGATTGTCGGCGCCGGCATGGCAGGACTCATGACCGCGTTAGAGTGCTGGAGAAAGGGCCATGATGTCGTGGGGATTCTAGAGCGAAGTAAGGGGCCTGTTTATTCCGGTACTCTTTAACTCCCTAGAGCTATTTACCCGTCTCCATAGGTAGAGGCTCGGAGTCCACCGACTGACATGCATAGCGTATAGGAGACATCATCGTTATACAACCCTCCGCCATATCGATCCTCCATTACTGGCCCGACATGCTCCAAGACCTGGAACAAGATCAGATCCACGCCGCGGTCAGCTACGAAACCCATAATGGGCGGCACATCTACGGCCCAACCGTCCCCTCATTCAACGACGCAGAGTACCTCGCAGCCCGTAAGAGCCCCTACGTTGCCCCGGCACAAATCCGCCGGAAATTCTACCGGATGCTCCTGCGTCAGGTCGCGAGATGCGGGCTCCGCGTCGAATACGGGAAAACGGTGAAAGAATACTTTGAAGATGCAAACGCCGGAAAGGGTGGTGTAATAATAGAAGCAGCCAGGAACATCGAGATAGCCAGAGTGGCAGATATAGTCGTTGCAGCTGACGGTCTTAAATCATCCTCACAGATCTTGATCGCAGGACAACACATCCCCACAAAATCAAGCGGGATGTCTATCTACCGCACTGCATTCGACAAGAGCCTCGCAATGCAAGACAAGCTGGTCCGGAAGCGCTGGGGACAAAGCCCGCCCGTCTGGGAATACTGGCTTGGCCCGGGTATGTATCTCGGTGTATTCATCGGCAACGACATCGTCTCGTACGGGTTCACACCTAGAGACAATGTCGTAGAGGGATCGGCAACGGAGTCCTGGGAGCCCAACACAGACCCCGAGACCGTGGCGCGGGCAATGCTCTCCGGTGCCCCAGACTGGGATCCTGCTGTGATAGCACTTGTGCGGACGGCGCCGAGGGGCTCGATCGTGCACTGGCCGCTACTTTGGCGAGACCTGCGTCGCGAGTGGACGTCCCCATCTGGCCGGGTCGTGCAAGTTGGCGACAGCGCGCACAGCTTTATCCCCACCTCGGGGAACGGAGCGTCGCAGGCTCTCGAGGACGCAATTACCCTTGCAACGTGTCTGCAACTAGCCGGGGACCCAGAGCACGCGGGCCTCGGATCGAAAGTCTACAATCTCCTTCGGTACGAGCGCGTATCCTGTGCGCAGAAGATGTCATTTGTGAACTCCCAGCTCAAGACGGACACGGACTGGGATGCTATCTGGAAAGACCCCGCGAAGATTCGGACGCGGTTTCCGGCTTGGATCTTCAAGCATGATCCTGAGGCTTATGGGTACGAGAAGTTTGGCGAGGCGTTCGCGCATTTGACTACTGGGTCCGAGTTTGCCAATACGAACTTTCCGCCTGGACATGCTTTTAGAGCTTGGACGGTGGATGAAGTTTGGCGGGATATAGAGAGTGGGAAGCGCGTGGAGGATCTTCTGGACCGGGACTGGTCTTGACTGTCCTCGGGACATTTTTTCTCAGCGAGTATACTGAAACCTTGCACAGTGGCTCTTGTTGCTTTATGAGCTTAGTAGAATTAGTGCGTGTAGTTACCTAATGCGTCTCATGAAATCTCTTTTTCAGAACAGCCCTTGACCTGCACACTGGTCTTGATTAAGAAGACCTATTCTCGGACGTTGGATGCTGGGGACTTGATAGGTAGACGGGACAAGCTTTAGATACACAGGGTGGTCAGACCCCCCTTTCCCTACTAGGGTGTAAGTAGCACATCTCTGTCTGTACTCGCATGATGCATCTAACTCGCCGAGAGCTGCTACTGATTCCCTGCTTTAGCTTCTCCTGACTGGGCACCGTGCCCCTTACCCAGAGATACCCCTGCCATCTTAGGGTTAGCATTTACCTCACCTAATGAAGTCGGGTTGGGGGGAGTTAAAACCAATGCCTTCAGCATCTTTATGTCTCTGTCTCATATCGTCTCATTTCGGCCCTAGCCCTATTAATCTGCAAAAGATGAGTGCGGGCACTCATGTCCCTTACCGTCTAGACGGCAAAGTCGCCCTTGTAACAGGTTCCAGCCGCGGCATCGGTGCAGCAATAGCCATCGAACTAGGCCGGCTTGGAGCAAAAGTTGTTGTCAACTATGTCAATTCCCGCCAACCTGCCGAAAAACTGGTGCAAGAGATCAAAGAGATGGGGACGGATGCAATAGCGCTGCAGGCCGACATCCGCTATGTGGCCGAGATTGTGCGGCTCATGGATGACGCGGTGGCGCGGTTTGGGGGACTGGATATTGTTTGTAGCAATGCCGGAGTTGTGAGTTTCGGGCACTTTGGGGACGTCACGGAGGTAGGGCTCGGTCTTTGTTCTCTTCTCACCTGGGTGCATAGGCTAAGTGAGTTTTGTAGGAAGAGTTTGACCGCGTCTTCGGCCTGAACACACGGGCCCAGTTCTTCGTCGCCCGCGAAGCCTACCGCCACCTCAACAATCACGGCCGGATAATCCTCATGTCCTCGAACACGGCCAGGGAGTTCAGCGTTCCCCGGCATTCCGTGTACTCCGGGTCCAAGGCCGCAATCGAGTCGTTTGTTCGAGTGATGGCGAAGGATTGCGGTGATAAACAGGTCACTGTCAATGCAGTGGCTCCCGGAGGCACCATAACAGACATGTTTCATGACGTGGCACAGCATTATTTTCCGAACGGCGAAAAGTATAGTGCAGAGGAACTGCAAGGCATGGCGGCGGAGACATCGCCGTTGAAGAGGAATGGATTCCCGGTGGATATTGCAAGAGTTGTAGGGTTTCTAGCGAGTGACGAGGCGGAATGGGTCAATGGCAAGACTATCACTGTTGATGGAGGGGCTGCTTAGTTCGAGCTCGTGCTAGTGGGAGACATGTAGTAGCTAGAACGATAGGGTTAAGTTTTGACTGGGTGAAGTGAGCTGAAGTGCCATCTCACAAATTCATGTACCAAACACAGAGTCTAGGGCTCTTCTCGCAAAGATCCTTGTAGGCCACCGAAAGGGTTTCATCAATAGGGTCTGCGGTCTAAGACAATGTCTTGTACGTTAGCATTGAGTTGAATCCTAGTTGATGGGCCAAACCGTTTCTGTTGATCACATCATGTCAACCAGCCGCGGCGACCATATCCCAAGGTAAATTTTTTTCGGACCAGCCCAGCAGATATATCCGAGTTAACGACCAAGTATGCATCAGAGATTGTCAAGGTGCCTCGTTCGAGTGCGTTGGGAAGTTACAGTAGCAAAGACCGGGGGGGGTGAGACAATGCGTCGTACCCTTCCTTCGTCTTAGCCTCCAATCTTCCATGCATGAAACAATACTGACCGTATCAGAGTGACTACAAAGCCACTCTGTACCAGCTACAGGAGGACTATGCCAGCCGCTGGATATAACCCCCTTTCCCCATTTCCTGAGTGAAATCCAGTTTGAAGAAACCGGCTCTTCGCGGGTCCGAAGACATGGGAGAGGAGGGGATCATTAGAAGGAGTCGCTGAGCAGAGACATGCAAATTTAGCCCCGGGATGAAGAAGTCCATTGCCAGGGGTCATGGCCATGTCTCAGCACCGTAACAATTCGTAAGGTTGGTGGCATGGGGATGTTGACGGGGATCGAGCCGAATATCAGGTAGACTGAGTTTGGAGGATACAAATTTTTTTCCGACCATCTGAAAAAAGAGAGTATAGTTTAGATAGAGAAAATGAGATACATGGCGCTGACTTATTGTAGTGCTGTTGGAGAGAACGACAAGTCTGGTGCGCCGAGGAAGCCCACCAAGCTCGACAGTCAATCCTATCAACAATTGCCAGGCTTCGGACACCCACCGCTGACCCAGCTGACTTCCTCTCCCATTTAGCCATCCAGAGCCAGCTTCTCGTGTGCTTACAATGGCTCGGTGACTTCCAAATTCTCGCCTGTATCCTTCTCACCGGAGATCTTCCCATCGAAGAAGTCGCTCGGCTGGCTAGTCTTCCGGAGACACATATGATGCGCCTTGTCTGAATAACAGCAATTGTCGGTTTCCTGCATTAGCCAGGACCTGGACAGGATGCACACGCCTTGTGAGCAACGGCCGAAGGTACAGCGCCAATGGACCGTGTTTCTTTAATATGAGACCGTTGAGATAACTTAGCTACCCTTGAAAATAACCACAGAGAATACTAGACTTATTCCCAGGCCGGTGTCTGCTCGTTCAACCACGCAAAATCCTTGCAACCCTCTACCCATCCATCCACATCACCGTCCAAGTCACGTCCGCAGCAAGGCCAACAACCTAATTAGGAGCAAACTTAACTTGGGCAATTCGCCAGCCAACCGCTTGCTCCAATTATAGGCATGACGATGTCCAAGCCCTAACCGCAACCAATCAGGCTACTCCTATAGCCATCCATACCAGCAGCAGTTCCCAGAACTACAACGAACATGTCAATCCAACAACGACCTCGCCAAACTGCGCGCGCACCTTGAAATAATTTGTTCAAACCCTCATCCACTTGAATCTTGCTGCCTCGAGTCCTTTCTGACCCATCGGCTGTGCATAGAGACGTGTAAAGCAAGGGCGCGCCTGCGAGATCCTAACCCTCCTGCAGCTGGCGAATGAGCGGAAAATTGGACTGGAGGAGTTACTCAATCTGCTGGCGAGAGCAAATGATGGTATGGGAAGGTTGGTGATGGTTAATAAGGTTCGGTCGAGGGAGATGTTATTTCGGAGATAGGTTAATTCTTTGAATATACTAGGCCTACTTGATGAATAGTATGAAGTAAGTGTCGGGACCCTAGCTACTTTCATTTCCGCATGGTTCGCAGTCAAACCCAACCCATATATCTCGATAAATCAGAACAGATTTTTAGATGGCCTCGAATACGACAGATTGAAAGAAAGTCTAAGCCCCGCTGATGTTTTTGAACTTATCGAACGCCAAGGGAGAGAGACCGATCTTGTATTGACTTAGGGTTATCGAGGAGTCGAGCCGTGGTGGGGTTGACTTCCGCTGCCTATTGAATGTAACCTTCCTTTATCTAAACGTCATGCAAACCTGGTTAGGCTTTTTGAACAGTCCTTTCCAATCCAAACGATTATTAACAACTGTGCTGATCTAGATCCCGAGTTCCGTCAGATCTGGCCTGGGCTAGTAGCGGCGGAGAAGACTCCCGCCAGCCGGAATAGGGAAAAGCAAATCAGTAGTGATCTTGGAACATGGTTACAGCCCTGATCATGTCGTCACGTCGCGATACTGCTGCGAGACCCAGTTGACTTCCTTACTTAGGACGCCCGGCCCCAGCCGGAGAGTTGCGAACTGCATTTTATCACATTGCCAGCATGTCGAGTTGGCTGGCTTTCACCCTCTTGGGCCTCTGGGCCGTTCTCGCAGTTGCAGCACAGGACCAGACAGCTCGGGTCTGGGCAGTATATGCGTATACCATCAACGGGGAGGGCATACCACGAGTTTTCCCACGACCAAGATCATTGACCCCGTTCGGTGCCTACCAGCTCCATGAAGCTGGGATTGCATTTCGACGTCGATACGTGTCTCTGAGTTCAGGTGCCAATGAACCGGGTACACGGATCGAGAACCTTTCTCCCTACGTGCTTGACAACGACGACGTCAAGATCACGTCCACGCCTGATGTCACTGTGCTCGCGTCTGCTCAGGCGTTCATGCAGGGTGTGTATCCGCCCTTGAGAGAATCGTTCAACGCCACATTCTTCAACAACCAACTGGAATTGGCCGACGGCTCGTCAGTCTCTACTCCGCTGGGCGGATATCAGTACCCGTCAATCATTACGGTCGGGGCGGAAGATCCTCAATCCCTCATGATATCCGGCCAAGCAGTCTGTCCTAATCATGCTGCTGCGAATGCGGAATATACCGTCAGCAGAGAGTTCTGGCAGACCTATGAGGAGTCAGCTGTGTTCTATAATCGACTCCATGCTCTATCTCTGTCCGGCCAGTTCGACACAGCCGCGGCGAGCTATGCGAACGCAACCACAATCTCTGAGTTCCTGGATTATCAAGTCGTGCATAACGAGTCCCTCTTACACAGTCTGACTGCAGAGGATATCAAACGGGCGCGGTGGTATGCAGGCAGGTACGTTTTTGCGACGGACGGCAACAGATCGACATCCGGCGCCGCTGTCGACGGTAATATCCAGACAATCGCAGGGCAAGGTCTTGCATCCAGCGTTTTGGATGCGTTTGAAACAACCATCCAAGACCGAGGCGCCAATGGGAAGATGACCCTTCAGTTTGGCAGCTACCAAACGGCCGTATCTTTCGCCTCGCTCCTGCAGCTGGCTACCACGAATCCGAACTTTTCCTCGTCCATACCGCGTCCAGGATCCTCGTTTGTCCTCGAGCTGTTCAGCCTGGAAAGTGAGAGTTACCCGACGTACCCTGATCCAGCACATCTCTATGTTCGTTTCCTCCTGCACAATGGGACAAGGGCCGAATTCGTTCCCTATCCACTCTTTGGACATAGCCCAAGCAACATGGCCATCCCATTCGGTGACTTCCGGGCCGAGATGCAGAGAATGTCGTTAGGGTCGACCGAGGATTGGTGCCGCCGTTGTAACTCGTCCACCGTGTTTTGCTCCGGTGTGGTAAAAACGCGACAGTCTCCTCTCAGTAAGACCCGCAAAAACCGCGGCGGAATGAGTGCTGCTGTTGCGGGAGTCATCGGAGCTGTTATTACCATCGTCGTACTAGGGTTGTTCGCCATCGTCGGGTTCTTTCTTTGCTTGCGCGCCAGAGGGTTGCGTAAGCCCAGAGTCGGAGGGTTCAAGGGGAGTGGCAAGATGGGCAGTGATTCAGACCTTACCTTCAAAAACCCGCAGTGGGGAGATACTATCAAGGCTCCTGCCGCTTCGGCCAAAGGCCATGAACGTCATGGCAGCTGGGAAATGAAGAACCAAAGCCCGCCACGGCTTGCGGAGCAGAGTGTTGGAGCATCGTCTCTTGCAGACGAACTCGAAGAAGAATGGGACATTCACGGCACTGAGCCGGTCAAGCCTCACGAGCATGTGTGAATGTATACAGAAGTAGCGGTATACCTAAGTTTTGCTGATAGTTAAGGTTTCAGAACTGGCTCATCTTAACTCCGATCTGTAATCAACTCACTAGTGAATAGCATTGTTGTGGTGTGCTCTTTCCTTGTCAACGTAAAATCGCCTTCCTTCACACCTCCCCTTCGCCCCAACAGAACACTCCCCCTCCTCTCCTTTCCGTCTTTTCAATCAACAACTCTCAATCCTCTTCTGTTCTTCTGTACAAACCAACCATCGCTGGAACACTAAACAAATCATTTCATTCTTTAGAGCCCCAGAACCGACATTCGTGGGCACACATTCATTCATCTCCTTAGCAATGACCAAATACGACATTCAGACCCTTCTGGCAGCGAAACCAAATGCTCACATAGACCTGGAAAGATTCAGCGACCAGGCGTTTACTAGTAGGTTCTCTGCAGGTCACAATTAGTAATGCCTGATGCTGACAATCCGGGATTCCAGACAACCTGGTCCGGTCCAATGTCTTGTCCGAGCAGTCCGTCAACCGGCCAAGGAACGTGTCCGGCGGCAATCCCCGTCGCAATGGACTTGCGCCATTAGTACTGAACACGCAGAATGCCCCTCGTCAGCCAGAGCATGAAACCTTGTCGTCTTCCAATTCTCAGTTTGACGACGCATTTGTGCGATTTGTAGAGCAGCACACGTCTCCGAAACCACAACGAGTCACTGCCGGTGGCCGCATCGTACCGATGAATCCGTGGGATTCTCCTCCAAAATGGAGTCTGCCTTTGAGTTCCAAGGCCGCGAGTGCTGCAAACAGCGAGGTGTCCAAGAACGCTGGTTCGGTTGCGAAAAGCGAAGCAAAACCGAAACCTGAAAACCGACCCAAACAGCAGGCAACCAACCCCGAGAGCAAGGCCCCAAAGTCAAACCCCTTGCCTGCAGGTAAGTCTTCAATCCATGCTAGCTTGGCATTTGCAGGAACTGGTTCTGATCACCAATTCTTAGATGCCGCCAACGCTCCATGCTTCCAGCCTCTCGGCAACACAAGCCCGTTCCAATATGCCAGCGCTCCCTTCGGTTCTCAGCAGCCACAAGGACCTGCGTTGCCCGCTTACCCAGTCCTCGGTATCGGTGGTGATAACTTCTTGAATGCTTTTGCTCAGCCGCCAACTCCATCACAACTCATTGGTGCACAACCCTCGCCGGCCGCTTTCGCATTTCAGCCACACCCGTCTCCTACAGCGACAGCGGGATTCCCAGGCTTGAATGCATTTCCGCCCGCCCCGTTTAGTCCTTACCAGACGAGTTTCGCACCAAGTCCCTCTGGACTCAATGCCCAGTGGCCGCAGCTACCCCAGCTGCCCCAGTTGCCACAGCTGCCCCAGCTCCCCCAGCTTCCACAACTTCCACAACTTCCACAACTTCCCCCTCTGCCCCAGATCCCACAAATGCCTCAGCTATCTCAAGCTTCTCCAGCTGTCAGTCACCAATTACCTACAGCCAATCAACAATTCGTCCCATCTTTCCTTCAGGATGCTGTGTACCAAAAGTCGCTGGAAGATGCTACCAAGCAGTATGATGCACTTTCTGCGCAACTTTCCCAGATTGACCGGTTCACCGCGATGCATGCGTGGGTCATCGATCCGGAGACGAAGAAACTGTTGGTTGAACAACGAAAGAGTCTGGTGCGAGAACTTGACACGGTGAGACTGTACAGGGAGCATTTGCAGGTGCTCTTCGGGAAACACCTGATGAATAATACTCTGAGAAGCCGCCAGGAGAGTGTTCCTATCCCAGTCACACCTCCCAGGAACGAGGCATGGGAGACGCCTACCAAGTCCAAGTCCAGGTCGTTGTCGCCAACTGTCCGCAACCTCTACCGCACCATCGAAGAGACTGACGAGCGCGGGGAACCAATTGATGGGCTGCTCCGTGCACTATCAGGCGCCTCCAAAGGGCTTGCAAAGAGATTGAGCGAAGAACGCAAAAACTCGCTAGCTGTTGCTGCTAGAGAGCCTGTTCCCCAGAGGGAGTTGCCTAGCAGAGCTAGCACGTTTGTCAAAGTGAGGGAGGAGTCCTTGCATGAAGCACCCGAGAAAGCCGAGTATGCTCAGCCCGTGCAGGTGTCAAGAAGGCTGTGGCAATCAGATCCCATCTCACACCCTCCGTTCCTTTCTCATTGCTTCAACAAGGATTGGAGTCCGGTTCTGCAGAAGTCGGCCGCGCCGGCTATATCCCAGAACGTCACTGCTCATGCTTTTCTTCCTTCTTTCGATGGTGCGGGAAGATCAGCCGATGGCTTCGAAGTGATCTAATCAGAAGTGGAGAGCAAGGGTTAAACTTGTTCCGAGTCGAGACCGCGATGCGGATTTGGGAGTTGGAGGTTGCTTGAGTTGGCATTAGGGGTTGAATTACGGAGTAGTCTACAACTGATAGGATGGATGATGAATATCTGGCCCCGTGTAGGGATTATTGTATCCTTAGCATTGATTTGGTAGTCGCGCATAATTCGATTCTCTAATGGTCAAAGAAAGAAGAAAGTGGTTGTGAATCGTGACTCGCGCCCATTGATAATGGTGGCCAAACCTGACTCAGCCCCGTGGAAGAACCTCCCGAGTCCCAGTTGAGTGTAACTCCACCTCATCCAACGTCGGTAATAATCAAGCTGCAGTCAATCCGGTGTCCTTCATGGATTGACCATCCCCCGGCTTTATCGCTTCATCTCGCTCCGCTCTTTATACTATCTCTCCGTCTCTCTTTCTCTACTTCTCGTTCATGAACCACCACCCTTATTTCACCGCCCCCTTCCTTATGTCTCTCCAACTTTTCTAGCTCCACGCCGCCAATTCCGCCTCCCTTCCCCCGCGCTCTCTTACCCGTTACCGCGCTTCATCGCCAAATCAATCTATCTTTGACCTCACGCTTTTGTCTTCTACCGCTCGTCATCTTGGATAGATTAGAACACTAAAGTCGCAAATTCTATCGGGGTTGATTTGTTCTTGTCGTGGGGATGACGCAGCTTTTCGCCTCCAGTCCGTCTCCTGCGGCGAACGAGAAACGTGGAAATCATCCGGGTCTATCCCTATCCATGCCTACCAAAAAGCACCCCAACGATTCAAGCCATTTCCCGACAAAGATCAAGAATTTTTTCCGCATCAACAGCTCAAGTAGCACGTCCTCTCACCAATCGAACAACCCTGCCAACAGCGCTGAGCGGGATGTCGGTGCTTCGACCCCTGTCAAACATGAGAACAAGTCTACCTTCAGACAGTCGCGATTTCTCCCAATCATTGGTCGCAATCGCTCCGCCACAGTTGCGAGTGAAGGGAATCCCTTAGATGACGCGATTTCCCCGACCGCGACGGCGAATCCTTACTTTGTCCACCAGGGCCAACCCGCCCTACAGCATCGCAATGACGGCTCGATGCCTTCTTCGCCCCCGGATACCCCAGAGTTACAGGTTGATGGTGTTTCGGCGGCAGAACAAGCCACAACTGCCAACAAGGAGGAACTTGCTCGGAAATTACGCCGTGTGGCTTCAGCTCCAAACGCTCAAGGCCTGTTCAGTGCTACCGATCCCGATGGCCGACCTCAGACTGCAGAGCTAGGTAAGGAGCCTTTAGTGCACTCAGGTGCTGCTGGCTCTTCTGTTGGTTTGGTTGAAGTGAACGCGAACACCGATCAGGATGGCAATCTCGCCGTTCCACAGCCTGGTTCCGGCAAGCTTCCTGCCATCACTCAAATCCGCACTTCTAGCGGTGGTTTCCGTCGAACATACAGCTCCAACTCTATCAAAGTTCGTAATGTGGAGGTGGGACCTGCCAGCTTTGATAAGATCAAGCTCATTGGCAAAGGTGATGTTGGCAAGGTTTACCTTGTCAGGGAAAAGAAGTCGACTCGCTTATATGCCATGAAGGGTAGGCTTCTTTGCAGTATCGTATGAGCGCCGGATTGACTAACAGAGAACAGTTCTCAGCAAAAAGGAAATGATCAAGCGTAATAAGATCAAGCGGGCACTGGCAGAGCAGGAAATCCTTGCCACCAGTAATCATCCTTTCATCGTCACACTCTACCACTCCTTCCAGTCTGAAGACTATCTCTACCTGTGTATGGAATACTGCAGTGGTGGAGAGTTCTTCCGAGGTATGATACTCTGAGCTTGTGATTTCATATTTGCTAATGCAACTCCCTGTAGCTCTACAAACTCGGCCGGGAAAATGCATATCGGAAGATGCTGCTCGATTCTACGCAGCCGAGGTCACTGCTGCCCTTGAGTATCTCCATCTCATGGGATTTATCTATCGTGATCTGAAGCCAGAAAGTGTGTCTTTCTTAGCCTGCTCATGTAAAGGCGACTAACAGGTTTTCCACGCAGATATTCTGCTTCATCAGTCGGGGCATATCATGCTGTCAGATTTTGACCTCTCAAAACAATCCGGACCAGGGGGCGCGCCTACGATGATTCCCGCACGGAGCGGCAATTCCAACACGGCCTTCCCTACGATTGACACCAAGTCTTGTATTGCCGATTTCAGAACCAACTCGTTTGTCGGTACTGAGGAATACATCGCGCCGGAAGTGATCAAAGGGTGCGGTCATACTAGCGCTGTAGATTGGTGGACCTTGGGCATCCTCATTTACGAAATGCTTTACGGAACTACACCTTTCAAGGGCAAGAACAGAAATGCCACATTTGGCAATATCCTACGCGACGAGGTGCCGTTTCCAGAACAAGGTGGTGCACAGCCAATATCCAAGTATGTAACTATCAGTCTCTTTCACCTCGTAAGACTAACGAAGTCTCAGCATTTGCAAATCCCTGATCCGCAAGCTCCTCATCAAAGACGAGACAAAGCGTCTCGGGGCTCGAGCTGGCGCCTCGGATGTCAAGACGCACCCCTTCTTCCGGCAAACACAGTGGGCTCTGATTCGCCACATGAAGCCTCCCATGATCCCTCACCAAAGCCGTGGAAGCGAGGCGGTCAACTTCCGCAATGTCAAGGAGAGCGCAAGCGTTGACATTGGTGAAAAGAACCCTTCCAAGATGAAGGGCGTTCCCCTGAATTCTGGCCTCGCTACGCCCAACGGCGAAATAGCTGACCCCTTCGAAGAGTTCAACAGCGTCACTCTTCACCATGACGGCGACTTTTAATCGGCTCACACCTTGGTACAACCCTCGCCGCACCTGCATGATAGATGAAATTGCTCGAGCGACCTGTATTGCTATCATTTTACGACCATGATGCATGAAAACAATTTGTATTCGAAGTCTTTTACTTTCACTCGGAGTTTGGAGGCGTTTAGAATTTCAACGTGGGACTGCTTGCCCTACCAATTTGCTGGAAATCATTTTGGGTGGATATCGATCTGCATCGATGTTGAGTTCGCTTTGCATGTGTTATCTTCCGGCTCTGGTCTTTGACTGGATGCTCACGGTATACTATTCTTTTCACATTTCTACACCATTCCTTCATGTCTTACGGCCAATCAGTCGCCTTCCCTTGACCATCCTTAATGCAAATCTAGCGTTGGCGATCTTGGGGCCTACCCTTGCTAAACTCTTGCAATGCTGCGTGTGTATACGAAGCGCGTTATGTGACTGCTCGCTTTCTCTTTATAAGCGCTTCCGCTTGCCTCCTTATTACTACATGTGGTTTGAGAAAATTGGCTGGGGGTTTCTAACCATCTACATCAATCACAGACTACATTCTTTATCTAACCATCATACCTGTTAATTGGCAGAATTCGATCGTCATCCCACGGAGTCTCGTTTCTGCTGGTAGATCAGGCTGAACGTCTTCCGTATAGCGAAGTCTGGTTTGCCCACTCATTTCCCATAGCTTATTCAAGGAGTTCAATGCTCTTGAAGTTGGTGAGTATCATATAATGCAAACTTCCTCATTGTCCTAGCCCTTAGCAGACATACACTTCGTCAGCTATCTTGAGATAGTGGGCAACGCAAGGTGAACCTACTCAGGGTATACCTAACTCTGGCTACATCGAGGCTCTAGATCCATACTGGTTCTCACTGGTTGCCATCGGCACCATCTGGATGCTCAGCTCCCTCTTGCGACTCCTCATTCAGGCTGTTCTCAATTCAGAATCTTTGGCTTAGGCTTTACCCTTCTCTCGCAGCGTGTGGCCATCGTAACCTCACTTCGCCCTAGGAGTCAGGACTCTTTCCAATCTGGGTATCTCTCACTTCAGGCCGGGGCGTGGGTACCTCATCTCAGGTAATATCATTTCTTCTCTTTTTTTCCCCTTCGCTCTCCGCTCTTTGTCTTTTGCTTTCATCTACAATCTCTCATCTTTCCCCTCAGAGATATCCTCAGTTATACATCTTTCTTCATCTTTCTATCTCATTTCTCCCACCTTGTGCCCATACACTTCTCCTTCCGACTCCTTGCCTTATATCTTCCTATATTGTACTCATAGTCTCCTACTCTACTGATCTCCAAATTCCCTCCATCCATCTTGTTTTCATGAACATACCTTCTTTTTTTACCCACCCGCCGCTTTCATCCCACCTTTCTTATACATCCACCTTACTTTCTGGACTTTCAACAGGCTGCTCCTATAATCTTCTAGTACGCCTTCCTCAGTCCCTTTCGCCTAAATTTCTCCCTTCTACACAGCCATATCTTCTTCTGCTCTTCATATCTAGTCCCTGCGTCAGCTCTATTTGATCCCTTCTCTCCTATATAAGGTCTTCTCAACCCGCTCTTGGGGCTGTTTTCACCTTACCTCGCGGCACGCACTGGCCGCCGTCTGCCTGCTAGCCTCCCTACAACCGCCGGTGCTTATTTTAACGCTTCGCATTCCTCTCTACGCAGTCAACATGGCGAAGAGAGCTCTACCTCAGGTACGTCCATTCATATCTTGTTCATGTTTTTGGTTAACATTCTCTACCTATAGAGCAAGGCTAAAGCCAACCCAAAAAAGCGGAAACTTCCTAACAGCGAGTCAAGCCGCAAGCCCAGTGCCAATGTAACCCCAAGAATGCAAACCCCTTCAGGAGAAATGGCGGGGACCTCCGAAGATATCGGTCCCCCAGCTGAAGTGGGTGCAGCGGATAGACTCGAGCCGATTGATGTGAGCATTCTCTGGAATAAAGGTCGAGGAGAGATGCAGGAGACACTCGACAACGCTCGCGAAAACAACATCACTCTTCCGGACTTGAAGATGCGCTTCAAACAGGACCCAAGACTTTTCAAGTCTACCTTTGCGTTCAAAGACTCCATTAGGCGCATGTACAACTGCCAAGAAATCGGTATGAACATCAAGACACTTGAACTTTCTTACAGATTTATTGAACACGAAGTGGACGTTGATCTCATGCGTGCCGAATGGAGAAAGGTATTGGAGATCTTCAATGGAGAGCAGAATTCGAATTTTATCGTGCATGTTGTATTCCAACCAACTGCTGGCCCAGGCGCAAATATCTTTGAAAGCTTTGAAGTGCCTCCGCCACTCAGATCCTGGTTTGATACTCAAAAGCTGGACGTACGTTTGAACAAGCGGCCAATTGCGGAACGCAAACGAAGACTCAAAAGATTCTTGAAGAACTCAAGGAGAAATTTGGAAAGCGAAATCGGGAATGCCCCTGAGCCAAAGCGTTTTAGTTCGAAAAAATATCTACTTCGGTACTACTCAAACTTCGACGTCCGAAAGGAAGAAGAACGGCGAGACTGGCAGAAAGATCTGTTGGCCAACCTCAGCTGCAACGCTCAAGCAGCTCAAGTAACCCTTGATAAGCTTCCCGTTGATTTGAACAATGCAGAGAAGATCTCGGTTTCGACCACCCAGGGCGAATTTCACAGAAGGGCCGTCGAAGAAGAACCATCCAACATGAAGGTAGACTCTCCCTGCAACAACGAGAGATCTATGCTGATTAGTTTCGTTAAGGACACGTCCCTGACTGAGGCCGAATATATTGTTCTTCAGAAAGCCTTCTCAGGCACTGACAACCGCTCAGGGCCACCAGTCGATATATGCCTGCAGCTTCTGATGGCCACGGAGCAGGATCATGGTCTGTACAAGTCCGAGATGCTCGCGAAGTTCACCAACTCTCAATTCTACCATTACCAGATATCCGGTGCGGTCGGTATCATTTTGAAGCTATACGGCCACATTGACCCTCAGGTTCTGCTTGAGAGCACCAACTGTTTAGATCATCCTCGGGCGGAAGAGGTTCGTGAGGCAGCCGCAGTCCTAAACTCCGTTTGCCTCCATGGGGCTATACTTGCGGACGAGACTGGCTTTGGCAAAACCAAGCAATCATTGCTAGCTGCCGTCCTCCATACCTTCTTGTACAACGAAAGGGACAGGCGCGGGAACAAGTGTCATAGGCCTATTCTCCTTACTGTTCCACCTACACTCATCTCGCAATGGTTAGCCGAGATTCGTACTCACTGGCCATGGTTCTTTCCTATCTTATCCTACGAGGATCCGATATTCCAGAAGGACACCAAATTGACAATTATTCCTGCTGCTGCTATGAGAAACATATCGCATCCTACGACGATGCCCTCCAACTTGAAATACGTCTTCGACATCCACGAAGTGAATGCAGGTAGGTCAATTATCATCACATCATACACTACTCATAGGCTGCGAGCCGGCCATGTGGAAGAAAAACGCATATCAGACCTTAGTGATCAGGAGTATTTCCCATGTCGGTTCCAACCGCAGAGGAAAGCCAAGGATAAAGTGGTCAACGTTTGGGAGACGCACCATGGAGGCAGGTATTCTCTCTGGATAGCGGACGAGGCTCAAAAGGTGAAGAATAAAACAACAGATACCTGGGCCGTCATGCGCATTCACAACTTCCCGAAAACGATTTTAGCCACAGCCACACCTATGTTTAATGCTGCCTCGGTACGTATAGCTCCGGTTATTTAAGCCTCCACTCTCTTATATAATGCAAAAAGCCCGCGCTCTATTGACGTTCTTCGGTAGGATTTGGTCGGCTTAGTTAGTCTGTTATGGCCAGCGGCTAGGGAGACGCTAAGCACATACCTTGAAATGCATCCTGACGACGTTGAGGCGGTCGATATGATCAAGCAAGTCTGCGCCGGGGCCGCTGAGATCGACCTTCCTGGCATTGATCTTCTGAATCCAATTCGCATTGAATTCATGAACCCGGCATCCCTTACTAGAATATTCAACAGCAGGCGTCTAGACGACAAGCATCTGAGGGTAGCAACACAGTATTGCGAGCTGCTAGATATGATTAGCATTCAACGCTCGCAGGGTTCGGCCTTGATGAGCTCTTTGGGGGAGCGAATTCCGCTAAAATCGCTCTTCAAGACAATAACGTACAAGACTGCAGCGACCAAGCTCTTTTGCACGGAAGAATTAGAATATCAACTGTGGCATAGAGAGGCTGCGAAGTGCGTATATAAGCCTGTCTTTGGTGAACGTACTGACCATGGACAAACCCTAGGGATTACTCAAGCGAGCTCATGCTCATGCCACCCCAAGAGGTAGTCGCACCACGAGGGATTGTTCTGAAGCAAGAGCGGCCTAGATTTTTTGGACAAACAACCCCGTTACGCAGGTTAGGAATGGCTGCGTTCTCTACAAAAATGGCTCGCCTGAACGCTGTCATGGAAAGCAGCAAAGGAAACACTTTTGTCGAAACTTTGAGGCTATGGAGAGCGAAACAGCTCAATGCCAGTTTTATCCACGATCTTACCCGCGGAGAAGGAGAGCAGCGTGCAAATACAGCAAATGACCTCATTTCCTACCTTGTCGAGGGCTGCCCAGTGGCACGGCTAGTTTGTCAGGAAATTCTTGCCATTAAGGCCCTTGAACCGGTGAACAAGGAATTCTTTGGTCACCACCAAAAACTTATAGTTGGGGAGGTGCTGCCTGCAAATGCCTTTTACCTTCAAGAGATTCTTAGGGCATGCTTGATTGATGCTAGAGTGTTTCATGCCGATCTATCACACCAAGCCAGGAGTCAGATGGTAGATCTTTTCAACAATCCCCAGAGTACGCTCAAGGTTCTCATCATGCTTTATGATGTTGGCTCCATAGGCCTGAATCTACACAAAGCATGCAATCATGTTGTTATTGCTAGTCTGCCTCGAAGCCGAGGACAAGAGAGTCAATTGGCGGGTCGTGCCTCGAGGGTAAGGTCCCCAAGTTCGACCCGAGCTTACTTCATTCCACTAATATGCATCTCCAGATCACATCCGAGTTCCCTCTGACCGTAGTCAGAAGAGTGACACCCAATTCGCATGATCAGTTCCGCAGCGTAAGGCAGGCTGAAAAAGCGGCGCTACAGCTTGCTGCTAATGCCAGAGATCCCTGTATCACAGAACTAGTCCTGAAGCTTTTGAATGAGTTTCAACAGGAGGTTGATAAATGCTATGAAGATCCTGCACTTTCTGGCCTTCGAGATGCTATCCACCGCGGTGAAGCAATCAAATACTTCCAGCGTCAATCGGGGATCATTCCAGATACCAAGGCAGTTAATCCTTTCAAAAACCAGGCGTCTGCTTCCACCGACACACCAGAGACTGCCCACTCCCTCGACGATCAAACCCCAAATCCAACCGACGGTCGTCAGCTCAGAGCACGGACCGGAACTGATGATAATGTTGGTCTTTTTGTCAGCGGCAGTGAATTCAGCGATTCCGACAGCGACGACGGTCGGTCTCTCAATGAGGATGATCCCGAGTACTACAATAATTATACCGATTCAGAGGACGAGGAACTCGACGGGACAGGTGCTATCGACTCCGACGATGATCTTTGCTCAGCTGATGCGGATTACGAAGACGAGGAGGATATTTCCGAACTTGAAATGTTCCTGTCCGAGTGTCAACCGGACGATTTAACCCGCCATCATTACGCCTTACTGCAATATGGCCCTGGCAGAGAGTGGGAAGAGGATGATCTTTTGGATAACGAGCACTTGAAGCTAGGGCTAAGATTGCTATACAACAAGATCAGTGGCTTGGACATGCTGCATCTAACCAAATCCATTCATATCTTGTACAAGCAGTTTCCTAAGGCGATGATTGACCAGATGGGTAAAGTCAAGAATCCGGATACAAGGAGGCGGAGAAGAGCAAGGAAGACGGCGATGTACAAAGATGATAATAAAGACTGAAGTCAAAGGCCTCTGCAGTTCGACATGTACATAGTTTTGGGTTGGTCCATGGTCCTCTTGGGATGCTAGATCATGCAAGTATCAACCCAGTGGATCTTAAAAAGCAGGCCCCAGTGGTCGACTTGCGTTTTTATAAAAGCATCCTTTTCAGTTATCTTTCCAAGTCGAACCATTCATCCAGCATCAGAATCAGAGCTTTGAAATAGGTAACATCTTAGGTATGTTCTCTAGTACTTGTGAAAGACGCTAGAATATATAGCCCCTCCACAAAGTCATACCGAACTCATTTTGTGCTTTTTAAAGTGAATGAGAGAAGAATCCTGTAAAAATATATCTTTAAACAATTAAAGGGAAGATCCAGGCTCAAATCTTCAAGGTATCTAGAGAAACGAATTCTAGAGGGCGATATCAGTCAAACCGGACGTGTTTATCCTCCCCGCCAACCGAAGCCCGCTACCACCACCAAACAAACATCACAACCCCAACTCTAGCCACAATAGATCTGCAAGCAAAACACATACACCAAGATCCAACATGTCAGACACAACTCCGACACCCTCAAGAAGCACAACTCCCCCAACAGACCCGCCCATTGACTCCGTCTCCGGCACTGAGAACGCCTTCCTCCGCCCCTCCCACCCGCTCGTCTCCGATCTCGAGCAGGAAGTTCTGGACGAGTATGCGCGGTTACTGGGGAATGTGAACAAGGTACGTCCGGACATACCCCCTTCCTTGCTCTACTCAACGTCTTCTGCGAAGCAGCAAGTGACTGACAATTTTGATTTGTCGGTGCAGCTCTCCGCCAAACTCTCCGAACTCGCGGGCTCCCCGACTACAATCACGCTCGACGGACTGAGGCAGCTAGAGCGCAAGACGGCGACCGTTTGCACGCTGCTCAAGGCGAGTGTGTACAGTATCCTGTTGCAGGAGCAGATCGTCAATGAAGGGGAATGGCAGCAGCAGCAACAGCAGGAGGAAGAGGGGCAGGAGTATGCGACTGGGACTATGAATGTGGGCGAGGAGGGGATGTACATGGGGGAGGGGGATATAAGTTATCAACAGTATTGATTGACTTGCTTTGAAATTACCGGTTTGGCGTTCATTCGGGAGGGACTACATAGGTATTCATGAAGGTTGTTTTTATTCTGCGTTTAGGATTGGACTATACCCTGCGTCGGTGTTTTTGAGGTGCTTCAAATCTCGTCTGGTCTAATTGGTGTTCGATCGATTGATGGTACAAATACATGGATGAATGCTGAAAGATCAGGAGAAATTATATACATCGTCAGGAAGTGACCAGAAAGCTGGAACTGGAAAGCAGACAATGCGCGCGCAACATAATCATACAGGAGTAGGAGTGTTCTAGTCCAAAGTTGCTCTAGTTGCGTCTCCCAGAGTAGTAAACTTTGCGCACATCGACCAGCTTTTTGCCCCTGGCGCGGGCAATCTCCTCCGGATCGCGCTGGCTCATTAGGGCCTGATATGCGGCTTTCACCGTGTTCATAGGGTTTCTGGCCCGCTCGACACGGGCTGCAATATCGCTGATACCTGCTGCGCGGCACATCTCATAGATCAAGCTTTGGCAGCGGAGACCGAAGCCTAGAGTAGCACTTGTTAGCTGTGCGCTGAGTAAAATGAAGGGTTGGAAGCTTACCGGGAGGGCGGGACATCAGTTTCAGCTCGACGGCACCTACTTTGCCCGTCACGTCACCAAAGATCGTGCGGTTCTCGTACCTCGGGACAGGCTTCATGTTTCTGATAGCACGGTATACCGCCTGGATGTTGGCATCTGGGGGTTCCTGTGATTTGCCTTCGCCGATACCGAGGAGACCGTTTCCATTACCGGCGACAGTCAGGACATACTCACTCCTAATCTTACCAAGACGGGTCTGGTTGACGACACTTTTCCTGACGAGGGTTTTGGTCTTGAGGCTAGCGATTTCCGAGGCGCTGTACCCGGTGTTTTTCATGAGCACCTTCAACGCCTCGCTTGCTTCTTTATCTTCCTTGGCGACCTGGTTCGGGGTGCGCGATACATCGTAATAGTTGTGAGGCTTGTCACTCGGCCCGTCAATGGTCTCACCAGGCTGGAATAGGTCCGGAACGAGAGAACTATTTGGGTTCAACTCGTTTTCTTCCTTCCCAATCGTCATGCGGTTCTGCTCTGCAAACCGCACCCAGTCGGATACCGTGGCTTTTTCTGGCATCTCAGAAATGAATTTGGCGAAGTCGTCGATGAAGTCCTCTTCGGTCTTCAGGGTCGCGTTGTAGTCGCTGTTGCTTTCGGGGGCGCGAACGTGCTTGTCAATGCCGGGCTCGACAACGGAGAAGTCATCGAGATACATGAGCTTCATTGGGTCTTTGCGAATTCGGAACTGCTCGGCCATGTCCTTTGGGTCAATGGCCGCTTCACCGGCTTCGATCGCGGCCAGCTGTTCGGGGGTATAGTGCTTCTTGAGATAGGCCTTTTCCTTCTTGGTGTATGGCTTAAAGTCCTCCGGCTTCATATTCTCGCTAAGCTGCTTCAAAGTAACGCCCTTCTCGACAGGCTTCTTGTTGGGCTTGTCGGCGAACTGGGCGGCCGACAACTGAAACTGGCGGCGAGGCACGCGAGGGCCGTTGGCAGCCGCGCGTGAGAAGCTGCAAAACAGACATCTCGGGGGGCGGCCGAAGCTCATGATGGCGAGTTGGCTCTCTGGCCCTTTCAAGCCGGCGGGGGGCAGAGGTGGTATGAAAGGGTGTGGAGCGTGGGAGACGGGGGTGAATCGGAGGATGGTGGAGGACAACTTTGAGGCCGGCAGACGGAGAGAAATTCTCAGCACACCGGTCCGGCCAATCACAGCTCGCCCTTTTCTGCTTGGGATGCATTTCCGCCCATTCTCGACTTTCTTTTCCCCAGTCTTCAATTCTGCTTTTCTTCTGCTTGAAATCATTATATACACATGTTTCGCTTCCTGCGGCTTTCTGTTCGTCGCCCGCTTCAACACTGCTACCATCGCTCCTCTCCAGCCCATCTGCTCGCCGTCGCAAATTCGAGTTCGATTTCTCTGCAGCAACGGAATGCGCATATCTCCCCGATAATGGAGGCACCAAAGAAGAACCACCGTAATGCCCCTAAGCGGCAGAAGCGGACTCCGGCTAAGCACCTGAAGGACAAGTCAAATGAATTCGACGAAGTCCTACAAGCCGACGTGGAAAGACTGCTGAAGAGCAAGCGGGACCCCAGCCCAGCGGACGCTACTTCCCCTCAGCCCACGCTCCCAGAACTTTTCACAGAGATTGAGGTGACGGTCGCAGAGATATCGTCGACAGGTGATGGGCTAGCGCTATCGGAGAACGGGGACCATGTATATGTCGTCCCTTTCACTGTTCCTGGGGACAAGGCGCTGGTAAAGGTAGTGCGACATGTCAATGCACTCTCCTACAGTGTAACGGACTTTATCAAGGTCATTGAACCTGGCCCGCAACGACGAGATGATGCAATTGGATGCAAATACTTTGGAAAATGCTCGGGTTGTCAGCTCCAGATGATCTCATATGAGGACCAGCTGGCGCATAAGAAGCGCATCGTCGAGAAGGCCTATGCCAACTTTTCCGGCCTTATCCCGGAATTGATTCCTGCCATCGGGGACACCTTCCCCTCTCCTCAGCAATATGGATACAGAACCAAACTCACACCGCACTTCGCAAACCCAAAGCGCGACGAGGCCGGAGAAGTCCAGGTACCGCCAATTGGCTTCACATACAAGAACCAGCGCCGACGACTCGACATCGAAGACTGCCCACTAGGCACAGATATTCTCAGAGCAGGTCTCAAGAGCGAGAGGAAGAAAGTAGCAGAGAACTTGGATAAGTACAAACGGGGCGCAACGATCCTCCTCCGCGAAACAACCTCCCGCACTCCAAAGGACTCTTCCACAGACGCCAATACCGACTCCAAACCAACTGTTATTACTTATGAAAGCACAAACAAACCACACCAAGAATCCGGGGACGTCATCACTATTGACCACCCCAACTATACCGAAGAGAAGCGCTGCGTGACAGACCAAAACGCCACGTCTGTCGAGTACATCGACGACTACATCTTCACCAACAAAGCCGGCGCCTTCTTCCAAAACAACAACTCCATCCTCTCCGGCTTTACAGAGTACATCCGCCAACAAGCCCTCCTCCCCAACTCCGACAAATCCGCTACCCCCATCAAGTACCTCCTCGATGCCTACTCCGGCTCCGGTCTCTTCACCATCACTCTCTCCCCGATCTTCAAGTCTAGTCTGGGCGTTGACGTCGCTGGCGACTCGATCGTCTCGGCCCGTGAAAACGCGCGCGCAAACTCCCTACCTAACACCGGCTTTGCTGCTGCCGACGCTGCAGTTCTCTTCAAGGATGTGCCGTATCCGGCTGACCAGACGTTGCTGGTGATAGACCCGCCGCGCAAGGGATGCAGTGAGGACTTCCTGAAGCAAATGCTAGAATATGCGCCAAGGAGAGTCGTGTATGTTAGCTGTAATGTGCATACACAGGCGAGAGATGTGGCAGTTATGGTGCAAGGCGACGCAAAGACCGGGGTGAAGTACGATGTCGAGAGTATCCGCGGTTTCGATTTCTTCCCGCAGACGGGGCATGTGGAGGGTGTTGCTGTGCTGAACAAGGCGTCTGCCTGAGGCGCTACAATATGGAAGTGCCCAGGGCGTTCGGGTAGAAAAGTTTTAAATTCACTGTATATGTACTCGGACGAGAATTTTAATTGCATGGATACTATAGACAGGATAATGCGCAAAAGGACAACTATAGGACTAGGTGCCAGGGCCACCGAGGAGGGCGAACCTCCGGACAATGCTGGGGCCGATTTCATCGTATTCTGCCTTCGTGTGGCAGTAGCTGCGGAATTCGGGAGTCTGACCCAGCAGACTGCCTCCAAACCACGGGCCGTGTCTCTGTCTTTTATGCGTCACGACGGCGACGTCTAGACCGCCACTCCGTGCTCCTCCGCTGCGGGCTTCCGAGGCACGAATACGCGCGTCAACCAGGTGTCGGATATCACGTTGCAGACGACGGCCAAAGTCCTTGTAGAGGGTCGAACCTCCAGAAAGCACAATGTTCTTGTAAAGACCTCTTCGGACATCAATGGGCGAAGACTGAATAACGCCATCCACAACATTGGGGAGCGGAGTCAAGAAGTCGGAGGAGTAAATTTCAGGGTTGAAGAAAATCTCGGGCGCAAGGAATCGCTCATATCCCACGTCAATGCTCACACTACGGCCGTTGGGCGAAGTCACGGTGTGCTTGAGGAATCGATCAGGTTCCCGATCGTAACGGGCAAACTCCTTGACAATGTCAGGGGAGACGTAACAGTATTCCTCCTTCACCCTCTCAGCAGTCTTTAGGCTGCTGTCAGGCTCGCCTCGGTCTCGAAGCAAGCTTTGTACAAAATACGTAATGTCTCGACCAGCGATCGGAATGCTCTTGATGGAAGATCCAATGACGTAGCCCTCTGCGACGGGAATAACGTGGGTGACACCATCACCAGAGTCAATAACTGTTCCGGTGAGGGATCGGTCGGTGACTTTAGAAGAGGTCCAAGACGCAGCCAACGCGAGCACGGCTTGAACGGCAATGTATAGACCGGCGCAGTTGAACGACTCGAACATGATTTCGGCGGTGCTTTCGCGGTTCTCCGGTGGGTTCATTGGCTGTGGGCAAGAAATAATCAGTAAAGAGCTTACTCCCATAAATCAAAACAAAAGTTGGCGAGCTTCGGGACTCACCGGCTCAGTGAGCAGGAAGTAGTGATCTTCGGGCTCGACGCGCAGGTACTTGAAGATCGAGTTCGACCAGAATCGCTCCATATGATCCCAATTCTCGATTTGTCCATGACGGATGGGGTAATTGATGCCGTATCCAGGACCACTGGCAGCCGAGAGAGCTTCGTCGCCGATAAAGAAGTCCAGGTCTTCCGTGCCACGCTTCGCAGATAGATGTCCACCTCCGCCAGAGGACAAGAACGAAGGTTTGTTGGCAACAGCGGGCCGTGAGCCGCCCCCGGTACTTCCGGCACCAGCCTTTGTAGCAATTGCAGTTGGAAAGACGAAAGAGGGCGAGTCGTTACCGGCGAAACCTGCGGGCTGTCAGCGTGTCCGAGTCCCAGGGTCTCAATGCGGGGGTACGTAGGACCGGGGTAACTGGGCGCATTTACCTAGCTTGGAGTACCCAGTTCCGCTGGAAAAAAAGAGTATGATCAGTCACAGTCCATGATATCCCTTGACAGCTTGGATAGCTCAATAGGAATTGACATACTTGTCCATGACAACGGCCGGAGTTTGGGACGCCATGGCGGATGGTTGGGGCGCACGCAGTCCCCCTGAGTACCAATTTGCAAAGAAGTTCGCCGTTCAGCAGGCCTGGATGAAAAGGCAGGCCCAGGTTTAATTTGCGCAGAAAGAGAATCAAAAAGGACAGGACAGGACAAGGTAAAGGAGCTAGGAGGGGGCTCAGACTAGGTATGGAGGTGGGCAGGCAGGCAGGCGGATTAGTAGAGCAGGCGGTGGCCCCAATACGTAATGATACAGCTCTTCACGTGACACCCAGTACTGTCAGCCACACAAGCCACAACCTGCGGTACCTACAGCATCTGTGGCTGGGGCATCGCGAAAGAGTCTATACAAACTTCTCGCGACTCTTTATAGAATTGTGCTGACCGCGTTGCAAACAGGATGCATGAGGTATAAAGGCTCAGGCGGCCGTGTAAACTAGCGGCACCCAGTCCCGGTTAGAAATGCACCGTGCTCGGTCCTTGAAGAGGCAGCTGCCCTTTGCTTGTTGGGAACTGAGCAAAGGAAGGCACTCACAGTCAACAGCTTAATGTCATCCACTCGCTCCAATAACTTCCTGATCACCTCGTCTTTGCCTGTCAGAGCTCTCCTAGGACAGATCCCTCTGCACGTTATCTTTCCCCGCCCGTATCCTTCGCATATCCTGTTTATTCTTACCTTTTGCCGGAGAGCTGCAGGATCCTCTGATACCCTACTGAAAATCCCTCTCGGAAACGGGGGCTCTCCTTATTCATATCCATCCTTTGAGTCTATTCTTCATCCTTCCTAGCTCCTCCCGCACAGCTGTGTTGCAGGTAGTCTCAGCGCTGAGCCAGCAGCCTACTCACTGTACGCATAAATTCATTCGCACCAGCCCTATTAGTTGTCCACCGTGCAATGCCCCAGTAACAGCCTGACTTCTCCAGATCTCTCTACATCTGCCTCGCAACTCTACCATTTTTCGATCACCAGACACGTCAAGTCACGATGAATCGTCCAAAGAAAGGAGGAAAATATGTATCCGCCATCTTCATTCATGCTGGCGCCGGCTATCACCGTCGCGACTTCGAGAAGCCCCATATGAAAGTGTGCGAAGGGTGAGTGCTTTGCCCCATAATCTATCTTTCTAGGTATTTATCCCCGACTGCAGTTGCTGACGTCAAACAGCGCGGCTAAGATGGCGATGGGCATACTTCTTAACGGCGGATCTGCTGTTGACGCCGTCGAGATCGCGATCATGTACCTCGAGGACGCTGAAATCACCAACGCCGGCTACGGCAGTAACACCACTATCGAGGGCACCGTCGAATGTGATGCTAGCGTGGTCGACCACCTTGGACGGAGCGGGGCTGTCGGTGCCGTCGCGCGTGAGTACTGCTCGATATTAAGACAGACGTAGCTGTTAACATTAACATATACCAGAGGTGAAGAACCCCATCTCACTCGCGCGCGCTATCCTTGATGCATCGAAGGAACCCCTAACATTACACCGAGTGCCTCCGAACTTCCTTGTTGGCCCCGGTGCTACGGACTATGCATATGAACAAGGGCTCGTTGTTCTTCCTCATGACGGTCTCATATCCACACCGGCAAGGCAGAGGTGGCTGCAATGGCAGAAAGAGCTTAAAGAAGCGGACAGCCGACAACGAGCCCGGTCCCAAGGCTCGAACGACATTGATAATGCGTATTATCGTCGCCCAGTAAGGAGTTTTCCCGCTCAGTTGTCAGCGAGCCCTTCCAGCTCAACTACTCCAATTAGCCCTCAGATAGGCAACCCAGCCGGTGGGATGCAGTCCCTTCCAGATGTCCAGGTTCCATCTGAAAAGGTAAAGGCCAAAAGTGAAACTTCAAGCGGTGGTGTGTCTCCAATTCGATCGAGCATCAGCTCGTTTAGAAACACGATTTTCCAGCCCAATCCGCTGAGGGCTAGCATGCATGCTGGACAGATGGATGTCGATTCGCCGCCAGTTGCATCTCATGGCCGCGACGGCTCCCTCCCCGATCTCTTTGGCTGCACAGAGGACCGTGTAAGTGATACGGTGGGCGCTATAGCTGTGGATAGTTATGGACACATCGCAGCTGGATCTTCCTCTGGTGGAATAGGAATGAAGCACAAAGGTAGAATTGGACCTGCGGCACTTAACGGAATCGGCACCAGTGTGATCCCTGTCGACCCGAATGACCCTGCAAAGACCTGTGTCGCAACTGTCACTTCTGGTACTGGCGAGCATATCGCTACCACTATGGCTGCCAGCACCTGTGCTTCCCGGGTTTACTACAGTCATCGGAAACGCCCCGATGGTACTTTTGAAGAAGTCATTGAGGATGAAGCCATGGGAGCAATGATCGCCAAGGACTTTATGGGTTAGTAGACTGTCGCCTGAGATTCCTGTTAACTAGATGCTAACATCTGTGTGTCTTAGCTCACCCCGGCGTAAGGCAAAGCCATTGCGAAGGTTCCGTCGGGATCATGACCGTCAAGAGGACAGTAGATGGAATATACCTATACTTCGCACACAACACCGACTCCTTCGTAAGTTTCTCGTCTTTATGGTTCGCTATGACTATTTTTGACTCTACTTCTAGGTCCTCGCAAACATGAGCAGTGAAGACAAGAAACCGGCTTCTGTCATGTCTCGCAGCAACGGGCACGGAAGCATTGCGCAAGGTGGAAAAGCCTTTAGAATCAAGAAGACTGCTTGATGCGAGACACCGGCTTCGTCGTCTACAGCGCATTTCACCGATTCTAGATCATAGACACAGCCGGCCCATGCCTTCGTTTACCCTGTCACTAACCCAGTCGTTTTCGCGAATACCCCTGTTGTCCTGATAACGTTTTGTCATTTGTGGCTACTACGAATGGTTGTACTCGTCTGTACAAAGCTCTACGGCTGCTGACGCTGTATTATATTTCTTTGCTTTGGGCTCATTGAATAGGTTTCACTGAGATGCTGATTCTACTTCGCTTTCGTTGTTTATTCTGAGCCAGATTATTTATATTGTTCAAATCCAAATTCTCGTTGGAATTTCATTCCTAGTATCAGCCTTGGACGTAGAGTAATTGTAGATCGGGACTATATTCAAGTACCGCCTAACTGATTTCGCAGCCCGACTTCGTGGCTTCCGGCCTTTGGAGAGGCCCATCGACCAAGAATAGGTTTCAGAGTGCTGGTATCTCTTAACCCTGTATCTTTGCCAAGTACCTGTTTCGACTGCTGATATAAATCCTTTACACAAGGTGCTTTCCGAAGAAAGTCAAGGTCTCGCCTGTCATTGGTTTGCCCAGTGTACCCACCGTGGCAAGTTATGCATTTAGTAGTCCGGCAAGAGGGTAGAAACATTAGTTACTATGTACCGGCGTATTTTCAATTCGTGTCTGAGGCATCGTTTGTCCTCTATGATAGAGGTGGCGCCAGATGTGTCAAACCACCGTGCAAAGACAGAGATGATCAAGGACCTGGCGTCGGCGTCGGCGTCGGCGTAGCAGACATCCCATTCGGCCTAACCTTCTTCTTCTTCTTTTTCCTTGCCACAACCGCCGGTTTAGCGCCGTAGTCACCCATATCCAGATGCGTGCCGCAGGTCAAGCAGTCGCCGTTCTCCGGCGGTTCACAGAAGATGCTAAGGCAGATTGAGCAGACGAAGCCGATATCTACAACGCGCCTGTGGCAGAAGCAGGCCGCTCTGAAATCCACGTCTACCCGTGTTGGGAGGATAAGGTGTTTCCGGGACCGCTGGTCGGGAAGGAACGCCATCATTAGATACTGCAGTAGACCGCGCGGCTCGGAGAGAGACATGTAGATGCCCTTCGTTGCGTCGGAGGCTTGTTGCAGGAAGACGGCGTCGCCGCTGAGCTTGCATACGTCGATGGGGATGTGCAGGCGTTGGCAGGCGAAGATGCCGTTCATTATGGGGATGTATTGGTGTGCGGAGCCGGTGGCGCTGCTGACGGAGATGATGAGGATGCGAGATTGTAGGCCCTCCGCCGTCCCGTCGTTCGCGGCATTGGTTGTTGTGGAGCGCCGTGCCATCATGGACGTGGTGCTTGTGTCTGGGTCGGCGGAGCGGGTGAGGGAGGAAGTGTCGCCGCCGCCGTGGGCTTCGGCCCAGGCAATTGTGCGCCGATTGATGTGGCTGAGGGCTAGGGTGAGTGCGCCGGCCATCATTGTTGAGGAGCCGCTGTCGAGATCTGCGCGGGCCGTTGAGTCCATCAGGTGGCGGAGATTGGATGTCACTTGTTCCTCGACGATTCGAAACGGGCGGTACTTGTTCACTTGGTTGCCGCCGCTGGCGGTGCTTGTACTGTCACCCATCGCGACATCTCCATCTTGGTCTGCGGATGTGGTGGAGGAGGACGGGGAGGGATATAACCATGCGGCTTTATGGCTGTGGGAGGCGACGACGGCGACTTCGTTTGCGTAATTACAGGCGAGGTGGGCATTTAGGAAGACGAGGATGTTGGCGAGGGCGGTTGAGAAGGAGAGCGGGTTATTTTCGTCTTTCTCAAGAAGCGCCCAGGCGTGGGGGTTTGTGTCGATGATGACCGTTAGGAGGGACGGTGCTGGGTCTGGATTGGCTCATCATTAGCAACTGATCGTATGGTTGCGGCTTGCAATGAGGGTGATCTGACCATGCGCACTCGTCTCATAATGCTCTGTCGCGTCTACGGCGTTCATGCTTGCGGATTAGACGATTCGAAAAGAAGAAGACGGGCGTTTGCAGTATTGAGATGGTGAGGATATTCGCGTGTGGTAACGGCCCCAGTGACAGTTATCTCTCACCTGAGAGAGAAGATCATCATGGACAGCTAACTGAATCCCCCCCCGGTAGAGCAGATTCGCAGGTTTGCTGGCTATGTTCTCCGTAGGTTTGCGATATTGATATTTGCAAGAACAAGGATTTAACAAAGCTCTCCTCAGCTCTCAGGTATTTGTCGGAGAGCCTGGAGCTCCGGCTTGAGCCTCATAAAAGTGGCATTCATGCACGTGATATCCGTTACCACCAACCATACAAGTCAAGCCATCGCATCCTACATAGATACTAGGTTTAGAGGTTACTCATCTCTGTAGAAGAGCAGGTATTTGTATTAACATTCACTGAGTTTGGCTCAGGCCTGAACAATACATATCTTATGGGTCAAACGGACATCATGCAAATCTATCTATATTCAATTACCATTCGCGATATTAGCATTAGCGTCATTGCAGCACGCCAATCAAACCGAAGCAGTATCTGATTTGACGCTGAGGTGAGTGTCCTTCTCCTCCGTCTGGTTCAGAACTGGGATCTTGTAAGCATCCTTGAGAGCGGCGTTGACAGTCGGCTGACTGAGCGGGCTAGCACTCGGTGTGATTCCCGGTGTTGCACCGCCCTTTTCTTCATGCTCGGTGAGACCTTTCCGAATAGCCAGGACGGAGTCGGCAATAACGGCATCGATACCTTCAGCAGCTTGGAGCTAGAAGTTATGTCAGATATTTCCAGAGAAGTACTGGTGCTCGAAAGCTTACCTTGACCTTGTGAGGATCGTTATTTGCTGTACCATAGGACACGCAGACCAGACCAGATTCCTTGACCACACGGATGAGACGAGGGCAGAGAACAAGACACTCTGCCTGCGTCACTACCCCAAGCAGGTTCCAACGGGAGGCGAACCGAATTGCCTCCTGCAAACTGCTAGCTCGGATATCACCAATAGGGCTAGAGCCGGAATCGGTCAGGAAGAGGACGGGAATGGATGGCTGCTTGAAGGACAGGAGCAAGCAGATATCCGGGTTGAAGCTCGAGAAGATCATGTTGCGGCCCTGGCCCAATTCGTAAACCTTCTCGAGGACTGTATCCACGAATGAGTTCAGCTCCACAGCATATGTATCCATCTCCTCTTCTTCACTCTCATAAAGCATGGGGTATTCTATGGCAATGGTTAGACCTGCACTTGTTGTTGACTTTTATGAAGGATAGACTTACTCAACTCCATGTTAAAGCCAACATTTTGAGGCAGTTTCTTGAACAGCTCTTCCAGAGTAGCAAAAGGTGCTTGAATATGGCTGCCCCTGCTATTTCCCTTGAATCCCTTCTTCTTGATATCACGGGTATGCTTCATTCTTTCTTGAGGATCAAGGTGGCTCTCCGAACTGCCAACAGACATGGATCTGGTTCGTGGCGGGGTCTTGCTTCGTTCATTCCCTCCAGTGGCGGGCAGACCAGGAGACGCCGGTGTCCGAGATGAACCGCGCTCTCCGAGTTGAAGGAACTGCTCGAGGGTGAGGGTATGCACGGGAGCGTCAATACCTGTTTCGCTGACGAGGAAATCATGGTAGATAACCGGAACGTGGTCCTTCGTAAGCTGAATATCAAACTCAACGTATGAGGCGCCTAGGTTCGCAGCTGCAATAAAAGACTGTATGGTGTTCTCCCCAAGTTGCAAAGAGTTCCGGGTTGCGAAGTTCTTGCCTAAGCCACGATGTCCGATGACCATAGTTGAGGTCATACTTCTCCAGTAGGTCTGTTCCCTATTGATGGATATGTTCGGATGCTTGAAAGGTGTGATCACAAGGAAGTTGAAGGTGATGGAGCCAATCACTTCCAAAGTATTGGCCGCGACAATGGGGACAGTCAAGTCGCCTTGGAGATTGATTCGGTTGGATCCCACACTCGGCCTAACACTGGATAATAACGCAACACCGCGTCCCACAATTTGGTCTTTCGAGCCTGAATAAGTAGGAACAAGGTCAAACAGGAGCCTGACCTTGCTCGGGTCCCCTGCATGGAATACGATCGGTTCCGTCGAGATGTTTTCTTGAACAGGAAGATCGATGATTTCGGGTTCGCCTTGCGCACCGCTAGCAGAGATAACGATAGATAAAGCTGTGTCAAGCTGAGTGGCGTAGGCATGCTCCATGGGTATACGGTCAAGGTTCACAGCTTGCACGTGTTTTCGGATGTCCATAGTACCCAAGCTGACCAGGATCATGGCCTCGTCGGTGAGATACCGATGTCCAAATGACTTAACAGGTTCAAGATTCCGGGAGGGAGAACTCCCTGTAGCGCTCCCTCCATTAGATTTTTTCTCCATGAGAGATGATTGGGGCTGCGACGACAAAGGACCAGAGGTAATGGGGCCAGATGTAGTCGGCACTGTCAAAGAGGGCTCTTCGGTAAGCTCAGGTTCAGGTGTTACCTTCGCGAGGCATCTGGCAACCTCGAGATGACCACGCAGGGCCGCATGCTCTTTTGCAGTCCAACCAGAGGAATCCAATCGTTCGAGATTGGCGCCAGCTTCAATCAGAGCCTCAACGACCTTTAGCGAGCCATCAACGCTAGCGACAAAAAGAGGGGTCCATGAGTATGTGGTCTCAGCAAGTTCGGTATCTGCTTTCTGAACGTCGGTGCCCTTGAGCAGAATACGGGCGCACTTTTCATGGTCGAAGCGAGCTGCAACATGCAATGCGGTTTCACCATGGTGGTCTTGGTAGTTGATATCGACACCTGCGTCAACTAGTAGCTGAACAATATCAACAAAATTGGCCTTGACAGCCAGAGCAAGCACTGCGCTTGACTTGGACACGTGCTTGCGGATTTCCACTTTGTCCTGTATTTGTCCTCTCCAGTTCTCGGCCTTCAAAAGAGCCCGCGTAGTGAGAGGATTACCGCCAACAACGCTGAGATGAAGTGGCGCCCAGCCATCGTTGTCCTGCCAGCGCGGGGCATCAATTCCCTCACTAACATCGAACATATCCCAGGCCTGCAGGTGCTCGATGATGATATCACAGACAACCTTGAAGCCGTATTGCGCAGCGTAGTGCAATGGCGTGCGGCCCGACATGTCCTTGGAAAGTAGAGACTCGCGTTGGTTGGGGCGGAGATGATCTAACAGATACTCCAGAACCGAGACCGCAGAATCAGATCGAGTCAAAGGTTGTGAGTGATCTGATTCCTTTGCCAATGCACGAGGAGGCTGCAGGGTCGGAAGGGCAGCAGGAGTGATATAGTTCGAGGTGTCCACAGGAAAGTCTAAAAGCATCGAGGCCGACTGCTCCGAGTCGGTGGTGGTTTGAGCACGACCAATCGCGATCACTAAGCGATGGATGCAGTTACGCTTGTTGATATCATCTTCTTCCTCGAGTGAGTCAGTACGGCCGAGGACGGCAGCAATGCATGCTTTGGAGCGATAGTAGATGGAACGCTGGAGAAGGCTTCGAAGGACCTTCGGGAAGACGTCCTCACCCGCTCCGTCCGCGACCGTCTTCAAGTCTTCCAATAGCTCCAGAACGACGTGGGTGTCGTCCTTTCGCAAAGCTTCATCAATGGTAAGAAGAGTGTTCGCAGGCAGATTCAGATTCGGACGAGAGGGCCCTCTCTTCAGAGAAAGAGAAGAGTGCGTAGAACTGGCGTCATCGAAGGTCTTCTGGTCACCAAGGGCCGAAAGCCAGTCATTGATTCTCTTCAATGCCTCGGTGACCTTTGTATTCGAGGCGAACGGCAGGGGCTCTACCTTTGTCTCAAGGTACTTTTGCTGTGCCTGTGCCCCCACCTTCTTATCAAGTTTCTTTGTGATCTTATTGAAACCACGACGATTGACTTCGCCATACCATTGCAGCTTGCGAAATTGTCCACGCAGCTCAAGCAATGCCGCCAGAAGATCCTCAACGTCATCCGAATCCAAATGACTTCCGTCCAGATTCTGTGCATAGCGGTCTGATAAGAGCTTCAGCCGACGGGAGAAATCGGCATACTTCTTGTTGTAAAAGTGGTCAACGTCCTCGAGGTTCCGGTCGAGGGAGTAGAAGAAGGCTAGAGCGCAAGCGTTAGGAGGGCCGTTAAGCCGCCCGAAGGACGCGATAAAGGTGGCTCACCGGCAAGATCAGCCTCGCGTCCTGTCTTCACACGGTCCGCCAGGGATTTGATAAGTTTCTTCAAAGCCTTGTACCGAATGTAGGAGGCGCTCCATTCCGGCACCACGTTTCTGGGTAAATTGCGTCCAAACTTCATGATTGCGGAACTATCTCAAATCCTGCAGTAAATCTGGATAGATGACACAAATACCGGTGTGATTTCGGCGGGTGTTCCTCAGGAAAGAGGGGTATAAAGGGCCTTTTGTAGATGGGTGCCACTGGTTACCCGTACCGTAACTGAGCGCAACAATCGGCTCAGACAAAGGAAACGCGACGGGGAATTAGTAGAACGATGAGTGTCGAATAGAAGAAAAGGAAAAAGTGAGCTTTGAAGAGAAGACCGCCATGTGTAAGTTCTCAGCAGAAATCAGAAAGGTATTGTATGTTGGGATGTGGAAGTCCTGGAACCCCTCCGCAATCCGTGGAGGGGAAGCCTCGGAGGGAAGCGAACGGGTCTCTGGCTCTGTGCAAGGGGCGAAGACAGGCTAGAGGGGATAACTAGTGATGGTGAGCAATAGTCAGCACGTGGAGAGCTGGCGAAAGAATGAATGAAGCCGCAGAGACTGCCCGGAGATAAAAAAAAGATGCGGTCAACGCGCCAGACACAGAGGATCAGGATCCCTGGATCACCGATCAACGGGGCCCGTGGAGCGGTGAATTGCCTAGAACCGCATTCTCGACAAGTAATCGTCGCGCAGCTGAGCACTGGGCGTGACGAGTGGCAAGCATGGAGCTCAGGCGCGGAGGAATTAAGCTCGTCGTCCATGGATGGCCACGGAAGTCATGCCCCTCGGCCTGGTCGAACCGATGCTGGGCGTGGCTGGCAGCCTAGCGCTGATTTGCCATGTCTTTGCCAGGAACAAGTCCTCGACAAACATCTCCGGGCTCATGGAAATGCAAGGCACGCAGTTGAAGACAACTCAAACAGCTACACGTTGTACGTACATACCTTACTAGAGTTCGTACCACTATGTCGGTACTTATACCTGCCAGAGGCCGGAATCAAGATGCCGAGGTTCTTTGTAACGACACAGGGACCGAGATAGACAACAAATAGCCCCGCGCCATCCAGCCTTATATTCGAGATCAATACGGAGGAGACCGCTCAACGTGCTTTCGTCATTATTATTATACTCTGAGGCCGCGTCCCGACCGGTCGGCCGTGGAGACGCGATGAGCTCAGATGACCGAAACGTGGGGAAAGGTTTCAAGGATTGGGAATCTGCCGTGGAGAAAGCTGCAAGTCCAGCTCCAGCTCTCTTGACCAACTCTGGACTAGCCACCACAATGAGTCCCACAGCTTGGGGCACTGGCATGTGGAGTTGTGATGTCGAACGCTGCGACAAGCCCTCTGTTCGTACAGACGGAGCTTGTATCCTCTGCAACCGCCATCTCTGCGCTACCCATGTCGACGATCCATATCACAAGTGCCCAAACTGGGAGGTGAGCAGGATATCTAGCTGGAGTGTTATGGTAGTGATGTGCCTACTGATACCACTCGTTAGGACGCAGAACTATGGTGTCCCGCAGCTAGCGAAGCAGAAAAGAGAGAAGTAACAACTCTCTTCAACAAAATCATTGTCACCGCGCTTCTCTCGCGAGCCAGCCACCTGCGTAAAGGCGTGCCGTGCTCCCTAGCCAAAGACCTCAAGTATGACCCCTCAACGCGAGGGTCGGTCATGGGCGGCCAGAACATCCACGTCGAAATCCAGTTCGAGGATGGGATCCTGTGGCTGGCTCGTATCCGACGAGTCAATGCCATGTCTCCGCCATTGGACCTACGGCGATACATCTTGCTCAGTGAGGCCGCTACGCTCCAATTCTTGAGTAGTGAAACGAAGATCCCCGTCCCTAGGATATTCGACTATCAATTCGACGAGGGCAACCCCATCGGCGTCGGATATATCATATACGAAAAGATACCGGGCAAGCCATTGAACTGGCCGTCTGCAACAACAGAACAGAAACATAAAATCATAGACCAGTTGGCAGACATATATATCGAACTCCGCTCGCGCCCTTTCGACCTACTAGGCTCACTAGACCAACCAGGAACAAGCCACATCGGACCTCTCGCTGGAGAAACACACACGGACTACAAAGCTGACGGCCAAATGCGGCCCCTAGGACCCTTCACCAACCTCAATGACTTCCTACGCGCAAGCATAGAATTTACACTAGACCTCATCAGACGAGGCGAACGCTACGCCTCACGCCCAATCGACGCATTTCTAATCCATCGTTTCCTGCTAGATTCCATTCCAGCTCTTATCCGCCAGATCCAACCCAGAGGCACCAACTCGAACTCACAATTACACTCCAAATGCTATCTAACACACGCGGACTCCAAGGGCGACCATGTCCTGACAGACCCAAACCATGCCATCGCAGCTATGATTGACTGGGAATGGGCGCATACAGCACCCGCAAGCTTAGCGTTCAACTCCCCAGTGATGCTCCTCCCTGTTGCGGATTTCTACGATGGGGTAACCCAGATCGGTGAGGATGAGGAATTCTTCGCGCAAGTCCTGCAGGATAAGGGGCATCCTGACCTTGCAGAGATAGTGCGGAAAGGACGCGTGCTTCACTTCTTTGTGTTTTGCTGTGGATATCCGGGTGACTGGGAGGGGTATCTGGGCCTTTTTGGCGGGCTGAGGAGGGCTTTGGATTCTGGTGGTGATGGCGAGTTGGAGTGGGAGGCTTGGAGGGAGAAGATGTTGATTGTGTATAAGGAGGATGCAATATTAAGGGAGTTGATGGCGAGATGATAGCTAATGCACGACACGAATTGGAGGCACATAATAGAGAGCACGGCGACCCATTTGATTTAAGTATCAACCGGTTCCATAGGAAACCATGATCCTGCCAGCACTTGCGTACTCCGTGGTGGAACAACATTGAAGAACGCCTAAGATGATTATATGAACCAAATGATCTAAGTAGCCACCATGGTCTATCAATTTGATCATCCAGTTAATATCAGGAGTCCCATGAAAAGCAAGTCATTGGCGAAAAGAAGGAAAGCAAAAAAAGGCTCAAGAACGCCATCAGCAAGCCCCTGCCAAAAGCGCCGGCATAGAAACAGGTCATTAACCACCTAGGGCCTTATCATACTCCGAAGAGACGGAAAAGATGAATTAAGACACAAGAACAAAAGCACAATTCCGAAGGAGAAGTGAAAGGCTCTATTAAGTAAAAGAAAAGTATTGGTTTCATCAATTCATCAAGACAAGCCCAAATCCGTAAGTTGCTTGCTGTCCGCTGTCCGCCGCCCTCTGCTTATTTCTCGACCAAAGGCTTCAGCGCCTCGACACCGAGCTGAAGCACTAGCTGGTTCCGCGTCTTCTTCAGCATGTTGCTCAGGACTTCGATGCCTTTAGCCTGCTTCACGGCATCTATGGCACGACGTCCAATGTCGCCGGAGGCAGCACAAGTCAGGTTCCGCACGCAGGTAACGCCACGGTGAATGAGCCCATCGTCTTCTTCCTGGCAGAGGTTGAGCAAGAGCTCGACACCGCGCGGTCGGCCCAGCACCCCGGCAATGACGGGGTCGAACTCTGTCAGCATAGCCAAAGCACCCCCAGCGGCCAGTCGCGTGGTAAGGTCATCCGTGTCCGTGAGAGCTAGCAGAATGTGTAGACGTTGGGCTGCCCGCTGGGTACCGTCGGCCATTTTGATGACACCGGATTCGCATGTCATCAGGTTACAGACCAGCTCACAGGCTGCTCGTTGAATGAGGGGGTTTTTGGAAAGGAGCAGATCTTCCACCTGGGGCCAAGCATGACGAACAATAGCCTCTGCTGCCGCCGCATCAGGGTGACTTGCTAAGTTTGTAAGTGCAAGAAGACTCTCAAACACCGGCAACATATCCAGCGGTTGTTCGGCAGTCACGCTCGTAGTCTCCGGAGACGCAAGCAGCGAGATCAAGGGGCGAATGGCAGATGTAACATGGGGAAGGCCTGACAAGGGAAAGACATGGGCAGGGTTGACGGAGATGAGAATGCGTGCGAGCGCGTGCGAGGTGTTTATGAGGTTCGCGTTGTTGGCACTCGTGCTAGTGGCAAGACCAAGCAGAAGTTTTGCCGCACCTTGCTGCGCCAAGGTTCCACGCAGTTTCGGATTCCGAGATAAAGAGAGCAGAATACGGCCGATAAGTTCATGGTTTGAAGGTGTAGTGTTTCTGCCGCAGGCCACCAGGAGAGGAACCGCTCCCGCGTCCACAACAGCCGCGCAACGAGCTATGACATGCTTGTCGTCCTCAAAAACATTCGGAGAATTCTTGACCGCGTTGGCGTTTGCCTCGGCATAAGACTTGAGCTGAGAAATCTTCTTCTGTTCCTCGGATAGGTTGGGAAGAAACTGCGTGAGGTTCAGAATAATCATCAGCCCACCGTATAGAATCGAGGTGTCGTTGGACTTTTCCTTCAAGACCCTGATTAGGCCCTGCAGAAAAGTCTTGTCTCCAGCAAGTTGTTCTTTAACCTCGGGGTTGATTGAGGAATAGGCTAGACCCTCAATCGCGTTGGAGACATGCTCCACCTCTTGCCTAGACATTAATCCCTTGAATCGGTCAACAAGCTCAGAAACATTCCCGTCGTCGCTCTGAATTTTGCCATTTGAAGCCTTACCAGTGCTTTCCTTTGTAGAAGCCCGCAACTTTGCCAGTATGACGGCCGCCAACTCCGAGCTCTCATCACTGCCGTTCGTGAGGATGTGAGAGAGCCAATCAGAGACATTCTTGGAAATAGCCTCGCGACTCGTGCTGTTAATGCAAGCAGCATTGAGCAGCTCCAGAACCGCCTTTTCCATTCTACGGCTTTTCGCGTCTCGTGCGGTAAGGGGTTTCAAAGAGTTGATGAACGCGTCGGAGAGGAAGAGACCGGCCGCAACTTCAGGCGCAACGGGGAAAATGGCGGCAGTGGCAGAAAATGCCACGGTAAGGTCATCAACGCGGTTTTTGCTCAGCTTGGCCGAAATGATTTGCGAGAACTGCTTTTGTCCGACATCTTTGGAGGACTCCAGGTATTTCACGGTCGCCAAAGTAGCCTGGCTCCTCCACTCCAAGGGAAGACGGTGATCCAAGGACGAGACAACCACGTCAAGGCTCTCATCATCCATTAGATCTCGCAACTGATCCGCTTCAACAGCCAAAAGACGAGCAATGCCCTTGAGTGACCGCCCGTCCAAATCATGACCGGATTCCATGAGCTTGGCGATAAAGAGTTGGAAGAGCTCTCGTTCGCAGTGCAGGCGAGCATCCTCCGAGGGCCAAACAGCATGATCCAGAACAACAGTATCAAGACACACCGCAGCACCATCGCCCCTATCGTAAAGATCGTCAAAGAAGGTGGTCACGGAAACTTGAAGCTGGCTGGAGAAGTACTGGCGCACGCTGGCATTCTGGCGAACAAGACCGGAGATAATATCATCCTGGAGCGAAGACAGCACCTGCGCTTGGTACGAAAGCAGAAGTTTCGCACACTCCAGCCCTACACTCTCCGGCGGGACGAGACCATCAGTCCGGAGATAGCGGGCGGCGTCTTTACCAGCCTTCTCGTCTTTCTGGGTGGCGTAGCGGCGGCAGAGCTCGAGAAAATGGTGCCCATTCCCTTCTTCATGCTGGATCTTCAGCAATGCGTCTTTCACAGTGACGTTGTCGGGCGCGAGCGAGAGGGCTTCTCGCAGATTTCGTACAGCGGCCTAGATTACATCACCAAGCGTCAGCCTCAGGCGCACGGGTCGTATCAACGGCATGCAGCAAGCAACCACGTCGAGCGGCATTGACAGGGGTACGAGAATAGACGTGGCGCGTACCTCATGGTGCCCAGCATCTCTCAACTCAACAGCCTCTCGCGAAAGGTGCACAGCGCGTTCCTCGCCTGTGGCGTGGACCATTTCAGCTTTGACGTAGGGACCGGTTCAAAGGGAAACGCGCAAGTAGCTGCTATAAAGTTGCCTGGTAAGGGATATGGGATTCGAATAAATCGAGGTAGTTGTACGATTGGAAATTGTTGGGGTTCTCGCTGGAGAATGTGGTTGGTCGCGGAGGGGAGGGGTGAGAGGGATAGATTAACCCACGCACTCCGAGACAGTTGATAGATAAAGGAAGACAGCAGTCATCGAGAGGAACAAGGAGAAGCTTGCTGTCAGAGCTGCAAGTAAGCTGACTTGGAGGACCAACAAAGGAGCTGGAGCCTGGGAGGTTGATAGATTATTATTCTTTGGGGCAGTGGAGGGGACTGAGAGATGCCGCGTAGAAGCTGTCCGTCCGCCGACTCCGTCTGGAACCGCCCGCGGCACAAGTAATTTTTTTTCTGCAGACTGCAGTAACCCAAATCTATGGATCGTGACAGGTTACTCCGTACAGCCCAGATCTCATCTCATCCCATCAAACAGCAGGAAACTACGGAGTACGTACTCTGCCAGGCAAGTTGACCGAGCGGCAAACAGGGTTAAGATGTCCCTGTACGATGATCACAGACGCCTTGACCATCCCTCCGTAGACCGGCACTTCCACCTGGGGCAGCGCCAGCTCCAACTCCGATCTATCCATCTCATCCTTCGGCCCTTAACTCCGGGTTTCCATCAGATAACAGCTTTTACAGATCGAATCACGATCACGCGCAATGCATCGCGCTGGCCTACCCTGTCCAGTAAATACTGACCGATACGCAAGTTTTCAAGAGTCATCCCATCCCATTGTGATGTCGAGGCAGCCACCGCGCCGATAACGACGCCTCTCGGATTGGCATCAAACCAACCACAGAAAGGCCCCGTAACACGTTGCTTTTCCCGCGCTGCCGTGAAGTCACCTTCCAAGAGCTCCAAGACTTTTGATGCTTCATAGCTCAAGGCTCAGGTCGCACTATCACGGCCCATTCTTGCAGCTTCGGCTTTGGTGATCTGCAAGGAGTTCACCTGCGACCCCTTCTTCGAGGCTCGAGCGACCTCTCGGCGGGAGGAAACAGGGCCCGGCCCTGTAACAATTCCCTTGTGCGCGGAGTACTCCGTGATTCCGTATAGCATGGGAGGGACTTCAGATCAGATGCCAGACTGCATACGGGACGGCATCCGACTGGAAGTCTACTCTGTCACCTGATGCTTTGTTGCACAGCGCTCCGTATCTGTAGCATCTCGCCTACCGAGCCGTATGCCAGCTCTTTTTCTCCAGACTCCAGGAAATAGGGTACTGGAACCCCCGTTCTCCTCCCCACACTTAAGCAGGGAACGTGGGCTGCCAGCCCTGGGCTGCATGTGCATCGGTTACCGGGCATCCCAGACTCAGATTCCAACCTTAACCGGGCTGCATGATCATTTTCTCGCTCTTGAGTCCCTGACCGAGGATTGAAAATAGCGGATTCTATATTTATGACTATTGACGACCACAAATTGCCAAGGCTGCGTTATCAATTTTTCGATATCACAGAGCTGCTTGGCGGCTTGCCTCTGCTTTGCCAAGGGAATTGTTGTCACCACCAACCTCCCGCCCCGCGAATCCGAATCCTTGCAGCCTCACCCCCAGCAGCCACTTGGCCAACTCTCCGGATTCCGGAACGAGTTAAAGCAGACCTTTGCTACATAAGACATCCATCCTTAATGCTTGAGTGTAGATCACTCATCCCCACCCTGACTCGTCTTGGGCCCCGTGTTTTCTTCTGCGCTAATTTGCTGTAGCTATCCGTAATGGTGGCGGCCTTGTTGCGAGCGCTGTCCGCGCCTGGGGAAATAGTCCTGGCCCCGCTCATCACAGGGATGAAGCGCTCTGATGCTGATGCTGGTGCCGATGCTGACTCGGAGACGCCACCCTCTAGAGCGAAAACCTCCACCATCCACTCGTACCACACCTTTCGGTCATCCGTCTGTCTGTACATGGTTACGACGATCTCGCCGTTGTCGGGGACATTAAGAGGGGTCTAAGCATTCGTTAGAAGTCGATACTATTTTCAGCCTCAAGGAGAGTCTTACCTTAAGCGGAAAGTAGATTGGGAACCAGCTGATCATGTTCGCGCTCTTACTGTCCATAGTAACCGGGTTGGTGGAAAGTTCCACACCGGGGTATAGAACGGTTTCAAAATAGCCTCCAAGACCGTGACAGACCCCACGATTCGAAGCCGGGAACGTCAGACGGGTCCGGCGCACATTGTGTGCATTGGAAATCATCGAGGTCGAGGCCGGCTGAGGAGGTATATCTCGGTTAGGGTGGGAAAACGACCACGCTGTTTGGACGAATGGCGTGGATGTTTCCGATGGAGCTGTCGCAGCGGAGGACCTAGCGGCGCTAGCTTCAGACTGAGTGGTAGAGAGGTAATCGATGGCATGTAGCATGACCACGTATGGCGTTTCAGGTGCGGCAGGATTCGAGACTGTCTGGTTCGTGACGTCCGCATGTAGCTTCGGTGCTGAGATTGGGGTAAAATGCGCCGTGTATGATGCCGGGATTGAGATGCCGTGCGCGGGATGCAGCAGGTGGTTGACGCCATCTAGACACTCAGGTGAGAGTTCATTGTCGCCAAAAGAGCCCAGAAGCTCGGACACGACGATGTCGATCTTGGAGTAAACAGACACAGAAGCTTGCTTCTGCACCCGCGGCCCTTTCCAAGCACGCATATCGGAGTGGACGAGGGTGGCCTTTCCGCCCCATAGATTCTCATTATGACGCTGAAGGAGAACAAATGCATTTGGGTTCTTTTCCACAACCCACAGGTCGATTTCAACGCCCGATGTAGCGCTTGCTTTGAGTGCCCGGGTCACCAAGGGGCCTCTTCCGGCTCCAACCACCGCGAGGACCACTCGGCCATCCGGGTTTGATGTAGGCTTCTTCTGCTCCGCCCAATCGCTCAATGCTTTCGCGATAGCACGCTCATACCACTCGTATTTGATAGGATCCTTCTCGAATACCTCGTAGGTGATACTTTCTAGGTTGACCGTCAAAGGCTGCAGCGGCGCTTGAAGGTAGTCTTGGTAGCCGACGCCGAATCTTTCAATGGCGGTCCGCGGAGGCTGACGCTGCTGGAGGTTTCTCATATAGGACAAATGCGGAGTTGGATCGTGATGCTTTTTGCTCGAGGTTGCGGCCTGCGCAAGACTTGGATATTCAGAGCCAGGGAGGTTGAGGGCAGTGTCTTCCTCTACACCTGGGATAGGCCCGACGTCACAGAGCAGGATCCACGGCGCAGTCCGGAGACGCATGAACCTGGAAATCAGAGCCTGATGGGCTTTCCCCAAGACTGGGTACCCTTTTTGGTTCTTGATGAAGGTGTTGGCGTCGATGGCGAACAAGTGAACAGGCTCTGAATGCCACCTAGACTGGACCGACATAGGTGGAAGGTGCTTGGGTAACAAGAGTCCTAGGGAGATATCTTAGCCTCGGATACCAAAATCAAAAACGTTGCATAGATTTTTCTTACCTACGAATAGCCTGGAATGGTATTTACACGTTCTTCTAATGGCATCCCAAGCATCCCAAGTGCCAAAAAGGTCTATCCTAGGCGTCTCTATTTCATCCTCAAAGAATTCCTCTCGAGCAAGGGGCGCAAGATCGCCCATTTCATCTACTCCGACCCCCTGGTCAACCATGTCCAACCAGATATGAAACTGGATGTATGGGCCGAGGCTGACTGCGTCTTGAATTGCCCGTGCGTAGTACGATACCCCGTCCGAATGCATCCCTTTATGGTGCAGCTTCGGCCCTGGGATCAAAATATAACCAATTCCACAGAAAGCAGCGTATGCGACTTCTAGCATGAAAACTTGGCGTGAAAGGTCTGCAATCAACGGATCGGGGGAACACATATCGATCCAAGAACTGGTCACTCCCACCAATTGCGACATTGCATCATTTGGAGTCAAATGGGTATCGGCCGGTCCTAATTGCGGAACAACTAGTGGCCGTGTGTTTCCTGTGGTCATCAAAGTCCGAGGGTCATCGTGAGAGATAGCTTGTATGTTCGCGAGGTGAGAAGAGAGGAGACTGAGCACACGCGAGTGAAAATGGGGAGTCGTAATCGGGGTGGTAAGCATATCATACTGTAGAGAGAATTAGTAGGCAGATCGGGGCCAATGCAAAGAGATTGTACACACATTACTTTCATGCGCCAACTGCACCACCTCCGAGGTAATCGGAATGGTGCGCTTGCTCTCATGTTGTCCGATACAGAAGCTCGGAGCAAGGCTCTCAGAGTCCATGGTTGAAGTGCTGTATGTAGGAGTCCTATATCAAAAACAACTATGGCCAGAAATTGTCGGAGACGTGGCTCGTAAGAGATCTGTTGATGCTGTTCCCAAAGTACTGTACTAGTTGGACATTGATGTTCAGCCTGGGGTTAGAGTTCCAAGCTCAATAGCTGCACCACGGGACTGTGACAATAAAATCAAGTCCTCAAGAGCCTTGCAAGCGGCGATTCTCCCTCGATTATTGAATAAACAAACAGGCAGCCGACTCGAGGGAATGGTCGAGTCCAGTCAACAGATCAATCCTCGGCGTCCCTTGTTCTTTTTAGCGGGGCCGGCAGAACTCGAGGGGCGGTGAGGCCTAGAACAGCAGCTCGGGCGGTGGACAGCCGGCCCACCTTCCTATCGGGGCTCCAACTTTCTTCCGAAGGCAAACCGATCAGTGAATTTTTTGGCCGCCTCGACTTGTCCGGTCTTGCTGCGACTCTACATCTCCCTCCTCTAACGTCATGGTTGATAGACGTACAGACTCAGAAGACGGTTCTCGCGCCAAACGCCAGAAGATGGATAAGTCTGGGACTGACCCCCGGGATAATCCCTATCTGGCACATATGTACGCTGATACGTCCTCTAACGGCAACTCAAGCTCACAGGCTGATAACAAGAATTCAGCCTTTGCGAAGTTGCAGCGACACAAGACGACCGCTGCGCAGGCGCAAAAGGTTGAAGACCACGAGATCAACCCGTTCACCCAACGGCCATTCTCGAACAAATACTTGTCCATCCTGAAAACTCGCCGTGATCTTCCGGTTCATGCCCAGAGGTAAGCAGTCTTTTCTAGGTCTGGGTTCTTTGCGCAATGCTAATTTGCATCCGTTCCTAGAGATGAATTCTTGCAGCTCTACCAGCAGTCTCAGATCCTGGTCTTCGTCGGTGAGACCGGTTCCGGAAAAACCACCCAGATCCCCCAGTTCGTTCTGCTCGATGATCTCCCCCACACCGAACGCAAGATGGTCGCCTGTACTCAGCCTCGTCGTGTGGCTGCTATGTCGGTCGCCCAGCGCGTAGCTGCCGAGTTGGATGTCACACTTGGAGAGGAGGTCGGTTATAGTATTCGTTTCGAAGACATGACCAGCTCCAAGACAGTCCTTAAGTACATGACGGACGGTATGCTACTGCGAGAGGCCATGAACGACCACGAACTTAGCCGCTACAGCACTATTATACTTGATGAAGCTCACGAGAGAACAATGTCCACCGATGTTCTTATGGGTCTTCTCAAGGAAGTGGTGCTGCGCCGACCTGACCTGAAGATCATTATCATGTCTGCCACTTTGGATGCCCAGAAGTTCCAACGCTACTTCAACGATGCCCCTCTGCTTGCCGTTCCTGGTCGTACCCATCCTGTCGAGATCTTCTATACCCCCGAACCCGAACAAGATTACGTAGAGGCCGCCATCCGCACTGTTCTACAAATTCACGCCACCGAGGATGATGGTGATATTCTCCTATTCTTGACTGGAGAAGAGGAGATTGAGGATGCAGCGCGCAAGATCTCACTCGAGGGTGATGAGATGGTTCGAGAAGCTGATGCGGGCCCATTGAAGGTTTACACCCTCTATGGTAGCTTGCCGCCGCATATGCAACAAAAGATCTTCGAACCCGCCCCAGCTGCACGCCGCCCAGGTGGCCGCCCAGGAAGGAAGGTCATTGTGTCCACCAACATCGCCGAAACCTCTCTTACCATTGATGGTATCGTGTACGTGGTTGATCCCGGTTTCTCGAAACAGAAGATCTACAACCCCCGCATTCGTGTTGAGTCCCTATTAGTCTCTCCGATCTCCAAGGCTTCCGCACAACAGAGAGCTGGTCGTGCTGGTCGTACCCGCCCCGGTAAATGCTTTCGGCTTTACACCGAAGGTGCCTTCAAGAAGGAGTTGATTGATCAAACATACCCCGAAATTCTTCGCTCAAATTTGTCGTCCACCGTGCTTGAGTTGAAGAAATTGGGTATCGATGACTTGGTGCATTTTGATTTGATGGATCCTCCGGCGCCCGAGACGCTCATGAGAGCCCTTGAGGAACTGAACTACCTCGCCTGCCTTGACGATGACGGCAACTTAACCCCATTGGGGCGTCTTGCCTCCGAGTTTCCGCTCGACCCGGCCCTCGCGGTCATGCTCATCAGCTCGCCAGAGTTCTACTGCTCGAATGAGATTCTTTCCATCACAGCATTGCTGTCTGTACCGCAGATCTTCGTTCGGCCAGCATCCCAACGGAAGCGGGCTGATGAGATGAAGAACCTGTTTGCTCACCCCGACGGAGACCAGCTCACCTTACTCAACGCCTATCACGCCTTTAAGAGTCCTGAGGCCCAGGAGAACCCCAAGCAATGGTGTCACGACCATTTCCTTTCCCTGCGAGCCCTGCAGTCGGCCGATAACGTGCGGATGCAGCTTCTACGGATTATGGAACGTTCGGAACTTGAAATGATCTCCACACCCTTCGAGGACAAGAAGTATTATGAGAATATTCGCCGTGCTTTGTGTGCAGGATTCTTCATGCAGGTCGCCAAGAAGGAAAATCAGGGCAAGAGCATGTACACGACCATCAAGGACCACCAGAACGTGCTCCTACATCCCTCAACCGTCCTCGCCCACGACGCAGAATGGGTCCTGTACAACGAGTTCGTGCTCACCACAAAGAACTATATCAGAACTGTGACGGCTGTCAAACCCGAATGGCTTATTGTAAGTTCTTTCTTAGTGCTCCCTTTTCACTATGTATTGTGTCTAACTTGAGCCTTAGGACATTGCCCCTACATATTACGATGTCTCGTCTTTCCCCAAGGGTGATATTCGCTCGTCTCTGCAACGGGCCGCTGAGAGACTCGCACGCAAGGAAAAGATGCGAGCGGATAAGAGGCGTTAAGTCAATGGTCAGATTTATCTTTGATTGTTATGAACTTATATAGACTACGCTTTCATAATGTCACGCTGAACATAATCAGCCTGCAATGAGATTTACTGCTATTTATTTATTGGGTAATAAGGTGAACCTTTGTGTCTCCCCGTCCTGGAATCTCTCTTCAAGTAACCTACACTAGAATGTAGTCGTAGGGGTAAGAAAGCCAAGCCGCGTTGGGTTATCTCAATCACTGCTCCCTCCACATATTAAGCTGTCACAACCGGAGCCAGTCCGTCGTCATACCGTCATACGAGTCGGGTTGAGCTACCACTTAGTGAGATGAGATAGAATAATTATAGGTAAATGTCTGTTTCTCTATCATTTGATCTAATGTACAGTATCTATATAGCGGGTAGGTAGTCTGATTATCAGATGTGAAAACAGGCTGAGTCAATACAAATGTCCAAAAGTAAGGCTGGACTGAAGCTTGCAAAGCGTGGCTCGGCCCCAGACGCACACAGCCCGGAAGGTTCGAGCCCTAATGATATACCAAGCTTGAGTAAAATAACAGTGCTTGAGCATCCTAAGCTTCTGGCTTATTTGCCTTCTGAAGAGGGTTCGGCCGACTCGGGCAGAAGAGTTTCAGGTGACTCGAGCGTTGATGTATTCGCCATCTTGCTTTTGTTACCCTGGGCGGAGGATAGTGTGTTTTGCGCGGCCATGCGCAGAACCAAATGTTTCAGAAATGCGACTTCGGATTTCAGGGCGCGCATCTCATTTTGTTGCGCGGCCATTATGTCTTCGGGGGAAGACTGGGGTTCGAGCTCCTTTTCTTGCTCGACCATCTCGGTCTGGGAAACCTTATCTGCCTGTTCTGTCTGGAGTGGTTTCCTAGATGCCTTAAGGGCGAGTCCCTCGTCCAGCACCGTGGACATAAGCTGCTCGGAATACGTGCCCATCAGCCTCTGCAATCGATCAGCAGAGCTCTCTCCCGTGGGGGCAAGAATTTCTAGCTGCTCCCTGATGATGTTGGCGAACGCATGGCATTTTTCAGCCAGCGGGGTAGATGTCGCTGGTGGTGTCTCTTGCGCGGCGGCGGTCCACCTATAGTGGTCGGGATCGGCTTCGCTGACAATGTCTGATTGACGGCTTGGGAGATCTGCGCTGAATCCGCTTTGGACTGCAGCCTTGATGAGGGCTTCGGAGACGTCGAACTTGCGACATTCATCACTCAGCTGTACCATCATAACTATCAATCTCCCCACCCCTGTGTATGGGTGCATGGTTGTTGATGTGATATAGGCCAAGGCTCTTTGCAGCGCTTGTCGGCCTCTTTCCCAGTCCTTTCGGATCGTGTAGAACTCCAGATAGGCCATGAGGATGGCAAAATCATCCATGTAGCCGGCTGCTCTTGCCGCTAGTAAGTACGCATCCGCTCTATCGGGTTGGTCGAACCGCAGACAAGCTCTAATGAGCGAACCGTAGAGAACAATGTTTGCGCTGTGAACAGGAGGGACCGTAATCCTTAAACCATTGATTGTCCTCGGCACGAAGAGGCTCAGTTTGCCCATGTTTATGGGGTACCCTTTCCCTTCCAGCATCAGCAGGAAAAGATCAAAGCCCTTCAGGTCTTTGGTTTTGCGGAAGAAGTTGAGAATGGCAAGGATGAGGGAGACGCTCATTTCAAACTGGTAAGGAAGTATTGTCTTGATGACCAATTGAGCAAGGTCATTTTGTCGGGTGTGGGTAAATGCTATAATCATATATGTGAAGACAAATTGCCGGTCCGGATCATGGCAGCGCAGAAGACCATCCGACAGCCTCAAAAGAAACTCTTCTAGGGGCATTTGGCCGCTGAGATACTGATTTGAATCCTGACGCATCTTCTTCTCCAATTCGTTCGAGGAACGGACTAGATCCTGCCAACGAGGAGAGTTGAACGAGCCTACTAAATCATCGATGTTGACTTTCGGGTTTGCCTTGATTTGCCCAATTCTGCGCCGGACGGCATTGAGCTCGAAGAGAAGACCCGGTAAGTCAAGCTGGGGAGTATCATCATTATCACCATAGTTTTTTAGAACGCCAAAATAGGAATGAGCAACTGATGGGCGTATTAGAAGGCGAATCGCAAGCTGTTTCAATGCAAGCTTTTTGATAGCTTTTGCGCAAACCTGATCAGCCGTAAGCCATTCAGGCAACTCCTCCACATCAAGGGCCATGTCAAAGTCATCATCGTCTTTCATCGAGTCTGCATTTTCCGCTTCAAGTTTCTTGATAATCGCAGTCTCGCCGATTTTATGGTTTTTAGTAGTCCAGAATTGCATATATCTGCGCGGCGCTTGGGCTTTCGGTAACCGATCGTTCTGGTGTACGGGTCTCGGTAGTGTGTGAAATGATCTTTTTTGAAGCGCTTTACGCGCAACAACCGTGCTCTGCCTTAGAGGCGCGGCACTTGAAGCGCGATGACCAGCAGCCCTCAGATCATGGGACTCGTCTTCGTCAAGAGCAATCTCCTCCCGCTCCCGGCGGCATCTGCTCTTCCCCCGCGCATTTCTAGAGACCGCCGTAGCTATCGTACTAGTATAACGCGTCGCGACTGGGTTTTCGATAGGTACGCTTCGTTCGCCCGCAGTCGAAGCTGTTCTAGACGCTAAACCTTCAGCGGCGGTTTTTAGGCACGATATGCACAGGGAACTCGGCGTGGCCGGTGCGCTGCGGGACCAGATTCGCTGCATTGTCAGGACATTTCGGCCCCTTTTGGGCGGATGATCGAGTTATTTGACGGTCGAAGATCAATTGTGCATCTCGAAATATTTGACTCGCAGTATCGATTCCAGGAAGCTGAGAAATGTGGCCTGGCTGGGTGGTATGATGCTGCGAGGTTGTGCTTTCGGGGAAAAAGTCGGAGATGCCGGAGAGCAAACACTGCAAACAGACCGGGCCCCATGCTGGAGCTGGCAACAGCTGGTCTCCGGGGCTCCTCATTCGCACGTCAACCCCGGGGGAGCTGCTCACTCTATATTCTCTTCTTCACAAAATTCAGTCCTTTGCTGTAATCTGGGTTTGGCCAGCCAAGCCCCAGCACTCGCGATTGACAATGTTGGTCACGCTTACTACCGCTCTACTGGCCCTGAGTGGCAGCTTCGTAAATGCCCACGGCTCGCATTCCACCCCTACCGATCCCTCTGCAGACTGGGCGACTCGGCACATGCAAGGTGGGACCTACCCTGGGTACCTTGCAGGAAATAGCCTTAACTTACTCACATGTGAATGACAGAGGAACATCACATTGACACCTTCGACGCCGCCTCTTTCTTTACACTCCACGATTACGATTCATCCGGGGCCTGGACGCCCGAGGAAGTGAGGAAGACATACGGCATGGATGACGAGTCCAACGCGGGCTTGACTGAGGAGCGGAAAACAGAAGCGCTGAGGGAGGTCTTCACTCTGTTCGACCCAGCGAATACCGGGTTCATCAGCCGCGACAACTGGATGCACCTTATTGCCGACGGTGTGAAGCTACCGGACTTTGGGTTTGGGCCTGGCCATCACGGGGACATTGAGTACGAGTACGAGATTCATCACTTTGAGATGTACCACGGCGAGGATGCGACGGAGGAGGAACTCACGCATCCCGAGGATATCGAGCATTTCAAGAGACATGACGAGGAAGACGAGGCCCAGGAGAAGCTGGATCAACTCGAACGGATGGCGATCGTTGCGGCCAACATTCCGGCGAAATTCCGCAAACAAGGGCGGGCCTGATCATGTGTATTTTTATGCGTTTACCATTTGTGCTTTTATGTCTGGATCATTGCGGGACGTCACTTACACTGCATATATATGATAGATACCATCCTAATGACCACCGGCGAGGAAGCCTGTGCAAACCGCGATGGCTTTACAGACTGCGCGGAGACTTGTAACGATCACGATACGTTGGATCTCACTTGTTGGGTTAGCTGGACATCATATACACAGTGCATGACCCCAGGCGCATAAGTCTTGACTTGTTCAACATGCCGACAATCGGCACCGAGCTCCGTATCTGTTCTCTGTGATGCATACTCAGTCCAGTATCTCTCAACGGTAGCGGTTATCTCACGCCCCTTCGCCTCGATCTGTTGTACGTCAACATTCTCGTGCACATGGAGCCAGCCACCCTTGTCTTTGTCAATAATCTTGCAGGCATCATCCCAAGAGCTGCTGGAAGATGGCAGAAGGCCTAAGTTGACATGTCTGATGCTGGTCCATTCTCTCCGGGCCTCCAGAGCAGCTCGCACTTGGCCCATAATCTTCGCCGCAAACCCATTGTCACCATGAAATATCACAACCCGATCCGTATCGCGAAGACTCTCAACTAGTTCAGGAACCGACGTGCTCAGTCTCCCATCACTGCCTACCCCGATAACCCTACACCCCCATCCATTCTCCACACATCCCCTCCGCAACCCCTCCACAGACCACCCGTTAATCTCAAACCCCCAAACCCTCTTCACCCCACGCTTAAGGTACGAGAAAACAAAGTACCCAATCCCCGCATACATATCAACAACCGCAACATCATCCACAGCCTCCCCACACAGCGAGACCTCGTCAAGCCCCTCAAACATAGACCCGTGCCCCAGAATCCTCGCTTTCTCCGTGACATTCCCCCGCGAGAACATGGTATACAGCGGAGCCCAGATCTGCACGATCCCGTGGTTCTGCACCGTACGCACCCAGAATGCCTGCTCGAAGTCGTCCCGGCAGGGCTGGACCTCCTCCCCGTCTCGCGACGGCGGCGGTCCAAAGTCCCCATGAAGCGGGACGAGTCCGACAGGGCTGCGCATTCTGTTCTCGTGCCCCTGCGTGTCTGTGAGGACGATTGGCGCGTTCATCGCGACGTGCGTTACGCCGTAGCGGGCGAAGGCACTCGCAATGGAGGCGTATAGAGCCTTGCGCTGGTCGTGGTCTAAACTGTCGTAGAGTTTGCCCCAGGCCGGAGGGTGCGTGAAGGCGTTCAGTGGTAGTAAGAGCATAGGCTCGTAGATGGTGTATCGTTTTGGGAGGGAAGAGGCCAGCTCCTCGAGGGACAGGGCATGTTGCGGGAATAAAGAAGGCGGCAGATGCGCGCTTATGAAATCTGCTATGCCTTTCTGGAGGGGGTTGATATTCTGTTTGCGTGGATGTTTCGCTCCGATTTTGCGTTGCTTCGTCATTGACGCATCGAAGTTTCGCTCTAATGGAGGAGCGTCTGCCATTTTGTGTGCTTTAGCTGACTGGTGTTGTTGGTGAAGTAGGAAAAGCACCGAGATATATATGGCCGCTTCTTATGAAATTTGAGGCGAGAACATGCGCATCACAGTGTAGACGCACAGTTGACCAGTCAAAGAGATGATTTAGAGCAGAATCAGGAAGATTCAGGTCACTTGGGCATGTGCAAGGAACCTCCAAGATCATACCCTATTTGTGTTCTGTTCAATAATATGGTGTCATGTGATACCTAGGGAGGACCCATCAGAAACCTGCCTGAGGCTGCAACTACCTCTTCGAACCTTAAAAGAACGACACAGGAATCTAATAACAACACTCTGAACTCTATGAACAACAAATAATGACCGCAGCAAGAGTGAATGAGGAGCTCGCCTCAAGAGCCCGGTTTCGGCTGCTTTCTTGCTCGCTCCCGACGTCCTGTGAGAATATACCAGAATCCCACAGTAAGACAAGTCAGAGGCACTGTTGCGGCGAAGAAAATCCAGAATTTCTTCGATGTTGCGAAATCTCCATCATCTGGCCCATCAAAGTCGAAGAGATTCATTCCAAGGAAGGTCTATCTAGCATTAGAGTCTTCGCGCTCCGGTCTATGTCACGGGCAACTTACCGCAACAAAGCTTGCGGGCAAGTAAAATAAGCTGACTATCGTGACGACGAAAACATTGGCATTGTCCTCAACGGATGCGTCAGCTAACTGCAGCATACGAGTCTGACTGTTTAGGGTTAAGGCCGTGGCCAGCTGTTCGTATGTGTTAGGACAGCACTGATAGTCTGTACTGATGAACAGGCACAATCAGTGACATACGAAGCTTGAGAAATCTTGAACTCTTTGCCCCAGAGCATCGACGCTCTTTAAGTGGCCCTCGAGGGTTGATGTATAGTAGGCAGTTGCGTTCGCAAGTTTTCGGTGCTGCGTGTCTGTTGCAATATTTTTCGAGAGAAACTGCTCATTGACCACGGCCAACTTGCGAATGGTGATCAAAGTGGTCTCCAACTCAGACGAGAGCGGCTTCAATGTGCTACCAAGGTACTGCGGATGTAGCAGTCGGACGAGGCTCTCGTTTTCGCTCACGATTTTGAGTTCTGAGAGATCCATTGTGAGGGCGATATCGGCCTACAAAGATTAACGTTTTGAGAAGGTACGACAAGTGGAACATTTGGCCTACTGCTTCCTCAATGGTTTCGCCTAGATGCTGCAAGGATCCTCTCCAGTTGCCAAGATAGGTAGCGAAGACGAGCAGGTGCAGGGAGAACCAATCTGGGGTGACATCCTCACGACTGATTGTCAGGACTTTTTCAAGCCTCGACTGAAGCTCTGAATTGGGGCGAGCATTCAGAAAGATCCAGAGAGTTCCTGCACCTGATACACTATATCGATGAAAGACCGAAATCTGCCGCTTGGTGAATTTGGTCGAACCTCGAACTTTATAACTCTCGGGGTAGGTGAACCGGTATTGCATATCTCGCAAATATCAGCGGAAGGATAAAAAGAATTATAATGGCAAGATGTTTTACCAAAAGACCCGTCTTCTCCTTCCCTCACCGTCATGCCCCCATGGCCAGCATCAGAGGTACGCGGCTTGTCTCCGAATGAGACGACATGATCGAAGAACGAGTCGTCAATGTTGTACGCGTCTATAAGCTTCTGCATCGCTGTTTCGGTGATGCCAAGCGGGTCTATCGAGGTTTTGCAACATATTGAACTGGATGGAGGTAAGTCGCAAAGGTCGACAGAGTCGAGTACGAGGATGACCTACACTATGCGGGTGTGCGGCTTCGGTCTCGATGAGATATGGTGTTCGAAATCTTCGCTGTTATTGAACATATGAGGCTCTGACTGTGGTATAGCTTCGTATAGCCGTATGTCTGACTTCTCGGGACAAGAGACGAAACTTTGACACTGTGGGAGTGGTCGGATTGGCTTGTAAAGCCTTGCTGGAAGCGGGGAGGCAGTCGCAGCATTCTGGACTTTGTTGCCCGTCTCACGCCTGCTTCTGAACGTAACCCTTCTCAACTCTACCGGAGAGGCCATCACTGCAAGCGACAAAAGAAAAGAATCTGATTCCTTGGATTTCTATGATATGGAACTGAATTGATCTTTATGTTTCAAGAGTCTCCCAACATGTGAGTCCGCCTTGAGGTCCCCCAGCGAGGCAGAGCTGTGCCCGGCTCGGAAGACCATCTGCAGGTCTTGATTCTAAGCAGGCCCAGCCACGAGCAGAAAGCAACCCTCCGGAGAGCATACACAGGTCATGGTTCAATACAGGAATACAAGCAATATTGTGGGCTAATGGCTGTTGAAATTTCAGTTGACTCGACACGCCTCGCGAATTTCACTACAGTCAAAAAGTGTTAACCAATTTTGAAACGCGCTGAAGACGATTGTGTTCGATCGGAATCACTGGAGTCAGTCTTACTAAATCTCGTCCTGGAACCGGATATTCAATTAGCGCGCCGTAGCCTTGTGCTCATTGGAAAGTTTCAGAGCCTACCCGAGTGACTTCATCTGGGGCGTCAAACACGTATCTTTCCCTATCATACTTTCTCAAAGAACGCCGTCAGCTGGTCGATAGCGAGACTAGAACAGCCGGAAGAAGGTCTTGCCACTTGAGATACACTCTTACCCGAACAGTGATGGCCATTCCAAAACGCAGGCGGAGCCACGCCTCCAGCCTATCGATCCGGATATACCCGGTCAGGCTTTCGCTGATACTGTTGTGCACGGTCTGGCACATGGTGGCTTGGTCTTTCAATGCCGTCTCTACAAGGCGCAGGACAGCAGAAGAAAAGTGGATATCTTAAAAGCGCTTCGGCTTTTAAGCACAAGCGAGGGACAGCCCTCGGAGTGGTTGCTACTCCGTACGGTTATGAATTCTTGGTTGCGGCCTAACAGCAGAGCCTCTTCGTATCGTTAAGGAAAGAGCGAAAGCCGCGAAATGACGCCGAGCCTCCAAGGCAAACAAAGAGGGCATACCGGGGAGTTTGCTGTACTTTCCCTGCGTACATTCGAAGCGGGGAAAGGGTTAGTATTGGTCCACGAAGCCACGAAATGATGACCGTCTGCATTATTCCCTGTCGAACTGGCGAATGATAGACATTCTGAAACCAACGAGACGGCATAGCCATCCTGAAATACGAACTACTAAGAGGTGAGTACGAGGTCTTATGATCGCGAGTTGTGATTCTGACTGTCATAGATCCTCGGCGCTGTCCAGCACGCAAATGCCCTGAGAAAGGCGCAAATGAATTAACGTTCTCGAAGCACTGTTCAAGCTATACCTACGGTATGATGTTGCCAAGAACATGGAAACGGAATAGACGAAGTTACTTGAACAACCCCAGATATTTGTGGAGTCACAGCCCACTCCGTACCGTATACGGAGTAGCTCGTGCGGTGATGGTTCCCCCTTACAACTCGATATCTATCGCGAGGCTGAGGTGGCGCTGTGCAGTCGACTCTTGTTTGAGGTCTCTCAGCCTTTCGCGCAGGATTGCCCAGACGCTAACCCATTGCTTTTTCTGCGTTGAGAGGATGGGGAGCAAACTTTGCATGCACCCAATCACCATGGATGGGTCTTTAACGACGTCGCTGAGTTGTGTTCCAGAATCCAGGATGAGGAAATTTTCGCCCTGTGTCCTGCAGCACCCAGATGATGGCTGTTTACGGGGCCCTGCGTACCACAAAGAAATGTTGATTTCATAGTGGCAAGCTCCTGGACTCTGTCCTGAAACTCGACTCTTTCTGAAAGGCAAAGTTTTGATCGTGGTTGAGGAGCCCTTTTGCCCCAGACGCCACTCTACCACTACTCACTAGCCTTAATTAGCCTTGCCCTCTCAGCCCCACTGTCATCTGAGATGTGGCAGTGGATATTCGGATACCATTTCCTTTCGTGCTAATTAGAGCATCTGAGACCTATGACAGCTATCGGCGGCCAGGCGGGGGATGCTGCACACCACTACTGACAGGTTGTAGCCTCGTTCTAGCCGTACTTATGCGCCAATCCTTCCCGCTCGTACCTAGGTGGCATGTCCAATGGATGGTTCTCAATTAATTAGAACCGGTAAGCCCCTCTTGGTAGGTTTCCTCTGCTGTTCAATCACATTGAGCCGCTTCCAAACACTTACAAATGTGTCTCACTACCCACTCTCACCATAGCTCCGACTTGACTTCCAGTCTCAGAATGCCCATTTCCAAATCAATATATCTATAACTCTAGGACTAGAATGGACCGTGTTGAGAGCAATGAATGGAGACGGTAAGTGCTTAGTCGGGCGATGACATGCGACGGCGTTGAAAGTCATGCAGGTATTGATGAGGGTGTTGTCAACGTTTGGCTGAATCTTTCCAGAATTCCCAACCCCTTGCGACGAATACAGCCCCACAAAGTTGAAGAAAATGCCGAGAGATTCTATGAAAGATATCTAGGGAGGGTGGTGGAAGAGGAGAAGATCGTGGTCGAAAGGGTGGTGGACAAGGACGTCTTCCTTCGAGGAGCAAACCTGGCAGTGGAGCATGACGAGGATGTGCTTTGCATGTCAGAGTCATCGAAAATTCACAGAGTCTTCGATTTACTCCGTGAAACGAAAGACCTCAAGGTCACTATACTGGTAACTGCATGTGCGGCTATAACCCAGTAAGTAGGATGTCCGTCATTGGTATGATTAATATCACGATTATAACCAGCTCCTAACGCACTACAAGGGGTGGCAGCAGTCGACAATCAATGCAAGTTCACGCTACTGGCAGGAAGACTTGCTACCGCCCTTGGGAGAGCAGCCAGAGGACAGTGCGTTGGCGTACCGTGAACTGATGGCTGGACTTATTGACGCTGCACCATGGCTCTCAGGCAGCATAATGTGAGTCACAATCTAGCAATCTGCGGCATATCCTAATATAACTGCCAGCGGCGCTTGGTTAAGTGACCCTGTACAAGAGGGGATACTTGGGAGGCGACGTGCTCTTTTTATATCGGCTGTCTTTTGTACAGCCTTTCCCATAGGTATGTGACACTGGCAGGGTTAAATCGGTATGTAGGCTGACCTTGGCTGCCAGCAACCGCGCGAAGCGATAGTTGGGAAGAGCTTCTGATTTTCCGGTTGCTGCTTGGGATCGGAGTGAACTATGCCCTCTATACATGTGATGAACATGGTCGCTAACAAACTATTATAGATCGGCGCAAAGGCTTCCATAGCCCCTGTATTTGCTGCTGAGACTGCCGTCGATCATTTACGCGGTCGGCTTCTGATGATGTGGCAGCTTTTTGATGCATTGTACGTTCTCGTCTCTCCAGCATTATCAACAGGTGGATCTCAAAACTAACCATGTCTCAACCAGTGGGATCTTTCTTGGGTTTGTCTGCGTGTGGATTGTTGACAAACAATGGAGAGTCCTTTTAGGAACTGCAGCAGTTCCGTCCTTAATATTATTGTTCCTGGTCTTTCTTTGCCCAGAATCCCCCCGGTTTCTTATGCGCAAGAAAAGGTACAGAGAGGCATACCTGAGTCTCCGTCATCTGCGTGGAAGCGACATTCAGGCATGCCGAGATCTGTACTACATACATAGCCAGTTGCAGTATGAATCGCAACAACGGCTAGCCCTAGCCAAAGTGCGACACTTCAAACCGAAGGGAGAAGAATGGCTGAAAAGCGATGAATTGAATTACCAGGATATTGAGCTCCCGCCAATGAATTTTTTCAAGCGAGCGTGGGCTCTCTGGACCAACCCACGCAACCGAAGGGCGTGCATTGCAGCCTTCATAGTGATGGCATCGCAGCAGCTTTGTGGTGTAGGGCTTCTCGTGGAATGTCCATTCTTGGTACACAACAGGCTAAAACCTTCTTCATAGGTTAATGTGCTCGCATTCTATTCATCCCATCTATTTGGAAGGGCGAACAATGAAGAGTACGACTATATTATGGCGCCTGGTCGGAGCGACGACCTAGACCGCGATTCGCCTACTAAGGTGGCCTGGATGAATATCGGTAAGGCAACTCAAACACATTTTGTACAACGGCTTAGAAAGGATAGGCTTTGGTCTCGCGAATTTTCTCTTCACTATCCCGGCATATTGGTTCATCGACATGTCGCGGCGGCGAGGCCGCCGGATATTGCTACTGGTGTCGCTTGCAGGGATATTTTTCACCATTATTGCCATTGGATCCTTCTTCTTCATTCCCAACGATGACGCCCGCCTTGGACTCGTTTCATTCTTTACGATCGTCGTCTTTCTATTCTTCTACGGCATTGGAGCCGGGCCTGTGCCATTTACATTCAGCGCAGAGGTGTTCCCCCTGGCATTCCGCGGTAAGATATACCCGCATCGCATGATATCAGGAAGCTGCTAAACCCCTGTGTACAGAAGTGGGTATGAGTTTTAGCGTTATGGTCAATTTCCTAGGTCTTGGGTTCCTGGTTCTTCTTGTGCCCTTTTTAACGCGGGAATTTGGATCCAATGGCAATTCTTACCTTCTCTATCTATTCGGGTGAGCTTTCAAAAACTCTCTTTGAGCGTCAAGAGGACTAACATTGCACAGTGGACTTGACCTTCTGGCGTTCGGACTAGTATTTCTCTTCGTATGTGAATACATCATCAAACTGACATTTTACTGACCCTATACTGCAAAGGTCCCCAGCACGGGTCGAATCCCGCTCGAGAACATGGATCACGTCTGTATGGACTTCACAACTGCGTATATATCTTATCTTGCATACTGACCACAGACACCAGTCGACAAGAAGACATCTCAACAAGTGCGAAGACATTTCCGAGCTTTACGGAGCCTTCGACGCAGCAAGAAAACCGATACGCACAATGATACAGCTTTGAACGATCTGTCATCGCCCTAGGATTGTCTTTTGATGGTACATGGCGTAAGTCACTTCTGGCGTCTGCATCCAATCTAGAATGTACAGGATTTAGCGGCCCGGGCACAGTGTCTCCAAAACAGGAGGACAAAGCATTAGTCTGAATTTTAGAAGCGAAGTGGCATACACAGTTAGATAAACGTGTCCAATGCGAGGCTGAACCTCCCAAATATGTGGAAAGCCCTGGGGCTGGGGCGTCTGTGAGTCACCCGTAGCGCTGGAGTTGCTTTTGTATTCTCTACCTAAGAGTAGGCAGACAGCCAACTGCTGGCAGCACTGCACAGCCTGACGTGGCACAGTCGGCCATGCCCCGCTTAGTACCTAGGTTTCTCCCCAGTCTTCTTGCTCTGCTGAGCCGCAGCTCGTGACGTCTGTGTTCCCCGTAAGCCCGTCTTCCTCTCTCCTGCATCAGCGTCGCCGCCAGGTTCTGCATTCCAAACACTCTATACCTTCTGTTGCTCTGAATCCGGCATTCATCGCATCTATTATGATTTGTCCTCGAGTTCGAAGGTAGCAAAAGCTTGTCCTCCGAGTACTTTCTCCTCATTGAGTTCCGGTTGCCAATGTGTCTTCACTGCAGTGGTAAACTGGCTAGACCCCAGCCTTCTACCTTCCTAGCTTTTTTTGACGGGCATTTTCGTGAGAGAAATGATGCTGCCCTGGTTTCGTCGAGAGAGCATTGAAATAGCCACGGCTATTCGAGAGAGGCTCCAGGATGCCATGCAGAATCAAACGGACGACTTGAGGAAGTTCGTACCGCGCAGTAGTCTCGAAGAAATCTGGACCGTGGACTGCCTTCAAGATTTTGTGCGGCAATATAGGCCTTTCGAATTCGCAGACATACCCAACATCAGGAAGAACTTCCTGCAAACCTTATCTATCTTGATTGAGATAAACTGGGATCGGTGGAGGAGCTTCAGGGCGATTTTTATCGACTACCACGGCCGAGCTGACAATGATATACACATGTATACCTGGCAAATACTGCGGAATGAGAGCTTCTTGGGGGCGAATTGGGCAGGAGCTTTCCTCCATAACCGCTATATATATTGCCCCGTGGATATCAAGGAGGGCATGGTTCTTGAATACAGGGAAGGCTGGCGACTGCCGTTTCTCGATCGTGACCTCGACCAGCGCACACATCCCCCAGGTCTCGAGGGCGATTCGGTGAGATCGGTCACCAAAGAAGAAGTCGCCAGAGGCCACCTTCATTTAAGTGCGAATTCACGCTTCACAGTAAGTCTCTCATACATCGGCGCTTGTTTAGACCGCGACCCTGACAATTGACCTCTCTGTATTCTCTAGGGACCATACCTTGCATGCAAGTGATTTCGCACCCGCGGCGATTTTGAAAAGGAGAAGCGGAACCTATTGGCGTTGAAAAAAAGACTTGATATGAACGAAATGGAGGACAGAATCATGCCATTCTTTGCGTCTATTAGAGTCGGCGGCGAATTCAATTTGCTCTCTGAATGGGCCGATGGTGACTTAGAATCATTCCTTCAAGAAGAGTCCGGAAGCTTTGGCCTGTGCGATTTGATGGAAGAGGCACGAAACCTAGCTGGTGCTCTGGCATTTCTGCACCACGGAGGGCCAAACCCCCAACAGCTGTTTTGCCATCTGGACCTAAAGCCGGCAAACATACTAGTTTTTCGCGACTCACCAATATCTGTCGGGAGATGGAAGATATCTGATTTCGGCAACTCTGTCTTCATGCCTGCGGGGGACTCAGGGCCTGATGGTTCGTTCCCACTCATATCAAACATAGGAGGAATTATGGGAATCTACCAGTCTCCCGAGGTCTTCCACGGCGAAGGACTTGGACGTAAAAGTGATGTCTGGTCACTTGGGTGCATATTGGTCCGGATACTCGCCTTTGGGTTGGGTGGCAGTGTTTTGAGAGACCTGGATGACCGCCGTCGCCGAGTGATGATCAATGGAGAGCCGTGTTACCATGACTGCTTTCATTGCAGAAATCCACCTGTCTTGAACCCCCATATTGAAACATGGATCAAGGGGCTACCGACAAGATCGAATGACCAACTTATCCAAGCAGCATGTCAACGCTTCCGCAGCTTACTCCTCAAAACTCTCGAAGTTAACAGGGAAGCCAGACTCACCGCAGAGGAGGTGAAGGGCAGGCTTGGGTCTATCGTTAAAATTCTTCTTCCACCTAAATCCCTTCCATCGTCGACAATATCTATAGACGCATCCCACCTCCTTACATCGATTGATAATGGTAACTTTGACGGTCTCAGGTCACAGTTGGAGTGCAATGTCGATGTTGAAGTTCCAGTGGAGAATGCCGATAAAAAGACGGAGAGGGTGTTGATACATGGTATCCGCAGGAAATCCTACGAGACGGTTGAAAGCCTACTGAGTTCCCGGCTTAGGTTGGATATAGAGAGCCCTGCCTCTGATGGACAGACCCCGCTGGCTTGCGCGATTGCAACAGGTGATGAACGCATATTTAAGCTTCTCTTGGAAGCAGGTGCTAATATTGACGCGCCATCGAAAAATGAAATGACACCCCTTATGCTAGCAACCGGGGATAGCCGTGTCGGCTTCGTTCGCTCCCTGCTCGACAGCGGTGCGGACTGCCTGACTTATTGCAACAAAGGCTACACGTGTGTACATTATATTGCCTGGGCTCGGGACAATGGAGTTGAACTGATCGAGGAGTTTCAAGCTAGAGGAAGCTCCCTTGATATACATTGCCGTGGAGGAAATGATAGTCCTCTAAGTACCTTGATTAAAGCGCATGACGAAACTGACGAGTGGCAGTTCAAGTTCAACGCTTTCCTCGACGCAGGAGTGGATGTCAACTCGTCAGACCAGCGTGGCAGAACGCCCTTATACTATGCTGGCCTAGATGATCTCAGGGAGGTCGCAATCAAGCTTCTACAGAAGGGGGCCAAATTATCTCCGCATCTGGATCCTGCTCTGCTTGATAGGAAAGTGCCTTCCTGGATGAAAGTTCTACTCAGAGAGCACGACGGCGGAAACAGTGGAAGCCAACTCGAGCCACGCTCGTCATGGCGAGCTGCTTTCCGCCGTAAGCGGTCCTCTTGACGGCTGTTGATTTTATACCCATACTGTTAGAGAATTGCTATTCTCACGGTAACTTTGCTAATCTTACGGTAATTAGCGCCCTCTGGCCGCGCTTGCTGCTGCCACTAGCTGTATTTATACTAGCTTTGTAGCCTGCTGCTTTATACTTATAAATTAGGCTTAATTAATACTAGTAGCCCTATAGCCGAGCTTAACATTATAAAAATATTTTTAAACTTTATAAAGTTATAGTTTATATAAAACAAGAACTTAATATTATAAAGTCTAATCTTAATAAAATTTTATTTTTTAATTAGGCATTAAATACTAGTTTTATTTATTTATCTAGTAATCTAGGAAACAAAGCCCCTAGTAAGCCTTTTATTAATAAATATAACTTTAAAATTAAAAATTAGTATAATAGCATCTTGGAGCTTAAAAATAGCTTTAAAAAGGTTTTTAACTTTATAAAAAAAGTAAAGGCCTATTTTAAGTTTTTTATAAAAATTAATAGCTTTATAATTTTTAAATAAAGCACTAGTAAGTACCCTAAATATTATAAAAAAGTTAATTTTATTAATTTTAAATGCTACCGCGGAGCAGTGCTTACATTAAAAAAAAACTTTTTTTAAGCCTACTTTTTTTTTAAAGCCTTAAAGCACTGGATTTTACTAAATTAATTACTTATTTAAAGTTATTATTAGGCGCTAAACCCTAACTATAGTACTTAAAGTTATTTATAGCTTTTATAATTATAAGTGGACCAAGGACTTTTTTATTTTTAACTAGTATAAAAAGTATATTAAAAACTATAAAAAAAATTTTTTAGTTTAATATTTAGTGGATCTAGCTGCTATTTTTAATATATTATAAATTATTTAAAGTATATAAAAAAGCCCTGCCCTTTAAAAATTAAAAATTTTTATAACCTTTATAATAAGTTTTAATATTAATTCCTAAATAGTAAAATACTAACTAAAGCGCTTATTAACTAGCTGCCTTAATAAAAGGGCAGCTTTATAAAACATAAAATAAATTTTAAAAAAAAGTTAAAGTACGCCTTTTTAGCCTATTTAACCTTAATTAGGTAACTTAAGCAAAACCCCTTTATAATTATTATTAACTATACCTATAAAATAAACTAGTACCTTTTACCTTTTTATATAATTACTAAAGTTACCGCATGTAATAAAACCTTTATTATTATATATAATTTTATAAGGGATAAAATAAAGCTATTATATACCTAAATACTATAATAATTTTATAATTTTTATATATAAGAAGGCCTTAAAATGCCCAGGGTTACTATTATTAATAAAAATAAGGCTTTTGTTAAGGCGCTTAGTGTTATTTTTTTTATAATTAATTAAATTTTTTATATTTAGTGTGGCAGTGGCTGCCACACCACTCCAGTATACAGTGGTTCTGCCGTGCGTTACTACCTCCATAGCTACCCACCACGGAAGCCAAGTTTCGAATTCTTGGCCCTCCACTTAGCATGTGCTAGCTGTAAAATAAACGTTTCTTACTTTATAAAACACCATAAGAAGGTGCAAATGTCCCTGAAATTCAGCCATATTACACCTAGACTATTGGCTTAGCGGCACTTGGCCATGAGCCAAGAATTCGAAACTTGGCTTCCGTGGTGGGTACTTTGCCCGCTTTGCGGGACTTAGTAAAATCCAAGACTTTTTAAATTTACATAATATTTATAATTACTGCTATAAATAGTAGCATGTCCCTAAGGGACAGGGTCTTAATTTTTTTTTTTTTATTATAAAGTTAGGTAATTACTTTAACTAGCTATTAAGAAATATTTTTAGTAATTAATAACTTAGGCCATTTATTATTATTAAGTAGTTATTTTTAATAAAAACTATTTACCCTTGCCAAACATTATAACTTTATAATTTTTAAAATATAGACTTTTAGTTTACAAGCACGGAACTATAAATACCCCTTTTTTACTTATTATTAATTTTTTATAAAAACCCTTTTTTTTACTATATTACACTCCCCTTTTTCCTTGCTTGCTGCGTTTAATTAACAGCTTTTTTTATAAAATAACAGCCTTATATTATAACATGCGCCTGCTAAAAATAACACGCAATTACATGGCCTATATTATAGTATTAAATTACATGGTTTACTTTATAGTATTAAGGGTAGTAAAGCGTGGTAGTTTAATATATAAAATTTAAAATTTTAAAATAGTATTAGTATTTTATAACGCAAGACTTAATAAACAAGGGTAATATTATATATAAAACAGACTTAATTAGGCGCGCAATTTAGCTAAAAAAGTTTATTAAAATAAAATATAAACAAGCATTAAATATTATTATATTAATATAAAAAAAAATTAAATTCCTAGCTACCTTTGCACCTTTGCTAGAGGAGACTACTAAGCACTAAACCTAAAAATAACATGCTACGCCTTTATCTTTTTTATTAGACTAGGCTATAGGCAATGCAAGAATATTTAATATAACTTTAAAATCTTTTATAAAGATATTTAAGGAGGTTTTATAAAATTATTATTTTATAAAGGCAGGCGTATAATAGGAACAAAAAACATCTAGCCTCCCTGTATAGAAAGCTCCAAAAATTATTATATTAATTATTAAATTATCTTTTTTTATGCTTTCCGGACCTTTAACTTTATTAGAATTATTATTTTTATTTTTATTACTATTACTAATACTGCTAATATAAAGAATATTACTAACATCCTCTCCCGTGCTATTAACGTGAAGGCCTTAAAAAATTTTAAATTAAACTTTAAAACCTTGTTATATACTATTACATGGCCTTATATTATTTTTAATTAGCGTAGCTTTTAAATTATAAAATTAGGAGCAAACTATTATTATTATTAAAAAAAACACCAGCCTGGAGTATAATACTAGTTTAAAATATAAAGCTAATTACTTATATTTACTAAAAATATTAAAAAATATTATTATTATATATTTATAATTAATTAATTTTTAAATAAGGTTTTATTTAAGATTAGTGCCGCTATTATATTTTTATTTTAGCTTAAGTAATAACATTAATATTATTATTAAATTAAAACTTTAATTAACTTTTTTTTTAAAACTTTAGCTAACTCCTTTAAATTCTTAAAATTTTTTAATTTACTTTATACATAACCTATAAACACATAAACCTCTTGCTAAGCTATTTACTTATTTAAAATATATAAGAATAAAATAGCCTTTTAAGTATTTTAAAAAGTATATAGTAAAAAAAAGAAAAGTAAAAGTAAAAGCTAAAAATAAAAAGCTAGGGGAGCAAGCTATTAATTACCATGTATTATAATAACCTATAGGTAATATTATAGCTTTTATAAACGCCTAGACTTTAGTATTACAGGGGATAATTAGTAATATAATTACTTATATATTAAAAGGCATTTTACCCCGCCTTAAGAAATAAGAAACTAAATAATAATATAAATAAAAACTAAAAAATAAAAAAGCTTATTACAAAAAGCAAGCCAGGCTAGATTATTTATAATAAAAAAAATAAAAGGCGCAAGAGTAATATTAAAAAAGGCATTAAAAAAAACCAAGAGGTAACCTAAATAATAACAGTAACTTATTACTAAATAATAATAATTAGTATAATAATAGTAACAGGCGTGATAAAAATCTTAATAAATATAAGGGTAAAAAATATTACTTAAAAAATAAAGACAGGTAACCCTAGGATCCTAAATAAAGGGTTACTAATATAGGATTTTTTTTTTAAATATGCCCGCTAAATATAGCTTTAAAGATATAATAAATAAAAATAAATTTATATATTATTAATTAGTATATTTATTTATAAAGTGTTTTTAGGTAATAATAAAAATAAGGTTTGTATAATAGCTAGCATGTAATATTAAAATATATTTTAAAAAAAAAGCCTTGGCTTAGTATAATAGTAAACTAATTAATATAATATATTATAATTTAATTTATTTATAAAATATATTAAACTAGTGTATAGCCTTAAAAGCCAGGTTTTAAATACTGTTTAGCTAAGCTTAAAAAAGGCTTAATATAATATATTATACCCTAAATAATATGCATAACCGCGTATTAATAATATAATATATTAATATAATATTATTACTTGTAAAGTAATATAAAAAAGGTATTATAAATTTTTTAATAATCTTACATGCTTAAAAAGGTTTAAATACTTTACTATAAGTAATAATAAATAAGCCATAAGAGGGGTTTATAGTAAAGTAATTTATAAAAATCTTAAGGTAAAAGTAAATAAATTAATTTAATTAATTTTTAAAATATCTGACTGCCGGTGCTCCTTTTAAAATAATAATATTAATATAATATAAAATAACCTTACTACCTTAAAATTTTAATTTAATTTATAGCCCTTTTAAATAGTTTAAATAATATTTTATAAAGTGTTAATATAGTTAACCACCCTAAGGGTATTTATTATATTACTTATAGTATAATTAACCCTAGGCGCCTTAAATAGCCTAACCCTTTTTATTTTTAAATACTTAAATATAATAATTTAACAGCTAATAGCAGGCCCTGTAAAATATTTAAAAATATAATAGTTTATAAAAAGTTTTATAATAATAATAGCTAAGGTAAAAAAAATAAAAGTAGCATGTTTATATTAAGCTATAGCCCCTTATAAATATAAATATATAGCTATAAAAAGGACAAGGCTACATGGCTAATTAAAACTAGGGTGGCTATTAACCACCACCACTATAAAAATATAACTAATAATATTAAAAAATATATTATAATAAAAAAGGTGTGGCACTAGACAAGTTTCTAGAGAAATACTATAAGTATATATAAAATAAAGTATATACTAATACTAAATTTTTATTATATAATATATATTATGGCGCGCTATAGGATAATAAAGTAGTTTATAAAAAAATATTTTTTAAGCAGGTGTATTATGGCTACGTAGCATAAAATAATTAAGTATATTATAATAATACAGAGCAGGGCTGCAAAGTTATTTATAAAAAT